GAAGTAACATTAACTTTATAACATTAATATTTCAAGCAAACTTTCTATAATGTCAACAGGCCTGACCATGACCCTGTTGACGTCATAGAAACGGGGCCCCCTAAGTAGCGTTAATGACCATGGCAGGATGCAGCTGAATGTGTGAGGAACCCACCCCCACAATACACATCTCAACACCTAGGTCCTTGGCTTCTTATTCCCATTTGGAACAGAATCAGTGAACAGGGGCATTTGTCACTGGTTTGAAATCAGTGAATAGGATTCTCCAAATACCTAAGATTCTCCTTTTGATTCTTTAGGTCTTTAGATTTTCCTAAATATCTCAAAGGCAGGAAGAAGATACTTCTTTGGAAAAATATAGTTAACTTTCTGTTGTGATATGTGATAGTAAAACAGGTGAATATAAAAGAATCACTGTATTTCAAGTTGCAGTTATTGATGTTTTATGGACTATTTAAAATATAATAACAAGATTTTAAAAAATTATATAGAATCATTAGAAAAAGTTGTACAATATAAATCTCATATGTTCTCAGATTTATAGTTATAGCTCTTTTTTATGGGTAATTTTTTTTTTACATCTTCAAAAGAAACCTTAATAATGCATTTTTTTTTTTTTTAAACAACCAATGTCACTACGAAGCCTTTGGATGATTAACTACCCTATGATATTTCTTTCATCCAAGCTGGTTTATAAAGGAAAGCAAAAACGACAATAAAAGAAATGTACCAATTTATTCTATACTAATAAAGTATTGAACATTAGTGAAAAAAGTATGAAATATTGGAATGCAACACAGAGCAATTCCATTACCCATTGCAGTTTTGGGTCATATACCGTATATAAAGAGTAATTACTTCATTGGTTGGAGACCACAGTGGAGGAATATAGAAGTTGATGAAAGAGATTTTAAAATAAAAATTTTATCCCAAAGTATTTGCTTTTCAAAACTTTGCCAGCATTACAGACTATCTTATTTTGGGTTTTGGTGACCGGGGTGAGGGGCTAGAGTAGGTGGACGTGCAGAAGAAACAAAGAAAATTAACAGAGCAGATTTTAAAAAGTCTTTAGCCAATAATTTTAGCACTTTACCTTTGAAAGTATCTACTAAATACAGTCTTTGAGATGCCTTAAAATAACACACCTCATTCATGAAGGTGCTCTATTTAATATTGGCACACTGTAATACAGGGGTGGGCAAAAGTAGGTTTACAGTTGTTCCTACAGAAAGGCATACAGGTTATGATTATTACAATGGCTTTTATTAACTCAGAAGGTCAAATGGCATGGCAGACCTACTTTCGCCCACCCTGTACTGAAATGAAATCTGGTGGTTTCTTTCACATCTTTCACTTTCCACTTTTGAATCAAGTTTTTAAATTTCATGTTGTGCTGATCACAGCATCTTCAATATAAGTTTTTAAATGTTTTAAAGTCCTGTCTGTTTAGCTCACAGGGATTCTAAGTAGACACGAAAGCTTCCTGGGTGGAGTGGGAAGGTCTCATGGTATATACCGGAGGGAACAGACTCTGCGTGGCCAGTTGTAATTCTAATCCAAGCTCTGCCATTTCCCTCAGTTTTCTCTTCTGTACAGTGGGGATGAAGATCTTCATGGTAGAATGGTTGTGTGGATTAAATGAGTTATGTGTAAAGCACTATTCAGTGTTTAATGAGTGTCTGTAGTCTACTTCTTTCTAAAAATAATTTAATGTGGGTATTAAAATACAAAAAAAAAAAAACATTAAAAAATAAGCCATGTAATCATGCTCAATGAGTACCAATTCATTTATTTTTTCTACCCATGTTCCTTTAATAATGACATTGGAGAATATGAGTATGAAAGTGAAACATATTAATTGCAAAAAAAAAAAATAGAATATTACAGGAAAGGAAGAAGAAGATAAACTTTCATTACCTTTAATTTTTTGACACATTCCCTTCACATTTTTTCCAGCCTACCTATTTAAAAAAAAAAGTTAGGATTATTCTGTATATTACATTTACTTTCTGCCTTTTAATTTTCTTTTAGATCATAAGAATTTTTGTTTTCATTATTCTCTTGAAACAATATTTTGTGATTTCATACTAATCTATCAATTATATATACCGTTAGTGACTTTTTCTGTTACTGTAAACAAACTACAACGATTTTTTTCAGATGCTTATTGAATATATTAGAAATCTCATCCCTTGATTTGTCATATTTGTTGCTAATTTTTTCCCACTTAGCCTTTTAAATTTATGACTTTTGACCTGTAACTTTGGTATCAGTTCTTTTCATTTGTGATTTCCTCTACTGCTTGTATGTGTAGAGTTCTTTCCCATTCCAAGGTTAGTAAATAATTTACCTATATTTATCTGTTTTTATAATTCTCTTAGCTTTTCACTTTTTAATTAATCTAGGTTGTATTGGGCTATTTGAGGTAGATGCTAAGGTAGATTTGGGATATCTCAAATAGATTTGAGAATCTATTAAGGCAGGATTTAACATAATTTTCCCCAAATAGTTAACACAATTACTAGTAACATAATACTTCCTTCTTTGTGATGGATTTATGTTGGTGCTTTATCATATACCAATCTCTCCTTCACTGCTCATCTTTCATACTTTAATTACTTAAATACCTGGTACAACAAATACCTTCTCATTATTTCTCTTTTACAAACATTTCTTGGTTATCCTCATTTATTCTTCCAAACAAATGTTAAATAAACTTTATCACATTCTCCTCATTTTACTCCACTCCAGACACATTGGGATTTGCTTGAAATTGCATTAAACGTGTACGTTCAAATGAAAAAAAGAATACATTCTTTTAATATTTAGTGACCCAATGCAGAAACACAGTATCTCTATTTTCTTTATATAGATTCTGCATATTTCTTGTTAAAGTTATGCCTACGTATTTTATAAATTTTACTGCAATTATGAAGAAATATTTTTCACATCATAATTTCAAACTGGGAAGACATTATCCTCAATGAACTTTCATTGTATAACCAGAATGCTTCAATGCCAGCTTGATTTATTCTGTACGTAGATATTTATAAGAGCACTTTACTTCCTAGATGTAAATGAACTTAGCCAAGGCTTGAGAGAGAACACTGAAGGCCATGGAGATGATCAGAGCAGACCAACTTTGTAATTATGAAAGGAACTAGAAGGAACCACTGGTTGTCCATATTATTCTAAAGTGTAAAATCGCATAGGTGAAATTACGCATTTTATTACTGGGGAGGGAGAAAAAGACAAATGGATTCACCCATGTCTGTAATGACAGGTAAAGGACGAGCTGAAGATAGAGGGGACGTATTTTGTTCTTCTACTCTGAAGCCTTAGCATCACATCCACCTCATTGTCTGACAGCCCACTGTGGCATTAGCAAGATGATAATGTAGGCAATAGCTCCCATGGGAACCAAACTCAAAACAAAGGCTCTAAGTCACTAGTATCTAAAGATCATGTTATAAAACTGGTCTCCATGTCCTCAGTCCCACTGTACCCTGTTGTCCTTGGAGGCTACATACACACCGGTCACTCACTTGCCCTTGGTTTCTACGGTGGCAGGATGCCAGCCTCCGCCAAGTGTTCACAGTGCAAAGTGCTTTAGACTCTTCTGAAATGAAAGTCAGTATGTAAATGTGCAACATGACGACATTATTATTCTAGCTTCCTGGCTGCTTTCAGCAAGCGCTGACTGCCACAGGAGGTCTCAAGCGTTCTGGCACAGTGTGCAAGTGTTCGAAAAGAATTAAAGTAATGAAATTGGATCTACATTTTCAGAGCGATTGAAGCTGGCATGGAGGAGTGGAGTCATGGAATCAGGGTTGGATGGCCTCCACCCAACAGCCTAGGCAAGTGCCTGCGATGCCAGGCTACTAAGCAGAATTTTCCATCGTGAAAGGCCACCACTATTTCTTCCTCCGGGTCTAAAATTACAAACTGTACACACCTCCCCCAGGCTCACACCACTCTCTGGGTGCTGTGTGCTCAATCCCCATCCACCCGTTCCCTGGAGCACACTAGTTTGCTTAAATCTAGCATAAGTTTTAAAATGAAGAACCAAGTCCAAGGAAGGGGGAAAATGTTTACTTAGAACCCTAATATAGCATATGCTACTGGAAGAAGTCTGTGGCTGGTATTCTTTTTTTTTTTTTATCCTCCCCTGAGGACATTTTTTGTTCAGGTAGAGTGGGAAGGAGAGAGAGGAAGAGAGAGAGAGAAAAACATCGACGTGAAAGGGACACATCGAGTGGCTGCCACCCGCACGACCAACCAGGGCCGGAGACAAACTGCAACCAAAGTACGTGCCCTTAGCGGGAACCGAACCCAGGTCTCTCCAGACCGCAGGCCGACGCTCTAACCACTGAGCCAAACCGGCAGGGCTGTGGCTGGTATTCTTCAGAAGAGGGCCAGGCTTACTGTGTATCTCATCTACCTAAGGCACTAACTAGGAAGTGTCCACTTAATGGATTTCCATTGACCTTGTCATTTTTTTTTTTTTTTTTGTAGTTTTGATTGCTCATAAGTCCTCTCATTTGTATGCAGCAGTCTCTGCTGTTGAAATATCTGAAGCTAAGACCAAACTTATGGGTGGCAAGGTAAAAAACTGAGTTTGCTAAGAAGTGAGTCATGGTGAGTCCAGGGTCAGCACAGGTTCCAGATTGGTCATTCTGAGATGTGACTCCTCTCTTAGACCTTTATACTCCCCCCCCCCCCCCCGGCTGGATTGTTCTGTTCACCAGGGCACAAGCAAGAGTCTGAGCGCCGTAATTCGCAGCCACTGTTATACTAGCACAGGTCTGTAATACTGGCTACTCTCCCTCCGCCACCTTCCTCATATCCTGAAATTCTCATGGGCTCCCTGTATCCATTTATATATACTCAGACATAAAGTTTACTTAAGTCTAAAAATGTAAGACAGGGACAATTCAAAGAATTCAAGCACTGAAGAATACCATTACTCATACAGAACCTCTCTTTTTATTATATTTTAGGACAGTGAGAAAAAAGGGTTTATAAATAAAATCTACGCCATCCAGGAGGTATGCATCAGTGTCCAGAACATCCTAGATGAAGTGGCTTCCTTTGGTGAAAGGATAAAGAAGTAAGTGATGCTGACATGTGAGCCCTGGCCTTCTGTGGGGCAGAGTGTCCATTTGTTTCTCAGAGGGTGAAATGCCACCTTCTTTTTGGCAGGGGATACTCCTTCTGGATGATCTATTGCCCAGTTTCATCATTATTTACTTTGTTCCTGCCAGTCTTTGGTTTTATGAAAGTTCTGTCAATTTCCTTCCTGAAATTTAGAACATATTGGTTGGAAAGAAGTCATACTTATAGCTTTGAAGAAATAATACCGTCCTAAATTTTAGCACATTTTCACAGTGAAAGATTTTGTTCTTAAACAGAATATAAAATCATGATAGAAAAAATAAAATAAACCAAGCAAAATGAGGATTTCAGGTAATGAAGGCATGCTCGCATTTATTATTGGTTGAGTTATATTGAAAATTGTATTATATATAGCACCCTGCCAAAATATACATTCAAATTTGTGTTTATATAGCTAATTATAGATGAAATAAACGAATGCTTCGTCATTTTAAAAAATGCGTGAAATTTTAAATTTTTTAAAAGGATTGCCATTCCCTAATTTTTTTAAAATAAGGAAATATAGCTTCATTGATATCTAATGTAAAATTAAGAAACCTACATTCTTAATTACTTGTGTTTTACTTCAAATAATACATTTTACTAATCTACTTTTAAAAACAACTGTTTAATTGTAAAAACATTAAGGTGATTTACCATAATTATCAGTAAACAATAAACTAAGGCCCCATACCACTGAACTACGTAAGCACGAGCCTCAAGGAGGGTGCGGCGTTTCCGGTGTAGCCCGCGTCCCCCAGTTTCACATATCTATTCATTGTTTATTTTTCATGACCAAAAGTGTTCTGCAGATTTGGCTCCTTGGGCAAACACAGAATTTGAGAGGAGTAAATTATTTAAATTAAAGGTGTGTGTCATTCATCTGGTGCCTTTCATGTTTCAAGGGATAATGCATCTTATTTCATATAATTTAATACATTTCCTCACGTGCAGAGATGCCGAGTTTCCACATTCTCATATCATATTAGACAGACCAGTGTCCCTCTCACTCCCAGCTGTACCTCTAAGCAACTTTCAGTCTCAGGATTATGGAAATTGATTCCATCTTTTCTTCCCTTCTGCCTCTCAATGTTTTTTCTCCATTGCTAAGAATGTTTCCCTGTTCTCCACACCCTGTCCACTGAAACACATTTAGGGTGAAGTCCTAAATGGGGCATTTTCCTATTGTGTTGTCCTTTCTCTGAGGTGCACTGGGTATTAATACCTGACCGCAGCACCTCCGTTTTACCAGAAGACCCTGGGTCAGCCCTGAGGCTTGGTTAGTGAAGGCCCGAGAAGAAGGTTTCTTTATAGCTCGGTGGTAGAACTGAGAACAGGTGCTTAGGCAGAAAACATCATGGCCAGCTGAAGGATATGACCAGCTCCTGGTTGTGGACCAGCCTTGAGGTCAACTGGGTTTTGTGGGACTTTCCATAGGTGCAGTAGTGATACAGGTATAAGTACAAGCTGAGGTACAGGAACATGGCATAGGATCAGAGTGTCTTACAGGAGCCAGCTTTTCTGCGCAGTCATCTTCTGAGTATTAAAAAGAGAAAGCCCCTGTGGTCACATGGAATATAATGCATCTATCCAGAAAGCAGATTCAGAAGTAATCTTGAAGTACAAAATGAAAAGCCTCTATTATTACTACATCTTATTACCAGTCATTCTAGAACTTTCTTGAATTGCATCTCTTTTTGCAATGGTAAGGTGGGCGGAGGGGGTGGGGGGGTCACATCCTAGATTTAGATTCTGTCACACGTTGTGGAAATAGAAAAGGGTGGTCTTGTTTTCCCTGACCTTAGCTACACTGGTAAGGATTCCTGGCTACTCATTCTTCCGAGGGGAGCAAGAACACTGGGAGCCCTTCAGTGCAGCTGCCCGGAGGAGGGTTTTCTGAGCGAAGAACCGGTGCCCTCATGCATGGAACAGTGTGATGGATGGCTCTGAGCTGAGCCACAGGGAAGCAAGCGGACCCTCGGCCTCTGTTCTGTCCACAAGCAGCGAAGGTTTCAGTAAGGGAGGGAGACACAGTCTTTGACCTGGCAACAGTTACAGGTTGCTCAGTCTGGCCATGGGAGGAAAAAGACAGTCAGAAAAGCCAGACGCTAAGATTCTGAAAACAAGACAAGATTGATCCAACTTTGGTTCTTTTACTAAAATATAATTATATATATGTATGTATACAAAATGTATATGTATTTATATATGTATATAAAAATCACTAATATTTATCCACATTATGTACAATTTCATATTTTCATTAAATATCTTTGGGGGCCTCATTTCCTGATAAGAAATGCCTGATTGCTAATATGTTCATTTCTCATTCAGTACTTTCAACTGGACGGTCCCATTCCTAAGCTGGCTGGCCATTGTAGCCCTCTGTGTGTTCACAGTCATCCTGTACTTCATTCCACTGAGATACATCGTCCTTGTCTGGGGTAAGTAAAGCCTTTTTTAAAAAACTGTCTTAGCTGCTAAGAACAAACTATTTTTAAGGGATGAATTATACTGCCAGTAGTTCCCTATATTTATGGTCATGAAGCTACTCCATGATGAAAAGAGACAGGTTGGTTAAAAATCACAACAGTATAAAGATTTAAGCCTACCTACAAAATGCATTTTTCTTATCTGGCACCATAGGCTCCATCATACTATAAACATGTAGTTGTGCAGATTCTTCATATATCAAAGAGTAGCTTTGTCTAGATATCACTCTGATTTATTTTCACCACTTATACATAAACAGGCATTCCGATCCATATGGTGCATTTAGGACAATATGCTTTTGTGCTATGGTACTTTGTCTTGTGGAAGTGTCTGTAAACATGGTATATATACGGCCGCCTGTTTAAGAGGTCACCTTTAAGATCCAGAAAAAGGGTCCTTGGCATTGACAGGCTGCTTAGGAAGAAGAAACCTGTTTTATATGTACTAAATAAGAATACTTCTGCAAAAAACCACTTTAAAGGTGTTATTTTGGGGTCCTAATTTTTAATGCAGTTATGCCACATGCCAAAAGTTCTCATGTACCAAGTTTCAGCATTCATTATAGTTTTGAATTTTTCTCCCTTTATCTGACCAAAATTCTTGGTTTAAAAAATTCAATTCTTTGTCTCCAAGACTAACACATAAAATGACAGCATTAAGTATATATGCACAAACAAGACTGGGTAAAAGTAGAATTCTCTACTTGCATTTGGCCTCCATACACCTAAGAATACTAAACCTATACAAAATGCAAAGAACCTGTGTCTTAATTCCAGAAAACGTGCACTGACAGCAAAAAGAATGTTTTTTTTTTTTTTAAAGGCTGGAATAAAGTGAGAAGGGGTCTGATGTCTCCAAGCCCGCCAGTTTTAAGATTCCTATCTCCCTATTCTTTTTTGACCTGTCTTTTCCTATCATGAAGAAGCCCTCTTACCCCTTACCACTGACATTATTACCAGGAAAGAAGGGTACGGGTAATAGTGATTACTTTTTCTTTTAATTTCTATAGTTTAAAGAAACAGTTTTAACCAAGACAGTCCTTTCTCTACACTAGGGAAGAGGCATTTTCCACCATGTTCTTGTTTCCCTATTGTATGTTCCAGTCTTCATCTTTCATTCCTTCCTCTGATATTTAAAACAGATGCTGTTACAGTGAAGGAATTAGGGTAGAGCATTAGGTGTGGCAGTTTATTACCTCTAACCAACCTAGGGTCACACCTGCCATCTCAGTTGTGATAGGTGGTGAACCTCTGCTTTTGTTTGCCCAGGTTCTTGGAAATTGGAGACCATGGCAGACATCTGGCTACGTAACCTGGGGTGGCCTCACGGCTAGCTGTCTTAAATGTAATTTTTAGAGAATGTGTTTGGGCCTCTTGTTTCATTCAATGAATTAAACCAAGAACAGTATTCCTTTAGTGGTAGGTGATTGTTGAAATATTAACCAGAAATTTCAGATGGGCCTCACATGGGGACACAGGGACCAAAATCATGATTGCAGAAAATTATTCTGCTGTACTCTCTAAAGAAGAGCCAAGATTCTCAAGTTTATGGCCCAGGTTTCAACAGACTGTTGATTTCATATAAAGCTGTTTATGTATTTTTATGTGTATATGTTTGGTAATTCAAGTGCAATATAAATGTAAAAGAATAGCTATCCCAATGAAATTCTACCATAGAATATTAGGACAGATACTCTTATTATACATTATTTTGACATTTCACCTGCATAATCCCTTTCCACATTGACTCTTCAGGTAGTATAGAGGATCAACTTGAATAATTTAGTATAGGTAGATATTGTTTGTCTCTAATGGTTCTCAGCTGTTCTAATCCAAGAAGCGATCCAAGTGACTCAATCACGGCAGCATCCCTTACGAGGAAAATTCATTTCTAAAAATCCCAATGTCAGAGATGTAGAAATGGAAACATTTTTTTCTTGTGAAGAGAACTTTTAAGATGTACTTTTAGCAACTTTTAAATATACAATACAGTATTATTAAGAATAGTTACCATGCTGTTTAGTACATCCCCATGATTTATTTATAACTGAAAATGTGTACCCTACGACCCCCTTTACCCACCACCCAACTGCCTCTTCTGGTAACCACTTATCTGTTCTCTAAATCTATGAGCTCATTTTTGTTTTAGATTCCATATGTAAGATCATACAGTATTTGTACTTCTCTGTCTGACTTATTTCACTTAATATAATGCCCTCAAGATTCATCCATGTAGTTGCAAATAGCAAGATTTTGTTCTATTTTATGGTTGAGTAATATTATGTATCACACTGTCTTCATCCATTAGTAGAAACTTTGGTTGTTTCCATCTTGGCTATTGTAAATAATGCTAAATGAACATGGGGTACACATATATATTTTGAGATAGTGTTTATATTTTCTTCAGATACTCAGAGGTAGAATTACTTGATGATAGTGTAGTTCTATTTTTAATTTTTTGAGGAAGCTTCATGCTATTTTTTATAGTGGTCAAACCAATTTACAATCCCACGAACAGTGCACAAAGATTCCCTTTTCTCCACATCTCTGCCAACACTTATGTCTTGTATATATATGTACATATATATATATATATATATTTGAACAGGTATGAGGTGTTATGTCATTGTGGTTTTGATTTGCATTTCCCTTGAGATTAGTGATGTAGAGCACTTTTCATGTACCTGTTGGTCATCCGCATTATCTTCTTTGGAAAAATGTCTATTCAGGTCCTAACTCAAAAAAGATATACAAATGGCCAACAGGTACATGAAGATGTTCAACATCACTAGTCATTAGGGAAACTCAAATTAAAACCACAATGGCCCTGGCTGGGTGGTTCAATTGGTTGGAGTCCTGTACACCATAAAAGGTTATGGATTTAATCCCAGGTTGGGGTGTGTTTTGGAGGCAACCGATTGATGTTTCTCTCTCTCCAAAAATCAATAAAAACTAAGCCTTAGGTAAGGATTTAAAAAAAGAAACACAAAACCCACCACAATGAACTATCACCTTATACCAGTAAGGATGGTTATTGTCAAAGACAAGAAATAACAAATGCTGGTGTGGAGAAAAGGGAACCCTTTGTGTGTTATTGGTGAGAATGTAAATTAGTACAGCCACTATGGAAAATAGTATGGAGGTTCCTCAAAAAATAGAGCTGCCATTTGATCCAGCAATTCCACTTCTGGGTATTATCGAAAACACTAATTTGAAAAGATATATGCACCCCTCTGTTCATTTCAGTATTATTTATAATAGCCAAGATATGGAAGCAACCTAAGTGTCTATCAATAGACAAATGGATAAAGAAGATGTGGTACATATATTCAGTGAAATATGACTCAGCCATAAAAGAGAATGTAATCTTGCCCTTTGCAACAACATTAATGGACCTAAATGGTATTATGCTAGTGAAATATAATAACATTGCTGTATTCTATATGGGAAAGTTAAAAATTAAGAGAACAGATCCTAAGAGTTCTCATCACAAGACATTTCTTTTGTTTTATCGTAGCCATATAAATTGATAGATGTTAAGTCAATCAATTATGACAATAATTTCATAATATATGTAAATCAAACTATTATGCTGTACACCTTCAACAACTATAGTATAAAGTATGTCAATTATTTCTCCATAAAACTGGAAGAAAAAGAAGCTAGGTGTTTTGGGGGCTTGTCTCCCAGATACAAGTCTTAAAAGGTGAGGTTGCCTGATGTGGGGTTCGAATCCTTTGCTCCTCGGGGAGAAGGTCTGGATTGGAGGTTCCTCCAGACTGAGGGTTGCTGCACTGAGGGTAGGGGAGTTTACTGTGACATTGTGCCCAACTCCCCTACCGGTTTGGATGTGGGCCATTTCTTGTTCATTCAATGTGTAGTATCCACTCAGCCAGTTTTTTTCCAGAGAAAAGTCTTTCCATAAGCATCTGTAGATTTGGTGTGCTCATGGGAGGAGGTGAGGTCAGGATCCTCTTATATCGCCATCTTCAAATCTATTTTTTCTTTAAGCTGGTGATAAATCCTCTTACATTTAAAGTCATTTTAAAATAAAATCAAGGTCAAGTGTGTTCTAAACATTTAGCTTGCATAACAGTGACACCCCCACACACATTTAAAAAAAAAAAGATTTATCTTTTTTTTTTAATCCTCACACAAGGACATTTTTCCATTTTTTGTTCAGGTGGAGTGGGAGGGAGAGAGAGGAACAGAGAGAGAGAGAGAAACATCGATGTGAAAGGAACACATCGAGTGGCTGCCACCTGCACGACCGACCAGGGCCGGGGACAAAATGCAACCGAGGCATATGCCCTTAGCGGGAACAAAACCCGGGTCTCTCAGGACTGCAGGCCGACGCTCTAACTGCTGGGCCAAACCGGCCAGGGCGAAGATTTATCTTTTGAAAGAGGAAACCAATAAATAAGACTTCTTGCCTTAAAACAATCCCAATCCAAAATGTAGGAAGACAACTTTCACCATATATGGGACATGAAAGCAAAGCTTCTAAGCACTGTAACACGGAAGGGAGAGGCAAATAAGGTCACTGACATTCTTGCCAGGTGCTGTTTGTTTCCCAAATAGAAAGCCTGTTTTTGTTTTTTTTCTGTGAAGAGGCCAGTTTAGTACAAAGAGAAAAACAGCAGCCATTGAGTTGGGAAGGAAGGACACAGGAAGGGAGCAAGGGAGGAAGTTGGGTTTATTGGTTCATTCAGTCAAGGTTAAAAGGCAGCTTAATCTAGATCTTTGAATCAGTTTAATGCATTTGCCAGAAATGTGTTTTCTATAACTACAAACTGTGGAGATTTCAATAATATTTGATCTATCACATTTTCAGGCATCAATAAATTTACAAAAAAGCTTCGGTGTCCCTATGCAATTGACAACAATGAACTTCTTGACTTCCTTTCCAGAGTCCCTTCAGATGTACAAGTGGTATGTAGATTTTATTACTATTACTATTTTCTGTACTGTAGCAATGTTTTTTAACTCCAAAGGTTTTAGAGGAGACAGGTAAAGTGAACAAAGCCTGTAGCTTTTGCCATTGAGAAATTTAGCCCACTTGGGGCGCTAACCTAGAAGAGTTTACAGAGGAGAATGGGGAACAAGAGGGATTGCATTAAGAACCCATCAGAGCCAAACCTCCTCTCAGGAAGATTCAGCTGAAATCTGTGAAGGGAGGTCACCATTACCTGAAGGAAGGAAACAGGAATATTAGATGATGAAAGCATGGTGTGCCAGTGGACATTTGGGAGAAAAACACTTCTGTGCACAATATGCGCAAATTAAATAAATTTTAAAGATGCATATTTGGAGTTAGTGGAGGGGATGAGTGACAGCTTTGAAGACTGGAACACATCTCAATTCTTTAAAATCACTTGAGGTTAACTAATGTCCATTAATCGACAACTATTTTCAAAGTAAAATGAGAAATGTTTTTATCAAAATCTTGAAACTGGGTTACAGTGTGACCTCTTTCCTTTGTTTCAGTTGAGGTTTTTGATTTAGTATCAGACATGAGAATGGGCTGGATGGAGATTAAGCCTGTATTAAAACAATAAGTTTCAAAGAACCATTATCAGTCCCTTCAGAACAGATGGAGATGGTTTTGCTTTTAGTGGAATGTCTTATGGACAGTGAAAACCCCAGTCTGTCACTACAGTTCACATCGGGGCTCTCATGTAGTTTCTGGCAGGATCTCCCTTCTGACTCTTGCTGTATCATTCTATTGTTTTCTGCATCCCAGCTGCAGCTCTCATACAGATTCCAGAGTGAGCACTTTCCTCCAAGCCGTCTTTCATTCCTTTGCTTTTCCTTCCTTTGCCAGAAAGTGGCCACCTGACCAGTCTTTCTCTGAACTCTGTTTAAACAGGTGCAATACCAAGAACTGAAACCAGATCCTTCTCATAGCCCATGTAAAAGGAAGAAAAACAACCTTGGCTAGCTAGCTCCCAGCACTGAGAAGATCAGCATCTGTTTGGGAAGATAAAAAGAAAAAGCCTTCAAGCCTCAGCAGCATTTTCTTTCTTTCCACTTTTTATTTATTTTACTTCAAAAAAAATAATAATAATAATCGAGAGATTTTGTAAATAGTGTATAAAGGCATATGTCTTTGAAAATATACTTCCATTGTACAGAATCAATTTGATAAAGGTTTACTTACTACTGTGTGAAAGCCTTGTTAGCTGTGGCTAATAATATAACACACTGGAACAACAAATGTAAGAACGATAACACTGGAAGATACACACTTCTCTAATTACAAGTGGAAGAACCAGATTAAATGCTTTGCTCTGATTAAATCTACATAACATGTAAATGTCCATTTGATTTTAAATGTGACTATTTTTTATCTGAGAAGTACATTACAGTTTCCTATGTTTTATACATTTCAAAAGGGAGTCCCACGATGTGAATAATGGAACAGATGCATTTCAATTTCACATAAATTCTGATTTCAGATCTTGATGTTTATTCCTGAGCAAAGTATTTAAACATGACTAAGCTGATTTTAAGCTAATGAGTGAAGGTATATTCACCCTCTCAAAAGAAACCTTCTACACTCTTATATCCTACAAAGAAAACTTACAAACCTTCTATCATTCCATCTAAAACCTCTACAAGATTATACATAAATACTGCCAGGTTTATAAATAATTGCCTATCTGAATTTTTATACCTACCACTACTTTAATTTGTACTAAGTTAGCAAAAGTTCAGTAGTCACACATACTAGCAAACTATATCACATTGCTTTTGGCGGCAGATTATACCTCTGTATATCTAAAAATACTTGCTCAAGTGTTCTCGCACACACAAAAAAGTATCTGTTTTCTCATTAGGCTACTGAAATCTTTAATGTATATAATTTTTATTAGTGTGAATTTTAATGTAGAGGAGAATGCAGTGTGCTAAGCGATATGCCAGTGTTTCATTTCATTCATTTACAGAAAAAATGATGATTCTTGATAATATGAATGCATGAGCGCCTCTTTTGTAAAATAAACTGCTTATGGGGAGGGGGAGTTTGCTTTTAAAAATGTTTCACTACTTACTATAGAATCTATATTTAACAATTGCATTCCCAAGACTCTTATGGTAGTTTTTCTATCTAACTTCCTGTTATATCAAGGGAGTGTACCTCTGGAAAGAAATAATTTGGTGAGAGTGTCTTACTTCCTCCGCCTTGGCAGGGGATTAAGCCTGGTTGGAATTTCTCCAGTGTTTTGCACTACTTTATTAATAATAGACTAGTATAGGGTGAAGGTGGGGGTTATGGTGGAAAATGTAGAAAAGCCAGAAGCAAGAAATAAATATTTCACTTTAAAGATTCTTTAAAAATAAATTTAATCTCATCAAAGCTGATTTTTTAAAGTATTTTTATTTTAAAGCTATGTTGTTAAATACTATTTCTTATAATAGAACTATTTTGATCTGTTTATACACTGTGGTTGAAAGAATGTCAATTAAATCCCTTTCTACAGAAAGGCTTTGACCTCAATATGCTCTGTTTAGTGCATCATGTTTGTAAAGACATGCTTACATCTGCATACCATCATTGTTTGTTGCTGAGACATAATACTGATGTTACTACAGAAACTTTATTGATAGGAAATAACTTTTGATTACATCTTGTGTGAGATTTACGTTTCACGCTGACAGTGTCTACCCAAATGTCTACAAGCCTGATACTCTATAACCTTAGATGTACCCAATGGATAGTAACCATTAACAGATGACTAATTTCTGTTTCGTTCTATGAAATTTCAGATGTTTAGTTCAATGGCAATGTTAACTATACATTCAATGCATTAAATACAAAAAAAAAAATCTTTTCTAAGTGTAATCAGTACTTCTTCGGTGGCTGAGAGAGGAGTGATGGAGGATTGTGTGCATATTATAAACGAGACTTCCTTAGAGAAACTCATGTTTGGTTTGGACTAACAAGGCTCTCCCTGAAACTCAGGTTGTTTACAAAACTCCATACCTTCAGAGGGGTGAGTATCCAATGAAGCTAATAAAGGAGTAAGAACTATCTGGAGGCATGAAAACAGCTGCATTCACAGGCTAAAAAGAAGAGACTACGTCTAATAGAATTTTAACTGTTTCTTTCCCTTATGTGAGGGGTTTATAAAGCTGTTTAACCTTATTTAGTTCTGAGAGATTTGTCATGTAAATATTTCAAGATATCTTTACTTAAAAGATTAGAAGTCTGACACCTATTTAGACTGCTAAATACAGAAGTCATGTGAACTACTCAATCTATTCCTCCGTATCTTTTAGTGAATAAATTCATTAAAGGTCATTCATATTCCAAACTATGATACTTCATAAGAAATGCATTTTTTTTTTTCACCTATAAAAAGAACTTAGTACTTCTGGTTCATTTTGGTACTGTTTCACAGACCAAATTGATAAATTTTGTAGGGATTTTAAATTAATTTTGAACCATTTATGCACAAGGAAAATCTGAACTGAGAGATTCCATAAATGACTTTGCTTTGTGGTACATTTATTGAGTACCTACTATATGACTTGCCTTGTCATAGGCAATGGTCAACCTAATGATAGTATATTAAAATCCAATCTGGAGCTAAATCATAGTGAGAGCAAAACTAAATTGACACGTTTCTGAAAGTATCTTTTACAGAATTTATTCTGTATTTAAAAGTGAGGAAAACTTCAGTAGTAAGCTCTCTTATTCAGGTACAACAGGAATTTTTTTCCCCCCATTTTGATCTCAATATCCAAGTGTTCCTAAATACTGAATGTAGTCTACTCTTGTATTAACAAGTCTTACTCAGAGGCTTTAATTTTAGTTTCTACATTTGTTAAATGTAACTAGATGTTCATCTTTGACTTTTTACTCACTTAGCTTAAAAACAAATAAAAAAAATATACAAGGCAGTTGATGCTCCAGAAATACAAATAAAGACACAGCCACCATTATACTTCTTGCAAAAGCCTCAGGTATTATTAAATTAATGCTTATTTAAATTCTGGGACTTTACATGTCAAGTATGAGTATGTGTGTAGATACCTAGCAGGGGTGAGGAACCTTTTTTGTACCAAGGGTCATTTGAATATTTATAACATCATTCGCCAGCCATGCCATACAAAATTATCAACTTAAAAATTAGCCTGCTATATTTGGTCAGGCTAGTTTGGTGAGGCGTGTGATGTTAGCTGGTATTGATTATGAGGGACTTACACATCCCATGGTCCATACGTTCCACACCCGATTAGAGTAGCTAGAATCAGCCTTTTCAAACTGCTCAATAAAGTATAAATTAAAACCACAAAAAATAATGCAATGAATACTTACAATAGTGTTATTCCTTTCAGTTATAATTCTCTTTCCCAGGACGAATGGTATGACTTACTGAAAGAAAAAAATACAACACATCCTTTTTTTGGTGAAAATGTAACCTCTCATACCTCAGCTTTTACATTTGTACAGGGGCAATCACATCATAAGATTTATTACAGCTGAGTCTCTGAGATTTAATAAAATTCAAGGAAAATCTCTCATTATGTAAGAATATTATGGAAATAAAAATGTATCAAGTGGTCACATGCTATTGAAACTAACAATTCTGGAAAGTTTGCTGAAATTTAATTATATTTGTGCTTTTCTCAGGAGATCTGAGTTGACCACCCCCACCCAAAAGTGAAACAATCAAATACATATGTAATTGTCTAGAATAAGTTTCAACTTGTTGGGATTTCCTTCGCATTCCAAACTGACAAAATCAAAAAACGTGTCTATGCACAAGCAGTACTTTTGTAGATAGGCTTTTTAATTTATATTACGGTTGTGTCTCCAAATATCACTGAAAAGTTATGACTCCATTTTTAAAAAGGTAACCAAATGGCACTGCTGTTCTGCTCTAGTCCATTAACAGTGTTACTCTAAGCTAAAACCTTCTTTTTGTATCAAGCTAAACAAATAGTTATGAAAGTAGCTGTGCAAAGTTTTTCCAGCTGTAGCAAAAATAAAATCGCAGTGTAATTCTCCCAAAGAGTAAAGGGATGACCAACCTGAGTCAAGGAGCAAACCTGCAAACAACCTCTTATTTTCTCAGGAGGAATGCATTTGATGAGACCCCAAGATCTGGCTGAGCGGAGCTATTGCTGCCACTGGTGAGGCAAGGTGATAAGATAGGCTCAGTTCCACTTTTTAAAGACAAGCTTCTGAATGTTATGAGTGAACTTGAGGCACTTTATTTTGCCCGAGTTCAAAATGTTAACAAGTTTAGGGGAAATGCTACCTCTAGAGAGAGGTGCACACCTGGCCCTGACCACTCTTAATTGTCTCTTGATTACTGGAGATATACCTGCAATAACAGTTAAGACAAATTATAGACACAGCTGGACCACAGAAAAAAGATGAGGGGAAGGAAATACCAATATCTGTCCCAAGTTCAGAGATCTTCTTTTAATAAAGCTATTCAGAGAACTGGAGAACCTTACAATTAAACTCTACATTATTCCCACAAAACAGTCTTCCTTCATATAGTAGTGAGTATGACAATTACAAGTCAAAATTAGTGTGTAACATGTAATACTGAGACCATGAAAAACAATTTATTGGTGTCAAATTTGATAAAGATTTAAATATCTGTTTTCTACTATACAGAGATTTTATTATCTTTGTTTTATAATAAAGGAGGTAGCTGACCCAAGCTCTGACCCAACCTTACACAATGGCATACCTACCACTTACCTTTGCCCTAGAATTCTTACAAACTTCATGTTCCATTAGTACAGAGACCTAGCAAACCATAGCAGGGTTTTTGAAGCACATGGGAACCCACCTGGAAAAGTCAATATACTATGAATGTTTGAAGTAGTTTAAAAAAAAATTTTTTTTTCTTTATTGATTTTTAGAGAGAGAGAAACATCGATGAGAGAGAACATCAACTGGCCACCTTCTGCATGCCCCCCACTGGGGATTGGGCCCACAACCTGGGCATGTGCCCTGACCAGGAATCGAACTGGTGACCTCTTGGTGCATGGGTCGATGCTCAACCACTGAGCCACACCAGCTGGAATGGAGTAGTTTTAAAACAGATCAATGTGGTGTTCCAATTTATTTGAAGTTGCTGAACATTACTTTTTAAATTTCCCTGCAGGATAAAAAAAAAAAAAAAAATGCATTTTCAGATATAACAGAGAAAAAGTTTTTTGGGGGCATATCACAAAATATTCAGCACTTGATAACTAAGAGTCAGGCGCACTAACTCTTGTGGGGTAGGGTACCACATACACACCACCCATTCTTGTGGCACTATGATGCTGACACAAAGAACACAGATCTAGTTACTTACATGATTTCCCATGATCTCTCATGTCTATGATACAACCCTGACAGGCTGGTGAGAAATCTCCCCTCAAAAATACCTTGATGTGATATATTCTCTAGCATTCTGAAGTTATGATGTAGGCATCCCATGCATTTATATGAAACAATCGTTAAAACATTGTGTTCTCGTTATACTACTTAAAACAGTATCTTATAAGAAGCTATTTTCCAGGCCTTCACAGAAGAGGTGCTCTGGAGGACTGTGGCAAGACATTGGCTCAGACTTTTCTCAGTAGATGGCTGGCTGCATCTACATCAATGTTGTAAATAAGAAGATCTATATTAACAAGTGAATTTTTGCAGATCAGTGATGATAGAAGAAAATTTGTCATTTCATAACACAGTAGTGAACTCCTTTGATAAGTATCACTTAATGTTAAGAGTCTCACTGCTTTTTGATGTTGAATCTTAGAGAAAAAACAAAAACAAACCCATGAGAGGACAAGTAATTTTCAGGTTCCATGAGTACTTCTAAAATCAGAAAAGGCTGATTGTGAAGACATGTAGCAATGCATTTGCTTGCAATCCTCGCCTCTGTGTAATTTTAGAGAAAATTTTAATTATATTTAAATAGTTTCTATTAAAAAAAAAAATTAGTCAAAAAAAAAAAAAGCACCCTGGCCAGTTTGGCTCAGTGTTTAGAGCGTCCGCCTGCGGTCCAGAGAGACCCAGGTTCGGTTCCCGCTAAGGGCATGTACCTCAGTTGCAGTTTGTCCCCGGCCCTGGTTGGGTGGTGTGGGTGGCAATCACTCAATGTGTCCCTTTCATGTCGATGATTCTCTCTCTTTCTCTCCCTCCCACTCTATCTGAACAAAATATAGAAAAATGTCCTCGGGTAAGGATTAAAAAAAGGCATGGAGAGAACCAATTCAGCCCCACCCCCTTTTTTTCAGCCACATTTTTTTTTTAATATTTTTTTTCTTCATTGATTTTAGAGAGAGGAAGAAAGGTGGAGAGAGAGACAGAAACATCAATGAGAGAGAACATTAATTGGCCACCTCCCGTGTGCCCCCCACTGGGGATTTAATTTAGCCCACAACCTAGGCATGTGCCCTGACCTGGAATCGAACCAACGACCTCTTGGTGCATAGGTCGATGCTCAACCACTGAGCAACATTGGCCAGGCTCAGCCACATTTTCTAAATGACTTTCAACCTCTCCTTGAGTCCATTTCCTCCAATAACCTATGAACTTAAAAAAAAGATTTTAAAAAGAATAGTAAAAGAACTGAAATCATAGGAAAATAAATGAGAAATCTAGATTTGCCTAAACTTGAGGAAAACACTGAATATTACTAGTCAAAATAGCCTATTTCTGCTGATACCATTGAAGCTGGTATTTTTCTTATATTTTGATTTCTATTAAATTTCCCCTAAAAGACCCTTCCACAAAAGAATTATCTTTACCCTTGGTATATCAAACATCATTAAAATTTTCTCATAGACAGTTTATTCCTGAGATTAGGAGATTTGTCCAAATGTCTTATATCTGATTTTACACCTTCCCCAACTTCTCAATCAATATATTAAACAGCATGTAAGAGTCTTTACCCTCTTAATTCCTTTAAACTAGAATCATTTCTACCCATTTCCCTCCTCATTCCTTTGTACTGTTTTCATCGTTACAATTCTTTTTAGTTTTCATAAAAGGCTCTTTAAAGGAGTATGGTTCAGACTGACAAACCTCACAGTAGGGGGTGGGGGGATGGATGAGATGAACCAAATAACTTGTATGTGTGTATCCCCCCAACAATGCTAGGGGGATGGGGGGCAGGATGGGGAGGAGGGTGTCTGGGGGGGAAGGAGAAACATCTTAACAAAAATAAACTAATACAAATTGGAAAAAAATAATGAAATGCATATTTTAATTCTACCAAATTTAATTATTATTCTGTAATTTTGTCTCTATGTTACAAGAGAAACAATACAAAACAGAAACAGTACAAAATATTTAGGATGAAGTTTGATATTCAAGATACATATGCCTTAAAACTAAAACAAAAAACTTATAAATCAAACCATTCTGGTCACTAGAAAAATATATTAGTGGCATGACATAAACCATTGCTGACCTAACCTTTAAGTTGAGAAGTACTGACAACAAACTTAAGTTCTTTTTTATCTGTCACTACTTTAAGATGAATGATTTTATTCAACATCACTATTTCATTTGAAGACAGAAGAATGAAGAATCATTGGAAATTTAAGTTCATCTACTATTAAGATAAATGATAGCATAATGGGTGTAAATTCAAAGCTGGACTGCAGATTTTCAATTCAGTGCAATTACCTGCTGGAAGTGCTAAGCACATCTTTTAAAAGTCCGATCTTTGGTAGAACTAAATCATATGTTCCAAAGGAGTTAGCCATTCTCTATTAATGTTTAACACCCATTATGCATAAAGTTCATTTGATCCAATTTAGATACTTTTGAAAGCAAGGGAATTAGATTTACCAAATCTGGACTGAACATTCTAAAAAGATTTGGGGGCCATAATAAAAAAAAATTGGAAGAAATATTTCAATTTTAATTGGAGACAGCTATTTAAAAGGATGTGTTTAAATAAGAAACTTTTATTATTTTTTGGTCTATGTTAAATATTACATGTATAAATAACTTTACAAGTATTTTACATGTATACATAATATTGCTTGTTTTATTAGAAATACTGTTTTTATAATAAGTGATCACTAGTTACTCTACACTGTTTGATCTTAATTCAACAAGTAAATTAAAAGACCAGAAAGGAGTTCACTATATTTGTTTAAAAAAAAAAATATATATATATATATACACATATATATATACACACACACACATTCAACAGTACAGACAGCATTATTTTAAAAATCAGTCACTTGTATCTAATACTAAGGGTTATGTTTCAAGATTTTTATTTTTTTAAGAAAGATAGTATAAGTGTATTTATTACCAAAACTATATAACTATACAAAAAGGACCCACAGTACTAAATTCAAATATACAAAATATTAAAAAATATTTGTATATCAAATATACAAAAAATATAACTTAATATTTATAATATAAAAGTACTCCCAAACAGCAGATTCATCTACGATAAAAAGCTAATCATTCAGATTTGTGATTGGTAAACATTATTAAGAAGCTTCTTTTTCAAATAATTTAATAAAAATTTCCCCACTCTAATAATTCATATAAATTAACATGTCTCAAGAAACAAAGATGTTTATGGGTCTTTGTTTCTTCGTGCTTTCATAAAATAGAAAACACAAATAAATATATATAGATGTACTGAATATTAGTGTTTAATCAAGAAGGAAAACTCTTTTTTAAACTAACAAGCAATGATGTCAAAATATCTTACATGTGTTTCTTCTGAAAAGGTCTTCTTTTAGTAGGAGTTGTAGTACCTTGAAAGATGTATGCCTGGAACCAAATAAAATAGTACCACAACCTTTTCTAATTAATCAATAGTCTAAAAATCTTAATTCTGTATCAGAGCAAATAACTACCAAAGTATATCCTCCCACTATTCATTTTAATATACAAGGTGAATTTTTTGATAATTTGATTTACAAGAAATAGTTAACTATTGCATTTCTCCAGTTTTGACAGCAACAGCCTAATTTCAAGAATGCTATCACTGACCTTTCTCACTCAATCCACATTTGTTATAAAAACAATTATCATTCTGAATTCTGCAAACTGTACGTCAGAAAGAGGTGCAACGGCCGTGGAAGCTACGGGATAAATGCCTGAGGGGAAGAGTGCCTCATATCACTCAAGGATGACCCCTTCCTACTGATTAAGGAACAATAGTGACAGTGTCTCATCAAGTTCACTATTTAACTGGAAAGGTGTGTAAAGTCATATGGATTGCACATTCCACCAATAATTTTCACATGGAGGTATTCACTTCATTTAACTCTCTATAACTGTATAAACAAAAACGGCAAACATTTCCTAGCACTTATATAAATTATACTAGCATTAATAAATTTGTGTTTATCTAGGAATGAGTACTAGTTCATTAAGAATGAAAAAGAACACCCTACATTCTATTCACTAAAATGAAATTGCTAAAATCATACTGATCAAAGGATTAAACTATCAGATTTTTATAATATTCACATTTAAAAACTAAAAGAGTATCATTATTGTAAATTTTAGAAACAGACAAAATTGAAATTAATTTTCAACAGCCAATACAGAAGACAATAAAACTAACAATATTTAAGACCAGTTTACCTTCCTGGACAGTTAACTTTTCTTCTGTTATTGTGGTCAGCCTGTCAAGCACACCACCTGCTACATAATAAGTGTTCAAGAAACGATTAATTCAAATAGATTAATTTCACATTTGATTTATACAAGAATTAATGTTTTTCTGGTCATCTTGGAGTTAATGATATGATAGAAAATGTATACACTTCAACCACTTTATTGTGCATAGGGAATTAAGAACTAACAAGCTAGAAAACTCTTACTTAATAGAGATCCTTCTGAAGGAATTTCCAGTGAACATTTTCAAGTTTTTATATTCCAAATATTTGTGGGGACTACACATAATGAAAACTGAATTTCAACAGCTCAGAAATCTCCTTTCAAGCTTTATTTACATTGTTAATAAGGAACTCTTATGGTTTTTTTTTTAACAAACGAACAAAAAACAATTCCATTGAACTATGAGATGAAGAGTACAGTAAAGAATAGCATTACTCAGCCTTGTCTTCAGCTACTGCAACTTTGAGACATCTACAACTAAAAAGCCAGAATTCAATGACTATGAATTTTATTAGAATTTTTACTTCCCCCACTTCTTAGATAGATTTGAGTCAATTATGTTTTCTAAAATAAATTATATTGAAATGTTCTCATTGCAGGTTTAGGTTCCTATACATTTGCTGGTATTGCTAAGTAGGCCACAGAGCATTGTAAGTGATGTTTGCCAAGTTGTGCTTCTGCAGAAGTGCAAAACTGCAATACCTTCCTAAAGACAGAGACCTCGATGGCATTTGAGTGTTTAATACTTCATGTCATCATGGTTTGTAGAAGTTGGCAGTTATGAAATGCAAATATACTAATTGCAACTAAATGAATATTTCTTAGGAATATTTAATTTAAAAAACTTTTTCTTAGTGTAAAACCCTGACTTTTTTCCCCCTTTTTAAATTTATACTTAAATGATTCATTACAACTAAGAAGAGTAAGATCTAGAAAGGAAGTAACATTTATTAGTGTCATATAAGGTGATAGCACTAATAATTCTATCACAACAAAGAGACCTGGTGTTATTTCCATTTGACAGGTAAAGAAACCAAAGCTCAAGGAACTTGCCTTGCAATTTAGTTAATAAAAAATTAGACAAGGATTTGAACTATGTCTGTCTGATGTCAAAGTCTATGTTTTTAAGTTTATATTAGTTTACAAAGCAAACATTATTCTAGATGCCTTCACAATGAAGTAAAGTGGTGTTACTTTTTGGAATAAAAATTTTTTTATTCATCATCTGGGGAATCTATGGGCATTTTAATGTTCCTTGGTGTTCTCTCATCATGTTTTCTCTGAGACTTTGGCAGATTAAGTAAAGATTAAAAAGAATCTGTATGATGTCACATTTGAAGGCTAACTAGAAACAGTATTTCTTATAGTATGTGTAAAAATTACTGATTTGAAAATAGAGAAAAAAACTTTTGACTTTTAATCAGAGTTGACATACTAATATAGTAATTTTCAGTTTAGATTATAAACCTAGTAATAAAACACTCAGCATCTGTATCTTATTAAAAGATCCATTTCTAAGATAAAACTAAAGTGTGCTTCTTTAGCAGATTAATTGCTGGGAGATAATCACTTCAGTTACATAAAGGCTAAATAGAAGTATTAATGTTTCTTTTTCCAACTGTATCACAATGTAACTTATTCCCACTAGTGAAGCAACTCCAATTTCAAAAGTGGCTATTATCTACACCCTTTCTTTTAGTTTTACAATAAATAGCTATTAGGAAAAAAATTGCAAATTGAAATGATATTACTCTGTAAATTCATACTGTACATTAAGATTTTAGATAATCTGAAATCTATTATTTAGTTACCACTTATAAACTTATTATTTAATAAAACTTATTATAGAGCATTTTCACTTACCGAATATTGGTTATACAGACTGGAAACACTTATATGTGAACTGCTATAATAAAATAGATGAAGGGATCATCTTATTAAACTTTGCATGTTCACTGCATTTAAAAATCAGAAGAATATTACTGTAAATTTGAAAAATGTTTATTTTAGAAACACACAAAACTAAAATGAATATTTTAGTCCAAAAACCTATAGAGAAGAAATAGGGAGATACATGTTTATAGGTGTACATTTGCATGAATATCCTTGGCATGATTCTGAGACCTAGAATAAAGAACATTACAGTTTAATTTGAAAAAAAAAAAATTAAATTAAAAAAATTTTACATATACAATATAAATAGATAAATAATATCATTTTCAGAACAAAAAATAATAAAGATTAAAGAAAGCAGTGTATACCAAGCAAAACTATTGTTGTTGTTGTTTTTTTTTAACCTTTGAGTCATATTCCATACTGGAAAAAGACAGAAAAGCTTATATAATAGTTTTGCAGTTGTTGTTCAAGTGCTTTTAGAATTCATCAAGACTGTAAATTCTAGCAATAAATCAAAGAAAATCAATATTTGTTAATGAGCTATGAAGTCCACACAAATGACAAAGTAAGCTGAGCAGGTTTAAGAAGTTGACTCAAATTTTTGGCATCATCATGAAAACTCTGTGACTGACCGACACAGCATTTCCAATGTCACCACTAAGGCCTCAGTGTGTACTCCAGGACACACTTTTAAATTCTCAGGCAGTTCCTTAAGAATACTTGGGAGCTTCAGCAAAGTCTTTATATTTCTACCATAAAGATCCAATAACCAGTCAGTATGAGCACTGGTGGCTTCCTTATAATTCTTACAAGCCATAAGCATTTCATTTTGATGAGTTAACCCTTTGAAAGCTAAGAGGAACTCTGAAGATAAATCAAAGATTGAACAAAAATGTAGCAACATCCTACTAAGTAAAAATGAGCTGAATTCAAGTTGCTGGTGGTAAAAATGTTTCTCTGCTTGGGCATGAAAGTTCTCCACTGTATCTTCTATTTTTGTGATAGCAAAGAGTTCTTCCTTGACTTGAGATGATAAAACATAATCCAAGGGTAATTCGCCCTTAGCGTTCCTCTGCTGTAAAAGTACTGGGCCTGTGAAAAAGAATGCAAATGTTAAAACATTTTTATTTTGACAGCTTAAGAGTTGTTTTCTCTCTCCTTTTATCTAAGCATCCAGGACTCTTTACAATCATATTTTGTACTAATTCATTGTCGACATAATTAACTGGCTATACATATTAACTGCCTAATAAAGGTATGTTTGGAAAAACAAAAATTCTACTCAACTGCCTAATGTGAATCGCCTAAATAATAAATGTGATTATAAATGAAAAAACTTTGATGAAACTTGGAAAATAGTGCCCCTTTCCATTGATGACAGGTGACTGTAGCAGTGCAAAGACTGCAAAACCCTGCACAAACACAGAATACATTTTTCATTTACCATTGCTCATGTTCAATTTTTTAAAAATATTTTTTCTTTATTGATTTTAAAGAAAGAGGAAGGGAGAAGGAGAGAGAGATAGAAACATAGATGAGAGAGACCATCTATTGGCGGCCTCCTGCATGCCTCCCACTGGAGACCGGGTCCACAACCTGGGCATGTGCCCTGACTGGGAAATGAACTGGCTACCTCTTGGTGCATGGGTTGACGCTCAACCAGTGAGCCACACCAGCCAGGCTGCTCATGTTCAATTTTTAGTACAGGTAGCCGATTAAAAAAAAAAAAATGTTAACTGTTCTAGGTCAAACTCAGATTTCATCTATTTATTCTAGCTAAATCCATCTACTTGTCTACTTAGAAACCACTGACAATAGTGTTTTGTACTCTAGGTAGTAAAAGATGATGGAGGAGGAGATAAACAATAATAACTCAGTATTTGGTCACATAGCAAAGTACAGAAATATCTGAATATCTGTCAGTCAAGTCCCATAATCATTTATACACTTTGCCATAAAATTGTTATAAGGAATATAAAGATTTTAGTACTAGCAGACAATCAGAAGGCCCTACCATATAACATAGATCATATTGTCACAGAAAGAGAATAGATTATACCTGCTCAAACTCTTAATAATGAATCTGATCAGACATATGTAGTGGTCTACATATAAAATGTATTTAAAAGATTAACCACTGATGATATGTTTCATGTGTAATTTATGAAAAAGAGAATTCTAAATCAATATTAGGTTTCTTTTCATTGTGTTTTATTTCAAAAAAAAGTGCTACATGTTACTCCTGTTAAAAAAAAATTACAACAAAATTATAGACATGAGATACCAAAAGTAAAGGTTTTATAAACACAAATAAACTCTTAAAATTATTGCTCTCAAGCCTAAGTGACTCACAATGAAGAAGTAATACAGTTAATAAAATGATAGCATCACACCATTTGACAGGTCCAAACCCAGAATATGACTAAGGCAAAGATAAATCTGTATGACTGACAAAGGACCTTGATGAATGCAAGTACAAGTAGATTTCCTCGTAGGAAAAGAGACTCATCTTAACCAAGGATCCAAGAAAAATTCACATTGGTTGGTATAATGCTATTCTCTTCTGAAGAGTTGAACTTAATATAATAATGGCTGTTATATCACTTAGAATATTTGAAGCAAGGCCCAATATTGGCTTGGGATGTCAGATACATGGTTGAATAGAAAAATAAAACACATAGGAGACAGAACATTATGTTTTAGTAAACATATAATACTAGAAATGGAGAACTGAAAAATATATTGATTATGAAATGGTGTCAGTAAAACAGACACATTAAGGCCTTTAGGGGGCAGGAGAAGACTATAAATAACCAAACATCTTAAGCTGCCATGCTATACAGCCTTTCTTAGAGAGAGAGACAGTAAAAAGACATCTAAAGAAAATATGCTTTTTATTTTCATGCAGAATCAAATAGCTTTAATTATGAGAAAAAATAATTTTAAATTTCAAGATAAAATTGGCACAAAAAAATCCCCGGAAATTTATATAAATCTTTATTTCTGCATTATAAGCAAGTCATCAGTTTTCCTTTGTTTTTCTTTGAAAACATAAATCAGTTTTGAATATTTTGATGTAAAATTTATATTATTAACTTCATATATAAGAAGAATGTTATTGAAAAGGGATGGGGTCCTGAATGCAGAGATAAAATATTAGCATAAAAAGCAGTAGGTGAATACTAAGCTCAAGTTGCCTCTATCACAAAATCCCTGCACAACAGTTATTACCATTTGAAAATCCTCCTACTTTAACTTAATTGACTGCAAAATGTGAATGAAGATATTCTAGGATACCTTTTTTTTATAGTCTGTAAAGAAATGACTCATTAAAAAAGATTAATAGAGTTAGCAGTCATATATAGGAAATGAAACAAGAATGAAAAATCCAAGTAATCACAATTGAACATTTATATCCATTTATTAATAAGCTTTCAGAAATGGCTGTTTCACAAAGACATTACACACTTTAAGTAAAAGAATTTAAAACCAACACACTAAATTCAAAATACATTCTCATACACAAACCTAAATAAGCTTAATACTACAATAAATAAATAAATACATATCATGAAAAGGTATTTAATACCTTTTAAATAAAAGGTGCATTCATTCTAGGAGACTTTTTATCTTTACTTTTTCATTAATATAAAATAAAGGCATCTTTCCTTACAGATCTTAAATATATAAAATGCCATCTATCTCTGAGGGATTCATCAAAAAATGGGATAATTGATCAAAATCCGTTTAGCATAAATGCACTCACCCCCATGCTGGAGCAGCAGCTTGCCAATTTCTACATGTCCGTTTGACAGTGCATCATGCAAAGGAGTCACCCCATCCACTTGAGTGAGCAGATCTACCTCTGGACAACGTTGCAAAATTTCCTGGACACACACTGTGTTGCCATAGTTACAGGCTTCATGCAAAGGCGTCCAGCCAGCATTGTCTAAATTAAAAATCAAGACAAGTTTTAAAACAGCAAAAGTAGGACTTTTGGTAGTGAAGTAATGATGCTCTACTCCCCTTATCAGTGTGACTTTCTAGTTACTTCATATACAAATAGAATGCTTTGATAAAAATGTCAAGGGTGCAATCATTTTTAAAATTGTAAGAAAAATAAATTGAAATATAATAAAACAATTTTAAAACACTGATGTTGGTATCTGATCAAAATATGGACATAAAAAAATGTTTCTGCACTTTCAGCTATAAATCAATTTATGATGATTTTCTTGGTTTTGCTACTAGTAATATTTTAAAGATATGTTAGAAAAATAAATGATTTTTCTTAACGTTGACATTTAACTATTTAATATCACAAATATTAAGATAGTGGATTAGACCACAAAGATTTAGAACTTACCTTTAACATTGATGTCTATTCCTGGCAAAGAGAGAAGAAGAATCAATTTCTCCACTTGGTTATTTATGCAAGCTCTATGGAGGGCTGTTTCTCCTGCCATAAAATATTAATAGATTATTCCAGAGAAGACAAGATATCAACTAAAGAAAATAATCAAAGGGCATGAACTAAGAGATCGGGCCCCATGCCAGAAAATTATTTACTGAGTTTTCCTTTTCACTGGTTTAAACATCTCTCGCATTTAAAAAAAAAAAAGAGGGGGAGGGAACCCCACCAATCCATTGAGCTTCCATTCTATCAGTAATTCAGCAATGAAATTCTACTGCAAAAGATTTAACACAGGCATTGTCTCCCCCTAGTTCAAGGTTTAAAGCTTCAATCCCGCTATAAAACCCCAAATGATCAGAGAACACCAAAAATACTGGGTTTTGCAGCAATAAAAGTTTAGAGTTGAATTGCCCTCTCTTAAATTTATTCATGAACCTACGTTAAATGTATGGCTCTTTTTAATACAACATTTATAGCTTAATTCAAATGAATGTTTCTGGCTAAGCACGAGTGGCTCTACACACTCAAGTATAATTCAGAACTTCAAATCCATTAGATGGTTTGCTGCTTCTCAATAGGCTGTCTGGCTTGGCTACAGCAGCACAGAGAAGAAGAAATGGGGGAATCTTAACATAAACACACACGCGTGCGCGCGCGCACACACGAAAAAAAAAACCTCCTAGTATCATTTAAAGCTGAACAAGAATGACAAATAGAATGGCCAAGTTTTTTCTACTAGGGATGGCTAAAATTATCTATATCCATCTCTGTTATAACCAAGATTAATAAGACATCAGTGATAATCTGAAGTAAGGAGAATCAAAAATACTTAAAAGTAAATGCTTAGAAAACAAATAAATTGCTGAATTAAATTCTTTGTTGCTGTAAAATACTAAGAACATTTTTAGTGTTTTGTTTTATAGACTATCTCTGTAACTTCTACCAAAACATTATTTTACATGCATTGAAAGGCTTTTTAAGTTTTTCTCTACTCCTTTTCAATTCTCTTCCTTCCTTCTAGTCCCTTCTGCTGCTCAGCCTAAAGTCATTCATATTCATTTTACTTTCTGACACAATAAACAAAAAAAAAAGGACAGTGTCTCGTGAAGTTAATATCCGAGTTCTCGTTGAATACATTTTTTTTTCACATTTTGAGACAAATGAGCAGTTAGTTTGAATTTGTGATATGCAATTATGAAATAATATCATGTTGAGAGGGTATAAGAGCTTCACTGTTACTGTTTCTACTGTTGTCATAATGATAATGTTTGTATTAAAAAGACAATACTGCAGCCCTGGCCAGTTTGGCTCAGCGGTTACAGGGTCAGTCCGTGGACCAAAGAGTTGCAGGTTTCATTTCAGTCAAGGGCATGTACCTTGGGGGTGGTTTGATCCCCAGCCTCTGGTCAGGGTTGTGCAGGAGGCAGCCAATTGATGTGTCTCTCTCACATCGATGTTTCTTTCTCTCTCTCTCCCCCCATCCCTCCCTCCCACTCTATCTGAAAAAAATCCATGGAAAAATTTCCTCAGGTGAGAATTAAAAAACAAAAACAAAGAAGACAATAATGCACATAAATAAGACACTCAGAAAATTATTTTGGCCAAGAATAGATTAAAGGTAACTTAAATTTGTGAGTTAGGAGATGCCTAAGTATACGAGGTGCTGGAGTGAATTATTACAACACTATTCTTGTTACTCCATCCTTTAGGTACTTAGGTTCCAGTATAGTTAGAACCAAAAGCCAAACACATTTCACAGTCTGGGCTCAATGCCTGGAAGAGTCCATATGCTTAACACGGCTATGTAACACAGCCTAGTCGCCTAGTCTTCATTCTTTGTTCACAAAATGTCTAGTACTGAAAGAGATGAAGACTGAATTATACTTTCAAATCAAAAGACACTGATCCTAAGTGGCACAGGTTGAGGTAGAATAAAAAAGTAAGGCGGGCAAGTCTGGAAAAACCTCAGTGTGAGCTATACACTGTGTTTTGTATCTGAGAGGCAGGGAGAGAAAAGAAGGAAGAAATAGTCTATTATACTAGGTATTAAAAATTACTTTCTTAAAATACAGTTATATATGCTTTTCAAGAAAATGTTTCCTGGACCCACTCTAAGAGTTAAGTTCAGGTATTCATCAGGGCCAGTATGTTATACTTGCAAATACTGATTACAACAATGAAAAGTTCCTAGCATAAATTAATTTGGACACTTGGAATACCTTTTAAATTAGTCTTGTGGAAATTCATCTTTGCTACTAAAGAGGGGCAATTCTCCTTGGAACAGGACAATTCTCCTTCTGACTTCTTTTTCCATCTTTTTAATGAAGAGGAACATTTAGCAAGGTTCAGTTCTCTGAAAAGAAAGTAAGAAATATAAAAGCTTGTTTTTTTACCAAGGCATGGCGACATGTATTAGTTGGTGAGATTTTTAAAAATCTGGCCCTTTTAATTTAAACCCCTTCATTCATTCAAATCTTTACCGCTTTCTATTTTTACATTTATTTCAACTGTACAGAAACAAATTTTAATGAATTGATTTTCATTTTATTAACTTGGTACCCCCAATTGCCCACTGCAAAGTTTATAAATATGAAATGTCACATAGAGAAAGAAATCAAATAAACAATATTCCGCAGAGAGAATAAAGCAAAATGCTAAAACTAAAATGCAGGCCTCTGCTCCCCATTTTTAATATCTGATCCTATTTTCTTCTTCCTAAAAACATTTCTAGATTTTTGAGTTTTACATAACATACTTTTAGAGGAAGGTTTCCCATTTGGGGGGAAGCTATTAAAACAATTCAAAGTATCTCACATGACCATGCATTCTGAAATCCAACTTTATTATATGCAAGTAGTAATTTAAATCACAGGGCAAACATTTTGGAAACAATGTGATGAATAGTTTATTTTTTTGGAAACCACTTAATCTTAGAAAGAAAGCACGTGCTTTGAGTTAAAGAAAGCAAAAATCTGGATCATGTGTATTTATAGGTATAAAACTGAGTTTTCTGTCCAGCCGGTGTGGCCCAGTGGTTGAGCATCGACCCATGCACCAAGAGGTCACTGGTTCGATTCCTGGTCAGGGCATATGCCCAGATTGTGGGCCAAATCCCCAGTGGGGGGCATGGAGGAGGTGGCCAATTGATGTTCTCTCTCATTGATATTTCTATCTCTCTTTTTTCCCTCTCCCTTCCTCTCTTTCTAAAAGTCAATTTAAAAAATGTTATTTCTTAAAAAAACAAACAAAAAAAAACTGGCCCTGGCTAGTTTGGCTTAGCGGTTAGAGCATTGGCCCGTGGACCAGAGAGTCCCAGGTTCAGTTTCCGCTAAGGGCACGTACCTCGGTTGCAGTTGTCCCCAACCCCCAATGGGGTCGTGTGGGTGGCAACCAGTCAATGTGTTGCTCTCATGTCTCTTCCTACCACTCTCCCTCCCACTTTATCTGAGAATAAATGCAAAAATATCCTCCAGTGAGGATAAAAAAAGAAACAAAAAATAAAACTGAGTTTTCTGCTAATCAGTATAATTCAGCAAATATCACAGATAACCATAAAGTTCAAGAAATATATCAGAAAAAGAGCTGTCCTCTAAAACAAAGCATAGTTGATACATAAGCATTACACACCGTAACTCTGGTAGCCCTTCAACTTGTTTCTGTTTAGCACCATTCAGCATTAGTAAGGCCCTCTGAGATTCAAGACAAGGCCGCTGTCCTATTTTCTTTGGTGTCTGCATCTTTCCTGTACAATGCACACCCGCTTTCCCCAAAGCTGGCAAATACGAGTATATCTGTTGCAAAATAAAATTATATTAGTTTCTCAACTACAGAGACCTGGAAAGCAGTAAAAATTACTTGATTCATTTTACCATTTAATTTTATTTATATTTCCTTGGTTTCATCACTATGGCTGTCACCCCAATCTCATTTGAACACACTAAAATATTAAGAAAGCTACTAGTTCCACATCATTAAGTCAACATGACGTACACAGAAAAATGCCTTCTTGAAAATAATTATTTTTTCAAATTCAATTGGGATGCTCATTTAGAAAAGTTCTTTAGATTAATCTCATTCCCAAATTGTTATAATTTATTTGCATATTTTAAATATTTATGGTTTATGTACAACTGGTATTTTGTCACTTCAATTTTAATGTCTTCCTTCAACAGAAAACAAGTCTGGAATAAAATAATGAAGAGTACAAAAGTTGTTAAAGACAAAGATTGTTGCAAAACAGTCAGATTTGCCCACTATGACCAATTAGCAACTATAGTTCTCATTTGTTGAAGAAACTACGGGAGTATTAGTGATGGTAAAAGATAGCCAAGGTCCCCAGGCTGTGTGGCTCAGTTGGCTGAGCACTGCCCCATGCACCCAGAGGTCGCCAGTTCGATTTCTGATGAGGGCACATGCCCGGGTTGCAGGCTCAATTCCCCAGTAGGGGGTGTGCAAGAGGTAGCCAATGGATGTTTCTCTCTCTCTCCCCCTAAAGTCAATTAAAACATATTTTTAAAAAAGGCCACGATAAAACTGGAAAAACTTGGATCAAATGCAGCTTATGTGTGTGTCTATACAGAATAAAAGGGAAACTTGGACATCATTTGTAATTTTAATTATTAAATATCATTAAGTACTATGTAGAATTTTTTTGGCCCTAGGTCTTCCTTTATTATTAAATGTATTGGGGTGATATTGGTTAATAGGTTCATACAAGTTTCATTTTTCCATTGTTTTTTTGTTGTTGTTCAGACAGAGTGGAAGGGAGAGAGAGGAAGAGAGGCAGAGAGAAACATCGATGTGAAAGGAACACATCGAGTGGCTGCCTCCTGCACAACCCCAACTGGGGCTGGGGATAAACTGCAACCGAGGTACGTGCACCTTAGCTACAAGTTTCAAATGTACATTTCTGTGATACATGATCTGTATATTCCACTGTATGCCCACCACACAAAGTCTAATCATCTTCCGTCACTATGTATGTGGCCCCCTTTACTCTCTTTTTTTTTAAATTAATTTATTTTTGTTACAGATGTTTCTCCTTTTTCCCCTACTGATTCTCCGCTCCCTCTCCCTCCCTGCCCTATCCCCAGCCCCGGTGTCCATGTCCATTATTCATGCACACATGCATATAGGTTCTGTGGTTTATCCCTCCCCCACACCCCCATCTTGGGATTGTCAGGCTGCACACCCCCACTTCCATTTCTCTGGGACTACCCCATTCCTCAGACTGTTATGTTCATTATATTCCACAAATAAGTGAGATCATATAATATTTGTTTGGCTTGTTTTGCTTAGGATAATACTTTCCAGGTCCCTCCATGTAGTCTCAAAGGATAAGAGAGCTTTCTTTCTTACAGCTGCATAGTTCTCCATTGTGTATATGTACCACAGCTTTTTTTATCCATTCATCTACTGATAGACATTTGGGCTGTTTCCAGATCTTCACTATTGTAAATAGTGCTGTTACGAACATGGGGGTACATATATTCTTTCTGATTGGTGTTTCAGGCTTCTTAGGGTATATTCCTAGAAGTGGGATCACTGGGTCAAATGGTAGTTCAATTTTTAATTTTTTGAGGTAACACCATATTGTTTTCCATAGTGGCTGCACCTCCCTTTACTCTTGACTACCACTTCACCCCTTTCCCTTTGGTAACCACCATTCTGTTGTCTGTGTCTATTACGAGTTTCAGTTTTATATCCCAAATGAGTGAATTCATATGGTTCTTCGCTTTTTCTGACTGACTTATTAGCATAATGTTCTCAAGGTCTATCCAATGTTGTCGCAAATGGCAGTAGATCAAAACAAGAATCTTATGTGCTATGGCAAATGAAGAAACAAAGATTCTTGTATTATTTTTTTAATCAATTCTTTTTTTTTTTTTCATAATCCTAACCCAAGGATATTTTTCCATTTTTCTTCAGATAGAGTGGGGGGAGAAAGGGAGACAGAAAGAAAGAAGCAGAGAGAGAGAGAGAGAGAGAGAGAGAGAGAGAGAGAGAGAGAGAGAGAAACATCAATATGAGAGAGACACATCGATTGGCTGCCTCCTGCATGACCTAGACCTGGGACTAAACTGCAACCAAGGTATGTGCCCTTGACTGAAATCAAACCCATGACTCTTTGGTCCGTGGGCAGATGCGCTAACTGCTGAACCACACTGGTCAGAGCTTGTTATCAATCCTTAATTACTTTCAAGTAATTAAACCTTCTATTCACTAATTCCTCAATTATTGAGGTAGAAAAATACATACTCTTATATAGATTTGAAAAATTTATGATTAATACTCTCTAATTATTAGAAACAACCAAGAGTACTTTAAAAATATGTTTTTACTGATTTTTTGGGAAAGATAGAAACATCAATGTGAGAGAAAAACATCAATGGCTGCCTCCTGCATGCCCCCTCCTGGGGATCAAGCTCGAAACCCAGGCATGTGCCCTAATGGGGAATCAAACCAGGACCTCTCAGTCCATGGGACGATGCTCAGTCCAGAGTCACACCAGCAGGTCACAACTAAGAATATTTTAAAATTGAATTTATGGACTCTTTGGAAATTAAAAGTTATGCTTACCATTTTCTGAAGAGAGAGTGGCTCAGAGGAAATACTGATGGAACTCTGTAAACATAACTTTTTAAAAACTGCTTCTGCAACAAACATTTGAAGCCAAGAGGAGGAAAAAGAACAAATGAAAATCTCTAATTCCTGTGAAGAAAAGTCTGTAGAAAACAAGAGAAGTAAATATAGTTATTGCTACACCCTATAAAATTTCTTTCTAGAGACTATCTCCTCCATGGATTTTATTCATGCAAATGATGATTTCTACACCAGTAAAATTCACCCACATAATTTTAAACCATGAAAAATAGATAACATTCCTATTCTTTCTTTGCCTTTGACGAGAAATTGTTTTATGGTAATGTTCTCACATTTGAAACAATCATTACTTTTTATTATTTTAAATAAAAGTCTTGAAATTATATATACACATCTGAATAGATTGATGATATATGAATAGATAGATGTTGGGATTTATTACTATACTTTCCAATTAATGTTAAAGACCTCTTCCCACAATAGGGTTCCACCTTTGGATAACCAGTACTGTTTTTTACATGGGCACAGTTTATTTAATTTGCAGTGATCAGTCTTAAGCTGATAGGAAGAAATAAATTATACCCCTTCCCCTGAGAATAACCATGAATCCCAACACTGAAGAGAAAGAGGAAAGAAGGGAAAATATAACACAAGAGAATGTATAAGGATTTCTTTAGAAGTCTGCACTCGCTCTACTATGGTAAGTAGTAGAGGAAAAGTATAATCTTAAATGACAAAACAAAAACACCAAGACTAACAAGTCTCTTCTTTCCAAAATCCTCAAGTTCTCCAATAAAATGGAAATGCATAAATATACACATGACGCAAAGTGATAAAGGACTAGAGTGACTATTCCCATGTAATCTATTTAATATTGAGTTCTCTATTAATATTCTCTGCATAAGAGAATGGATAATAAAGTGGAATGATAAAGAAACAGCAAGACCAATCAATAGAACACCAAAAGAGCTAAAATTAAGCAAAAACAAGATAAAAAGTTGTGATATTATACAATAGGGAAGATTAACTACAAACACTAGAAAAATATAGAATTAGGAAAAGTCAATAAAATTAGCACAATAAACATAATAGGTTCAAATACATTTTAAAAATTGGACAGAATGGCCTGATAGACTTGATGTTCCAGTCAAGATGGTGAAGTAGGTAAACGCTGTGCTCCCTTTCTTCCATGATCATATCAAAATTACAACTAAATAATAGAGCAATCACCCTTAAAAATCACCTGAAGACTAGCTGAAGAGAAATTCTATAACTAAGGAAATATAGAAGAAGCCACACCGATACTGATAGGAGGGGGCAGAGGAAAACACAGAGCTGGTCCTACACCCACGTGTGGCAGGAGGGCCTTCTGGATAAATGAGGGATCCCAGCCCCACACCAGTCTCCCCAGCCTGGAGCACCAGGGCCTGGAGGAGAAATCCCCAAAACATCTGGCTGTAAAAATCAATAGGACTCCATCCAGGTGAGATGGAGGGCTGCTGTAAACCCAAGCTTCTTACATAGGCCAAAGAGACTCACTTGTACACAAACACTTGTCTTAAGTTCCAGCAAAGGTATACATAATAGCTTGAAAAGCATCAGGGACATATGGGGAGGAACTGAGTGTCTGACTCCAGGGCAATGGCTAGAGGGGCAGCTCTCCCCAGGACAGAACTGCTGCCAGGCATCACTGTTCCTTTGTTAAGCTCTCCCCCACCCAGCCTGCAGGCGCAGGAAGGGGGACAAATCTGAGTCTCTATTACTCAGCTAATATGGCTCACCCTACCTTGGTGATTCCCAGATCCCACCACACCAATGCACAAACAGGCTGGAACCTCTTTCAGTGGCTGTTCCTCACAAGTGGCCAACTTGGTATGTGCTTAGGAGTTTCCTAAAATCTCTCAAAGGTCCACAAACCCCAAACAAGCAGTGCCCAGCCTTGGCATACCCTATACCACTTGCTAAGCAGCCCAAGCCAAGCACTAGGGCAGTCAGCCTTGGTTCCCAGGATAGCATCTCGCCCAGGTACCTCCAAGCCCAGCACAGGCAGCTACCAACTGCAGATCACTCTGTAGCTCCTACCAGGTGGCCCCTGGCCAGGCACAGGCAGTGGCTGACTTGGCCTGCACAGCAGTCCCTTCAAAGAAGCTACAGAAACAACACCTGGTAGGTGGCCTCAGACCACAATAGAGAACCACCCAATCAGATCCACAAACCACACAAACAAAGGGTGAACTCTCCAGACACCAGAACTCTGCTAAAACAAATCCTGCTCTGTGGGACAAGTTCACCCATAACAGCGTGTCCACTATAGTCATGGCCAGTCTTCACAGTCAGCATGAGGTTCAACACCACCCACTGATGTGACAACAGAAATCAAGGTTCAACAATAAAAGGAGGGCACACACAACCCACAGAAGGGATGCCCCTGAAGAACCCAGTTCAGGTGATCAGGATAATTATGGCACTGGGACTCACAGGACACCTACTACATAAGGATACATTACCAGGACTGGGAGGGGTAGCAGATCCACCTAACATGTAGAAACAAACACAGGGTGGAAGACAAAATGAGAAGACAACCTTCTGAATGAGTGAAGATATATGCCAATAATACATCTGATAAGGAGTTAATATCCAAAATATAGTAAAAACTCATATAACTTAACACCAACACAAACAAAACAAAACAAAAAAATTCCCAAACAATAAAAAAAAAAAAGTGGGTAGAGGATCTGAATAGACATTTCTCCAAAGAGGACAACAGACCTCTAAAATGATGCTTAAGGTCACTAATCACCAGAGAAGTGCAAATCAAAACCACAATGAGATATTATCTCAGCTGTCAGAATGGCTATGGTCAATAAATCAATAAGTGTTGAAAAGGATGTGGAAAAAGGGGAATCCTCACGCACTGTTGGTAGGATTGCAAATCAGTGTTACCAGTATGGAAAACAGTATGAAGGTATCTCAAAAATTAAAATAAAACTACCATGTGACCCAGAAATCCCACTTCTGGGTATTTATCTGAGAAAATCCAAAACACTATTTGAAAAGATATATGCATCCCTATGTTCACTGCAGCATTATTTATAATACTGAATATATGGAAGCAACCCAAGTGTCCATCGATAGAAGACTGGATAAAGATGTGGTACAGCCCTGTCTGGTGTGGCTCAGTTGGTTGAGCATCATGCCATGCACCAAAAAGTCACAGTTTCAATTCCTAGTCAGGGTACATACCCAGGTTGAGGGTTTGATCCCTGATCTGGGTGCATACAGAAAAAAAAGAAGAAGTGGCACATATATGCAATAGAATATTACTCAGCTGTTAAAAAAAAAAATAAAATCTTGCCCTGGCCCATTTGGCTCAGTTGGAGCATTGGCCCATAGATCAATGATTTTCGGGTTTGATTCCGGTCAAGGGCACGTACCTGGGTTGCGGTTCATCCCTGGCCCTGATTGGGTCATGGGGAGGCAACCGGTCAATGTGTCTCTCTCACATCGATGTTTCTGTTTCTGTTTCTCTCTCTCTCTCTCTCTCTCTCTCTCTCTCTCTCTCTCTCCCTCCCTCCCTCCACCCTCCCCCTCTATCTGATGATAAATAGAAAAATATCCTTGGGTGAGGATTAAAAAAAAAAAATCTTGCCATTTGCAATATGGATGGATCTAGAGAGTATTATGCTAAGTGAAATAAGTCACAAAGAGAAAAGACAAAAACTATGATTTAATTTATATGTGGAATAAAAAACAAAATAAATGAACAAAACAGAAACAAAGTCATAAATAGAGAGAACAGAATGATGGTCACCAGACGAGAGGGAGTTTGTGGGGCTGGGTACAAATGAGCAGTTATGCCCTGACAGAGTGGCTCAGTCAGTAGAGCACTGTCCCATGTACCAACAGGCTGCAGATTCAATTCCCAGTCAGGGCACATACCAAGGTTGCGGGTTAGATCCCTGGTTAGGGCACATATGGGAAGCAACTAATCGATGTTTCTCTCTCTCCCACCCCTTCCTCCCTAAAATCAATAAAAACATGTCCTCAGGTGAGGATAAAAAAAAAAATTAGCAGTTGCAAAACAGTCATGGGATGTAAAGTATTGCATAAGGAATACAGTCAGTAATACTGCAGTAACTATGTATGGTGTAATGTAGGTACTAATCTTATTAGGGGGATCACTTCATAAGTTATATAAATGTCTAACCACTATGCTATATGCCTGAAACTAATACAACACTGAATGTCAACTATAATTGAAAGAGAAGTCTTTAAAATTAAAAAACAAAAAAACCACTAGTTTTTTCAATAGAATTATGATACAAGCCACATAATTAAAAATAATTGGACAGAATGATAAACATAATATAAATATACACGTATACTACATTTGAAGAAAACGCAATAGAGTGAAGCCGCAAAAGTCGAAGCGTGAAGTGGCGAAGGACGACTGTATAGTAAATCAGGCATCCCACTTCGCAGAAATTCATTTATTGTAGTAGAGTCTGGAGCTGATTAACTGTGATAAACGAGGGTCGACTGTAGAGTATAAAACTTGACCACTCCACTCAGGGGCTGATTTCCTTTAGGCTGTCAGGTACCCCCAATGATAGTCCTGTCCTGCTCAGATGCCTTCCCCAAGGATTCAGGCTCTCATGTCCTGTGTCCTTGACTGTTTCTTTTTCATTTAGGGGCTGGATTATGTCTGAAGTGTGAAGGAACAATGTACTAAACAGGGGGTGGGGGATCCCCAAGGAACATTTGGAATATTTGGTTGTCACAACTGGGGAAGTGCTATTGGCTTCTAGTGGGCAAAGGCCAGGGGTGTCACTAAACATCCTACAATACACAGTTCACAGGTCAGAACACCCCCTCCCCTCAAACAAAGAATTATCAGGCCTAAAACTTAAACAGTGCCCAGGCTAAGAAAGAAACTGCCTTGACTAAAGAGACCTGAGGTTCTTGCCTTGTGGCAGACTGCCATATGGGCAAACAGCTCCAGTCTGATGTCAAGTAGAGCCCACATGCCCCCATACAGACATGATTGCTGAATTCAAATAACCCTTTCCAAAATGGCCTCAACAGAAGTAGTTTGCAAGAATTGAAAATGAAAAAGAAATTATTTACAACCTTTTATTACAACAGACTGTTCACAACCTTCGAGACTGTTACTGTGAAAGCAGTAAACTGAAGAATCATCTTTTGAACATTAAATCTCTAGTCATGTACATTAAAAAAAAAAAAAGAAGCATATCTGCCCTGGCCAGTGTAGCTGAAAAATAATGCAAATATATTTATTTATTTTTTTACAAAGAGAGTATTCTCAGAGAAAAAGAAGTGGTTCTTCATTAAGATATTGACTATTGACAAAAAGGACATTATTGGAACATCTTGTGTATTATTCTACTAACTCTAAAATAAACACTTTAATTTTGCATGTTAGCATTAGAAAAGCTATTGCTATCTTAGGGTAAACTGCTCACTTGATTTTTCTCTTGACAAAAGTTAAAAATCAAAATGTAGTAACAACAAAAATTTAGAAAGATATTAATTTGAACTATTTTGAGAAATATGTTACATTTTTAAAAACTGCCTATCAGGAGCCTAAATTGGAGCCTAACAAACTGTGTGTGTGTTTTGAGAAGGGTAAGGAAAGGCTTACACATACTTTTCAAACAGGGAATATAGTTTAAATCTCATCTAGAGTTTTAATTAGTGATCAAACAGATCCTGAAGAGCAAAATAATCACTCAGTTGGTTGACAGGATTTTAATGGCAATGTTAAAGTATAATTTTAGCTTAAGTCAGTTACAGGCTCAAACTTGTTGGGTTTAAATTTGTCATGTGAAAACTGAGAATAATAGTGGTTAACATCACCTTGCTTTACAGTGAAGAGAAATCTCAGAATATGAGTAAAGAAAGCACTAAAGCTGATACACCCTGTTAATAGCAGAACTCTGTTAATGCAAGGCTCATAATTTCATACTTTTTTTCCCTAAAGGAAATCAATACATACTGGAAACAACACATACAACTACACTGATAGTTTCTAAAGTCACTGCTAATCCTGTCCTAAACTGCCAAAATAAAATGGGATTCCATTATAGAATGAAAACAGAATCTTCTTAACTGAATGTTTAGTTATCATGCTGGCAAATAATGCCAGAATTCTGCTGTATCTAAAATGTGGGAGGGAAAAAGAAAAACTACCTAGTAGGAACGGTGGGAAAAAAATAAGAAAGGGTTCTGAAGGAAGATTGAATTTGAGCTAAGAAATGTTAAAAAGTCATGCAACAAAGGACAGCTACTCCACAAAAGGAACAGTAATCACCCCTCAGCTCAAAGAAAAAGAAAGAGAAAAAAAGGAGATAAAGTGCTTTAGATAAAAATCTTCTAACCTCAGTAGTGTAAGAAGAGACCTCACTTTGCAGAGGGCAGCATTGAATAAATCCTGAACCCAGTTATAACCTGGATTCTTACTTTAGATTCCCTTTACAAAGAATTAAAGTGATTGACAGCATATTCAAGAACTTTTTCTTTTATTTTTTTTTTAAGAACTTTTTCTTTTATATAAAACCAGGAGACACTAAAACACATGTAACAAAACAATATTTACTTGGCTGCTTAAAATATGTTTAAGTTTACAAAAATCATCTTTTATATTTGAGGGCCACAGAAAACTCACTTGGTTTAAAATATGTTTATTTTAGGAATTTAGGATTACAAAAGTAAAGACAGAGAGAAAGAAAGGTTTCATAGTTTCCTACACTGGCTTTGAAGTTGAGGAATATACAATAAGGTCTTATGGAAGCCTCCCTAACTCTGAAGACCAAAAAGAGTTAGGGAGAACCTTTCATAAGGTGAGCACGTGAAAATGAGTTTTGTCATCACATTGCTTAAATAATATTCCTCCCCCCATTTATTTGAGAGAAAACTTTAGATAAGGGAAAGAAAAGAAAGATAAAGAAATTTATATATATATATATATAAATTTTATTACATCTATTTGCTTCATCCATGCTCATGTGTTAGATTACCAGACTCAATGGAAAAAAATAGTAGCAGCTTTTTATATTATAATAAGAAAAATTATATAGCAACAGGTATATAGGAAAAATGTTATAACTAGTGATATTACCCAAGTTACTTAAAAATATAGTAAGTATTCTGATTCAATGTATTTCATTTTTTTTTTTTTTTATCCTCACCCGAGGATATTTTTCCATTTTTTGTTCAGGTAGAGTGGGAGGGAGAGAGAGGAACAGAGAGAGAGAGAAACATCGACGTGAAAGGAACACATCGAGTGGCTGCCACCCACACAACCGACCAGGGCCGGGGACAAACTGCAACCGAGGTACGTGCCCTTAGCGGGAACCGAACCCGGGTCTCTCAGGACCACAGGCCGACGCTCTAACCGCTGAGCCAAACCGGCCAGGGCCAATGTATTTCATTTTTAATACTGTTACGAATTCATTCAAGAAGATACGTAGGAACTGTTCATATGGCGCAGATAAGATTAGAGACACACTTCTCCTCAACTTAATTAGAAGTATTAAAGATAATGAAGAGTTCTTACCATCTGAGATTCAGAAACAGTACACATAAATGGGTATTCTATTTCTCTAATAAAATTAGAATAAACTGATTTTAAATTTGTCTGATTAAATGTCTGCTAGCACAAGATTGTTTAATTTTAATTTTTAGTTGTAGAATTAAAGAAAACATTAGGAACATTATATATAATAATTTACTTCCAGGTACTATTTTCTATGCTATAATCTAATTTAAATTTTCATACAATCATCAAAATATTTAAAAATAATAAATGATGTATGTGTGTGGGAGGCTCATGTAACATTTGGAGGAAAATAATAAAATTACATACATAGTATGAGCTCAACTATGTAGAAATGCTTAGAAATACTAGAAAGAAATATATTAAAAGCTTAACAGTGGTTATCTGTGTGGGAGCATTCATTATGGGTAATTTTTACCTTCCTCTTTATATTGTCAATATATGTGTATGTGTGTGTGTGTGTGTGTGTGTGTGTGTAAATACGTCAAGGAAAGCTTCGCATGAACATATGCTGAAGATTACAGACTGCCTAAAGAAAACTCAAAACTAATTTCCACAATGGGTCTAAGACAAACAAAACATAGACACACTTACCATCACACAAAAGGGAAACATAACTTCCTAAGTCATCAGACATGTGCCGCATCACATTTCTACCCATTTTGAGACCAAGGAAGATCCAATAATCTATTGCTGCTCCAAGAATTCCAGTCAACAAGTAAGCTAGTTCATGTTTAAAGACCTAACATTAAGAAGAAAAAAATATTATTAAAATATATGAATTCTATCAGTATTTATTTTGAACTACTTATATTTTAACTATTTAAAAAACACAGAGTATGATAAGAATATAAAGTATTCTTAAGAATCCTAGCAAACTAACTCCCTCTCTCAATTCTCTCCCTTTACTTCCTTCCCTCTACCATCCTTTCCTATCTATATCTCCATGTATCGCTATATGACAAACAGTTAATTAAACAAATAAACAGGATTTATATATAGATAGCTTATAACAAACTTTTTAGATGACTTCATCCAATGGTGTCAAATATTTATCGGTCAGGCAATAAATCGATTAAAACAGTGAGAAAGTAACTGGCTTCAGTGGATTTCTGTTAGCAGGAGTAGATGACTATAAAATGACTATTAGAAAAATAGAGGGAAGTGATTGAGCAAAAAGAAAAAACTAATGGACACAGACAAAAGTGTGGTGATAGTGGGGGGTATAGGGGTCGGTAGAGGTGCAAGAGGGTATTGGGGGATAAATGGTGATAAAAAACAAACTAAAGAAGAAAAATAAAATTAAAAAAATTATATATATATGTATATATGTGTATATATATATATATATATATATATATAGAGAGAGAGAGAGAGAGAGAGAGAGAGGTTGATTGATTAGGACCTGGCCAAATTTGTTAAGTGGTTGAAGTTGAAGCATCATCCCAATAAGTCAAGGTTGAGGGATCGATCCCTGGTCAGGGCACATACAAGAATCAACCAATGAATGCATCAATAAATGGAACAACAAATCAATGTTCTCTCTCTCCATTCCTTCCTTCCTCTTTCTATGAAATCAGTTAAAAAATTAGCCATCCCTACTGTTTATACCTAAAATTAACCTTTACATTTCTCCAGAAAAGGACTTGAAAAATACAATATATAAAAAAGCTTTAGCAATTAAGATTAGTCTTTGTTGTAAAGAAATTAATTCAAATTTTAATTAAATTATATCAAATATCACTACCTTAGAGATATAAAGATCACAGTTCCGATAGTATGCATACTGTTTATATTATTACTTCTATAATAAACATTATTACATTCTTATAGCAAGGCATGCAAAACTTACTTATAATACGTGTGCTTTACCCTAGTATTTAAAAATCTTTCCAATACATAAAAGGTAAAAATGAAGAGGTATAGAAATAATATTTTTAAACACCTTTGATTGAATATACTCTTCCCAATGACATTAAAACTATGTCATTGAAATTCTTGTATTTTTTGTATTTGTTGTCTAGACATGAAGAAAAATCACTGAGTTAACAGTAGGGTATAAGGCATGTGAAAAGGTTTTAATAAATATTATGGTATCCAAATACATTATAACTGCTAAGTTCTGCCATCATACCATGCCTAATAAGGGATTAGTGACAGAAATTTCTAGCACTTTGAACCCTCAGTGACTACTGGATTTATTTCCTTTGACCTTAGCAGAAAAGATTCTGACAGGTATATTCCTATTGTATTTCATTAGAGTATCATTCATTATCATAGAAGCTATTAAATGATTTCAAAACTGAAGTTCTCTTTCTGGTTTGTTGTGCAAACAAGAGCAAATGCTCAAGCAGCACATACATCAGGCATGCCGAACAGTGTTCACTGAGGGAAAGTCCACAGAGTCAGGATCCTTAGCAGGTGTGCAATCCCCTGTTGCCCTATCACACTGGGGAAAGCACACTGTATTCTATCAGGGCTAGACATTAAAATCTGGGAGAAAGACTCTGAAGAATGAGGCCAAAAGGATTTTAAGCTTTATGATTAGGGAAGCACTGCTCTTCCTCTGATATTTGCAAGGGCCACAATATAGAACCTCGACTACTACCTTATCTTGCCAGCCCAGGATTCATGAGTGGGTGTCAGCCCCATCTCTTCTCCTGCCTTAAAAGAGGGCTGGATTTAAGCTTTTGCAGTTATAGCTGTGTGACTTGGGAAGCAAGCAGCAGGACTGGCTCTAGCAGGCTGGAAAAGTGCCAGTGTCTCCCTTGTGCCCGGGGAGAGTCCAAACCTCGCAATTGTCCAGAACTGACTCCTTAAGCACTGGGTCTTAGCCAGATTTCAAAAACTTTGCAGGAAGCCAACTTCATTCCTTGTAAAGCCAATGTGTGCATGATCACTCTGAGCAAGTTTTACTTCTCATGGTTCAAGTTATCAAGAGAACATAAAAGAGGAGAGTGAAAAATCTACATTTAAACAAGCAAATTGATAGTGTCAAGATCCATGCCACAGAACATTCCTTCCAATATAACGTGTATCTGAATATCGGCAATGACACTACCCAGGAAGGAAGAGACTGGTAGATTTTAATTTCTCAAAGTAATCCCCAGCTCAGGTGAATAATAAATCAGGATCATTTCAGATCCCTGGTCATAGGCCTCTAAATAGAGAAAAGTGAGGTTAGACCACAGAGCTAATAAGCCTCATATAAAACCACAATCCAGCACTCCCATCAATTAAAAATAATATAAAATCAACCAGTTGGGACTTTTCCACTTTCCTTACACAAATTTATGTACACATGTACCTAATACCACAAAGACATATCGATATTGCTTAATATTCAGTTTTCCTTGGTATTACCATTATTAAACAGTTAGAAATAGGTAGGCCTTGTGGTACTTGCAAGAAATAACTGAAGTTCCTTTACCATGATTAACAAAGATCTTGCCAAAGTTATTCTTATACGTGTGCCATTAGCTAACATACATAACACATAGCACACATCCATAATAGATAATTTTATATAAAAAGACACTATCAAATCCAGATTCTTGGATCCTTTTATACTATATTTTTAACTATGGCACTCAATATAAACAGAAGGCCAAGACATTCTACTATGGATTGTAGTCAATGCAACTTTAACAGGGTATAAACAATGTTATTATTTCTAGTGCGGTGGATATATATATGCTCCATAAGTAGATTAGTGAGAAAAATGGCAAATAAACCACCAAAGAGATAAGTGTCATGAAATTCTGAAATGTTTGCTAAAACTGAAAGAATAGAACATGAATACCTAAGAATTAACCAAAAAATGAAAGACAACACGATTTGCATACATGACATATATTTACCTCAGAACCCCTCCATCAATATGTTAAAGTTTATTCAGACAGTCTATCAATACAGTTCTGTTATCAGCCATTACAAATAATCTCCAGTTTAGAAACTTGGCAATCTTCCAAAAATTGACTAGCATATAGTATAAAACAAACTAGAATCTTGGCTCCCTGACTCCCAGGTAGGGCTTTCTACAATATTCCACTGCAATTGAATATCCCACTGTTCCTCTAGTACCTCTGTCAGAAAGATGTAAACATAATGCACACATTGTGTCTCTTTCTGTTTTAAACACTTGTATTTGAAGGAAACCAGAGAACATATGCTGTAGTAGACATGGGATCCAGTAAAACTTTGCCCTAACAGGCTGTGACATATTGAATAAGTTACTTAAACTCTTTAGCCTTAAGTTCCTTATCTTTAAATACAAACTAGGTTCCATTTCTACCTCTAATCTTAGAAATATCATGAAATAGAACTTAAGGACATCACAAAGAAACAGGACTAACCATCAAGCTTAGTAAAATTTGTACCTCTTCAATAATCTTGATACAGCCCACTTCTGCTCTTTGCCAAGGAAAGCCCAAAGCTTTCTCAGATTAATGACAATGAAATTCACTGCCATGGTGTCACTCTGTAATATGTGATGATTGACATCATGACAAAACAATATTAGCATAAACTGAGGACTTCTGTTTAGCTAATGACTTAAATTGAATGCTTCAACTCAGCAAATCAAGAAACAAATGCTTTACAGCACAGAAAATGATGTCTGTGAACATGCATGGAATTCTTGAAATTGGAAATTGCCAAAAAGATTTAATTAAGTACAGAGAATGAATCTAACAGATAAGGTAACATAATAAAAACACAGTTTATATGAACTTAGGCAATGAAAATGATAAATAAAATATTAATTTGCAAAGCTTAAAACCAGTTCTCATGTTACAACTGATGCTACAATTTACTACAGATTGCTTTACAAATATGTTGACTTTATAAATTTGAACAAAAATCTTCAAGTTAAATATGTATAAATATGTTACTATTTACTTCAATATTTCCTGAGTAAATTCTTATCTGTGATAGTCCTTTGGTGATTTAGTAAATTGTGAAAATGTTGGTTTTATTATTGTTTTTGTCATAAATGAGCCATTTCATTTATACAATCAAATGGATAAAAAAGAAATGTCAAAATGAGGAAATATTTTCTATCCTTAATGATTCTGTTGTCTAAAAAGTACATACAAAGGCAGATGGTCATTAATAATGTTTTTAGTTTTAGTTTATAAGTACTGTCCTCATCTGGCAATGAAGTGTAGATAGTTCTATTCTGTTGACTATTTTAAATTTATACACATTTGTATAATCATATTTCTTTTTAAATCAGATACATGTATAAGAAAATGGCTACTCAGCTGGTTGGTGCTATATAACAGGATTACTTGATCACAAAGTGTAGCTGCACATAGAAGTAATTTTTCTTTTTGAATATTAATAAAAAAAATTAGGGCCATTAAAATATTTTTCCTCTTTTAAGCATGCCTCAGACATCCCCTAAATAGAATATTTAAAAGCCAGTAAGGGCTTCTGTTTCTGATAACGGAGGTCTAGATAATTCAGATAAACCCTATTATAGAAGATACCTAAAAATGTTGAATAAAATATGTAAAACATCTTCTGGAAAGTTATGTGGAACTGCTAAGCCAAGATCTGGGAGAAGGTAAAAGCCAAGTGAAGCTTTGCCCTAAGAACATTTTGCTAACCCCAGAAAGAGAGCTGAGAAACCGAAGTGTGATTTTTGGAGCCTAGGAAAAAGAAGTATAAAAGTCATAGCTAAAGACCTAACACCTCCTCAGAGTAAGAGTGAATTAGAAGCAAAAAAAAAAAATGTAGTTGTAGCCCTGTACTTCACCTGGACTATCCAGAAACCCTCCAACCTAGATATTGTATTACGGCAGTCCTGAAGTTGGTAATACACATAGGCACCTAGCAGAAGCAAATAGAAATTCTCTTTGGAGGAAGATATTCTATGTCTTTGCCACCGATTTTTCTATAATTTTTGAAAGCAATTTACGGCACATAGTAAACAATAATTAGCTTGAAGGGGAATAGAAAGGATATAAGAGAAGCAAACAATAGAAACAGGTCCACAAAGACTACAAATATAGAATAATCAGACATAGACTATAAAATAACCATTATTGCCATGTTCAAGGGAAAAAAAAAAAAAAACCCTGAAAGTTTTGTAGGGAACAAGAAGCCATAAAAACATATCACAGTAATTTGGGAGTAAAAATGTCTAAAATTGGAAAAAATACAAAAATTCAAAGTACAATTATGGTTAACAACATATTAGACACAGCTAAAAAGAGAACAGTGAACCAAAAATTGGATGAAAAGGCATTATCCAGAATGTTCCAAATATAGTCAAAAATTAAAAATATAAATAAGAGTAAAAAACACAAGTTATAGAGGAGATGAAATATTAGTTTTATTGGAACTTAAAAATTAGAGAAAAAGTGGATCAGAGGGATTATTAGAATAGAAACAATGTAAGAGTTTTCCTTACTTTTAAGATGGAATATACTTTATGGCATTTGACATCAGAGCTCCTCACCTTAACTACTACACTTACTGTTCCTGAAAAAAATATTACCTAGTTGGAATAATGATAATTATCAGTCACGAATAATAACATGGCACCACTATATATAAAGCAGAAACTGCTACAAAAAAAAATTTAAAAATCCACAAAGTAGACTCAGAAGAGTTAATTAAAACAATTATCAAGCTTGAGCTAACAGGTGATAGAGAACACTATAAGACAACAGAGAACATTTTGGCCCCTAATCTTTTAGGGGTCAAAAAGAAAAGTTTAGTTAATTTCAGAAAGCAGAAATCATATAGGGCTCATTTTTTAACCAAAATTCACTATTAGAAATTAACAACAAAAGCATAGACAAACAAAATCCATTAACAGTAAGAAAACCCATCCATTTAGAAGTTGTAAAACACTTTTAAAATATTTCTTGGATCAAAGGGGAATTCATTATTGAAAATAAAAAATACTTTGAAAAAAAAAAAAAAAAGTAGCCTTAAGTATCAAAACCTATGGGATGGGTTTCAAGGTATATTCAAAAGGCAACGTATATTGTGTATTAGAAATAAAGAGAAAAAAAAAAGATCCAAACTTTCAAGTAGAAGAGACAGTAAAAGAATAATAAAAAAAGAAAAAGCCCAGCTAGTGTGGCTCAGTGGAGTGAGTATCATCCCATGGACTGAGGTCCAGTTCAATTCCTGGTCAGAGCACATGCCCTGGTTGTGGCCCAATCCCCAGTAGGGGGTGACCAAGAGGTGACCAAGGGATGTTTCTCACATCGATGTTTCTATCTCTCTCCCTTCCTCTCTCTCTAAAAAAAATCAAAACATTTTATCCCCAGAAAGGGGGGAGGGGGAGATAAACCACAGAACTTATATGCATGTGTGCATGAACAACAGACATGGACAACAAAGCTGGGGAGAGGGCGGAGAGGGAGAGGGAAGGGGGAATCAGTGGGGTAAAAAGGAGAAACATCTGTAACAAAAATAAATAAATTAAATTAAAAAAAAATCAAAACATTTTAAACAAATATGAGCAGAAATTAATGATATAACATACAAAATGTAGATAATAAAGACCCAAAGGCAGATCATTTTGAAAAGGAGAAAAGGTAATTAATATTTATAATGCACCCAAATTATGGCACAGTATGTTGCTATGCACTTTACATATTTTACTGTATTTAACTTTCCCAACTACCCTTCAGATGGATAATACACTAAAAGCACACTCTATTTTAAATTTCGAATGACAGGCAAAATCTGCCTATAAAAGAATAGTTCAGGAAAAACTCGACATCCAGAAAGGTAGTTTTAAAAACAAGTAGAAATTTTTATTAGCACACAAAAAAAATTATATAAAATCACAGGTTCCTTAAGAATAGAAATGTACAAAAGCAACTTAACTATAGATTTCTTATCATTGAAGATCAAATAACTGTCCCTAGTTCCTATATCCAATTTGAGTTGACAAAGAAACAAGTCTTCAAAAACCTTTTCCCTTAAAACTAGACAAACTAAATAGAAATCATTGATATGTTTGGGTTCATTTTAATTTTTTTCAAGTAATTCAAAGAATAAAGAGAAGAAAAAGATGCATCATTCAAAGATGTACTTTTTTCATAAACAATTATTCTTTTGTAAGTTAATCATACTTACATCATTAGACTTGTATTTCTCTTTGTAAGAATATATAGTCCACTCTAAAAGCATATTTACTGGTTTGGTCAAAAGACCAGAGGTTTCAATTCCTGACCAGAAGATTTCAAGGAGAAATGCCTTTCCTGTTATTTTCAGACTCTGAGAATCTGACCAGTCACACAACCTAATGAAAATATGAACAAAAATGTGTATCTTTATGGCCAATTTGATCACTATAGTTATTAGATACAATATCTTGTCAGTAAACAAACAAACAAAAAAATGCTAGTAATTTCTGAATAAAGGTCATAATACATAAAAATTATAATATATAATTTTAATAAAGGACAATATAAAATATGGCCTGAGTTCAACATAGCCACCAAGTACACCTAGTAATCTAAGTTTTAGAGCATAAACGAAACTTAAGAATATTACAGATTCAGCATTAAAACCTAGTATAGCTTTTTACTTAAGCATTCAATTACTAAAAAATTATAAAATATGTAAATTGTGAAAAGTAAAAACACTCCACCCTCTCCAAATGTATAAGCTAGTGAAAAATAAGAATGTGAACTAAGGACACATAAAAAGAGTATATAAACCTGTACTACCACTCAAGGACTATGTCTAGAAACATGTTTTAAAAATAAATCTACTTCAAACTAGAAAACTAGGTGATCTAAAAAAAAAAAAGTATATAAATGATTAGAAAAATGGTACGTAAAACAATATAAATATAAAAAAATGTGGGGTTGTGATTAAAACTTACTTTTGACTCAGATGGCGTACTTCACTTTCAATTAAATTAAAGAAAAATTTGAGCAGTGTCAGGTAAAGCACCTTAGAGCCAGTAATATTTTCCGAAATTTGATGACAGAAACTTTCATTGAAAAGGCAAGACCTGAAAAACATGAACCCAACAAAAATACAAGCTATTTATTGAGTAATTTGTGGACATAATATTTTTCAGGGTATTACTGGAATGTTAATAACATTTGCTTCAACAAAATATAAAGCAAATTTAATAAAATTTTATTAATATTTTCTTCCTTTAAAAAATTAAACCATGTCAAATATCTCATAATACTACATTTTTAATAATACAGATCTAATTTCTCTTTTCCAATGATTGTAATGTTTAACAACCATCTGGTACTCTCCCTTTATACTCTTTATATCACTGACAAAGAATAAAAAATAATGAATTTCATTAAATCCTTTTTATTCAGATTACCAGCTATACTCTTAACTTACAATATTCTCCATAACCATTCTCTTATTCAAGATAATTTTCTTATTCATTATTTAGTAAAATGAAGGTCATTTTAGGGCCATTTTTTAGAGTTCTAAAAATTCAGCATTTATTTTCTTTCTATCTATCCCCTATAGTAGTCCTGCCCAACAGAATGTTCCATGATGATGGATATGTGCTACTGAAAAATGTAGCTGAGCAATGGAGGACTTAAATTTTTAATTATCTAATCTTAATTAAATTTAAATAGTTACATGTGATAATGGTTACTGGGCTGGACAGCAGAGTTCTACAGTATTTTTTAAAAGAGAATATAATATCACTCAGAACTACAGGTCTGAGAGAGAGTCTAGGCAGCAATATTCATTACAAAATTTTCCAACTTTACTGTCAATTATATTAATTATATATTTCTAACTTTCTACTTCTGTCTCTACCTTCCCCAACTTCTTTTTGAATACCACATTCTCAGGTTAGCAAGATCCTTAATAGCTCTGTTCTAGAAGATCCTCCATGCTCATATTCAGTTATTCAGTTTATCTGAAAACTGCCAGAGATGAATATTATAGTATCTTTTCTTTTCTTTTTTGAAATGCATATTATAAAATATTTGAAATACATTAAAAAGTAGATTAATATCAACCAGCAATAGTTTACATAAGAAGTAATTATGACTTTTAAAATAAAGGCAGTGACAGTGTAGGAAGAAACAGATTTGGAAATCAGGAAGATTTGGAAAAATGTCAGCCACATAAACCATATATCCTCACATCCTATACCTATGCTGGGCTAGTGCTGTTGTATTAGAATTGTGTTTACATTCCAGTCACCTTCAAAAGTGCAGGAACAGTTTTTTATATTTATCTTCTTATCCCTGAAATGTAGCACAGTGCCTGGTTCCCAGTAAGTATTCAACAAACATTTGTTGAAAGAATGAATGAATGCATGCTAGCCAGCAGTTTCGCTTGCTTAAAATATATCACAACAAAGATGGTAGGTGAATCTTTATGATCTCAAATTGATAACCAAATGTCTAGTCTTTGCCTGGCTAGTCAAGTATTCTTTGTCTCAATACTATGGACCCCTTAAAACTGAACACTTGGATAAAAAGAAAGTACTTCCCAACTAAAGGAAGGCTATCAGGAACAGAGAGGTATCAGAAAAGGGAAAAATGATTAATTCTATTGGGAAGAAAGGAGAAATAGGAAGGATTTATGGAGACAATAACATTTGGAAGACAAAAGAAGCATCTGACACATAAGAGATGACATATTTAGTCAACAAACAGTAAGTTCAGTTTCAAAATTCAAATTTCTAGCTGAAAAAAACAAACACTAAATGTTATATATAGTTAAAAATGTTTATATTTTTGATGACCAAAGTTTGATGATGACATTCATATTCAAAAATAATTTTTTAAATTAATTTTTAAAACAATATGCAAACTTAACGTTTTGTTAAAAAAATAAGACCAAATAATGATTTGGCTTTCCTGTGAATCCATTTCATGCATTGAATAAATATTTATTTTTTAAATAAACTGACTGACAAACATGACCAACTTAGACATGGCCTTTTTATGAGTTTTACAATAAATACCACTCATTCTATATTCATGCACACATTAAATTTTGAAAGACATGTACTTCTTTCATGAATATCTAAAAAACATAACAACTACTAAAGCAAATTAAATCCTGGTATTTGAAATTCTTTACCTGATAAGCACTTCTATTAGAGACCATGCTCCTTTCATACAAGTTGGACACTGAAACAATTCTAAGTAATATCTTGACATGGCTGGGGACTTCCAAGGAGGATGTAGGTGAAGAAGAGCTGACAATATATGAAAGTATCGACCAGAAAACGTATCTAGGTTATCCTATTATTTAAAAATAAACAAACAAATAAAACACTATAGCCAAAAGTATATTTTCACCAGCTAATTCAGTCTAAAACTATAATAACCCTGACCTAATTTTCTTGCTAAATAAATGTGTTCGGACAAAAGTTCAGAGAGAAGTATTATATTTAGCTAATTAAATACTACAACAGAGAGGGGCATACTCTAAATATGTATCTAAACATTAGATAATCCTAGCTTTTGGGACTAACTTATATGAAATGTCCATTTCATTTTTAACAGTAACAGTCAGATTATTTCCAAATGTAATTTAAAAGGAACTAAATGTAAGAATTTTTTCATGTAACATTCTTATTATCACCAACATTAGTCTGACATAACTTAAACCTGTTATTTCTTCAAATTGGCACCTTGATGATGAACATGATTTAGAAAGCTACCTTTGAAAAGCTGTTCCTATTAGTTTTCACAGTTTAAAAAGTATGTTGTCTATCTATACTATAAATAAAAATGATTATTATCAATGTATTAAAAGAGTAATTTACCAAATGGCATTCTAGGTCACTGTAGTTTAATTTTCAGGTTGGATACTTGACTGCCATGAAAAAATTCAGATTAATTTTTCTAAGATAAAATTATCTTGGAAATTCTGAAAAAATAATTAGTTAAAAGCAGTCAGAGTAATACCTAGTCAAGAGTTTAAAAACAGAAGAGAAATGGAAATAAATGGGTATTACATTTCCTATTAAAATAAGGGAAGAAGTTTTGAAAAGAGAATGTATGTTGTAAATATACCAGAAATGAAAAGATGTTCATATTTAACACTTTGTGAAAGACTGTTCTTACCTGTAGAATGTTCTCTAGAAGAGCATGAAGAAGGCATACAGGAGGGATATAATGTGCTTGCAAAGAGGAAAGCTCTTCAATTGCTTCTTTAAAAAACTGGCCTTCTATTAGGCTTTCAATTAAATTTAATACACCTCTGGGAAATTCAGGATTTTTAACCTAAGAAAGAAAAGATTCTATGACTTAAAAAAGATAAGGGTAAAATTCTGGAATCAAATCTCGAATTATCAAGGGGCCTTAATTTCCTCATCTGTAAAGTAACAATAAATCCTGACTTTACAACTTCAAAGGATTGTTATGTGGCTCAAAAAGGATGATTTATATAAATGTGTTTTATAACTATAAGGCACTGCAAAAAATGTATTACTGCTTTATTTATTATTCTCTGTTGCCTTAAATAATGAGAAATACTACCTTTAAAGGCAAAACTTTAAAAGGCATTTGCAAAGTCTGGCCAATGATGAGAAAAACTAAGTCAGAGCTACAATTGCACATAATACTTTAGGTGCAAAATAATTTTTTATTTTCAAACCTATAAGCAAACTGTGTCTACTAAGATATACTAAATATATTAAAATTCATCAAGCACCACCCTGGCCAGTTTGGCTCAGTGATTAGAGCGTTGGCCCACAAACCAAAGAGTCTCAGGTTTGATTCTGGTCAAGGGCGTGTACCTTGGTTGCAGTTCGGTCCCCAGCCCTGGTTGGGGTCGTGTGGGTGGCAACCACTCGATGTGTCTCTCTCATATCGAAGTTTCTCTCTCTCTCTCTCTCTCCGTCTCTCCCTTCCACTTATCTGAAAATAAATGCAAAAAAAAAAAAAAACAAAAAACTACTTTGAACTAGTCAAGAATCAAAAATACTCTAAAAGACTACATAGAATAAAATAATCATTTTAAGGTGAACAATTATATAAAAGAGATATACATTTTTAAATATTATATTAAAACTTAGTCTAGAAGTAGTATTTACAAAGCTATAAAATGTGAGAACATTTTACCTTGTTAGGAGCACAAGGTAAGTTTTTAATTCTTATTAGATTTTACCACCATATAAAATTTTTTTTGAAGCTTTGACAGAAAAGTATTTTTAATTTTGGTTTCTAATTAGAAAAACTACATTTAAAATTTAGTAGGGGGCCCTGGTGTCGTCTTGCTATGCCAAGGTTGTGGGTTTGATTCCTGGTCAGGGCAAATACAAGAATCAACCAATGAATGCATAAATATGTGAAACACCAAATCAGTGTTCTCTCTTTTCCCCCCCATTTCCTCTCTCTAAAATCAATACATTAAAATAATAATAATAGGAAGCTTTGTTGTATAGATAACATACTCCTTTACATCAAAAAACTAAAAATAACAAAACACAAAACTTCATTTTTGCCCATCACCACCCTACTCCAAGCCCCTTACCTCCACATTGTATACTGGTTGTTTATCTATCCTAATGCAACTGTATCTGATAGCCTATAAAACAGCAATTATATAATTAAAATTTAACATTTTTTTAGTCAAAAAATACATTTCTGCTAACAAACTTTGGACAAACTCACAAAACAAATTCAGGAAGACATTAATATCAATAATAGATGTGATATTCATGTTTGCTCAGGCTAGAGACATCTATCATTTTAGGGTAATGGTACTCTGACGAGTATGAACATTCTCTATTTTCTCCTTCTAAATTAAAGTAACTTAGAAGGTAGTCATATTTACTTTGAAGACCTCTTAATAATAAGAGACATAAATAGGGAGAATACTTCATATAAAGGTCCATGGAAGAAAAATATGTAGTCATGTTTTCTATATAATCACATGTAAATCTTCCTCTATTGTTTTAAAATACCTATAATTGTATATTTGTTTAAAATATTAAATTAGAACATCTGCCTCAAAGATAAAGAGATAATATCCTGATTATATAAAAAACTAAAAAAATTACCAAATCATAATTTTTCTTGAACCCATTAGACTGCAGAGGCCTCTTAGTACAGTTGACTAAACTGAAATATGGAGAAAGACAGGAGCCTCTAAGGACATTGGATATGAGCACTAATTTATCTGGGATAGAGCATGGTAAAAAGAGGAGGCCTCCATTAAAGAATGTAAGAAAGTTTCAGCTAAAATTTTTCACTGCTACCTAAAGGTCAAGTGAGGCTGCATGAGAGAAGAGAACCCCTGGGAATCAAAGACATAAGAGAGTTTGCATCCAATAGCATCATCTTCTCCATGGATCTCACCCAGCGCTTATGCAAAAGAAAGGAGACAGGATAGGAGACTAAAGAAATCTGCCCTCTTCTAGGTGAAAGCCTGGGCGAATTGCTGTGGGAAAGACAGCAAACCCTGTCATCTGTAATCATGAAGGTATAAACAGAGAATTTAGCATATTTATTAAATGGCCATAACAAATTGTTACTGTAAACAACAAATTAATGAAATAAGAAAATTATTTTAAGACATATTAAACATAATAATGAGCCATTTATCATTATTATTATTATTATCATTATATTTTGGTTACGCTAGAGAAGAACAGGAAACAATATAAAAACTTTAGTGTACCAACTTCTACCTGAGTTCTATATATGTGCTTCCTTAAGGCATTTTTTATTTCAACAATATCCACATCTTTCCTGATATCCTTTGTTTTTGATTCTTTGGCATGATCAGCAAAAACAGAAATCTTCATTTCTTTCTGCATACATAAAAAAATACTTTAGATAATGTACTAAAGAAAGTGTCAACACAAATGATTAATATCACAATGGACAATATAATGCAAGAACACATTCATGCAGTGTTAACCACAGCAAAGGTCCTTACAATCATATTATATGAAATAAAAAGTTTTAAAAGAGCAAACATTTTAATTTGGAAAGTTTTACCTGACATTTACATATGTATTCTCTTATGGTATTTTTATTTCAGGCTGTCCCAAATCTTTCCTAGAACCTCTCTTTTGTTTTTGTTTTTTTGTTGTTGCCATGTTCACATAAAACACAATCCATTATTTATTTACCTTTACCATTCTCTGAAGGTTCTCCCAAATACATGTATACAAACATGCTGTGGTTTAAATTGTAAAATAACGTTATACTCTAAAAAATTAACTCAAGAAGGATCCCGTTTAAAAGACAAGCTATGTTATTAAAATGGTCTGTATTATACTAGAGAAGAGAAAAATAAAAACTAAACTTTAGACCAGAATGTGTTACCCAAACTACATACACATGTAGTCTTAAGGTATTTTCATTTTAAGAATTTTAGCCTCTTTTTTTCAGAACGTTTGTTTCCTTTTCTTTTTTGTTACATTCAGGCAAAACAAAATGTATTTGAATATCCTGATTATTAACTCAAATTTCTTTGTGTAGACATGTAAAAATACTTTCATTGTAAAACAAAGTTAATCTTAACATTAATTACACATATCGTACCAGATTAATTCAAGAAGGTTTTTTTCATAAGATACACATCTTACATTTAACACAGGTTATACTTAACACAGCAAGCAATCATAAAAATCAGACTACATGTGTCTAGATTATATTAGGAAAGCACAAGAAAAAATGAAAATAGTTTAGCTTAGTTTACAATGTTTTACCTGATCTCTGTATGTGTGCTCTCTTAAGGTATTTTTAATTTTGTTATGTTCGACATCCTTCCTATCATCTCTTTCTTTTTCTTTCTTGCCTTTTTTCCTCATAGTATAACTCCTTTGAATGTCTTCATCCTTTTTCTTACTTTCCTTCTACATGTATTTAGAGCATAATTAAACAAATCACAACATGAATATGTTATGAAATCCAAATAAACTTAAGACGAGTCTGACTTATAAAGTATAATACACTTAAATATTAACAGAATTATATACAACAGGAAATCTCGCCCACTGTTGGAGGGAGCATCACATAAGTAACATATTTTGGAAGACAGTTCAGTATTACTGAGTACAGTTGACCATGCACAATCCTTATGCCCAAAATAGGAAATCCACTCCTAGGAATATATCCTAAGCTAGAGAAACTCTTGAACATGTTGCACCAAGAGTTACGTAAGAAAATATTCACACGGTTTATAGAGGAAATAAGTGTTCATAATGGCAAAAACCAACGAATCAATCAGAAACCAACAAGAAATCCAGCAAAACAAACAAAAAAAAAGCGCAAGTCACAGAAGACTAAATACCATGAACTTTAAAAAAGTTTAACATGCAAAGCTAAAGGAATACATTGTTAGAAATATGTATCATTAAGATACTTCCATTGCTGGTAAAACTATAATGAAAAACAAGAAAATAAAACAAATTATAAGACAAAGATTAGCTATGGATACCAGGAAGTAAAGGGGATGCAGTGTGAAAATAACACATACATGAGGTTTTAAAAAACTGGGAATCCTCGATTGCTTAAACTAGCTAGTGAGTACATAGCACTCATTTTATATTATTTTAAAAACTGTACACAAATGCTTTATAAACAAGTTAGTACATAAAATTAAACACAATTTCATAAATAACATATTTGGTAAATTTAGAACAGAGTTGTACAATATAAATTATTTTTAATTGGAAGATCTTACCTGATTTCTATATGTGTGTCTTTCTAAGGCATTTCTCATTTTAATAAATTTCAAATCTTTACTGGACTCTCTGAATTTTTCTTTCTTTTGATGTTCAGTGAATACAGAACTAACATTAACATCTTCATCATGATTTTGCATTTTTTTCTGCATGTTTATAAAAATATTTTAGTTAGACTGTGGGTTAACTATGACCTTACCACAACCAAAACAAGTCACAACAGAAAAACCCACTCAAGATAGGTTTTGGTGTGCTCTCCCTCCTGGGAGCACGCCCATGCCTTCTCTCTCGGGGTCTTATACTCTAAGGGTCCCCATGAGATTTGTAACCAGGGGAGCAATAAGCAGAGGCAGTTTGTCTCAGGCTAACCCCTTGAACTGGTCTTCAAGGCCCACTTTTCTCGGACTTCCCTGTGAGCCAAAACAGCCTGCCAGGGCCATTTCTTTCCTATAACATTTCTAGACAGCCAAAGGAGCCCCGCCTAGCCTCCTTGCTGTTGCTTCTCCTATCTTAAGCCCTTTCTTGTTTCACTGTCCCCAGCTTTAATAAATGTACTCTCAAAATAAAATAATAAAGTAGGTGTTGTAAAATATACATATAAGAATAAATACAGTAAAGAGCCTTGTGAATTATATTACATCACAATTATAATAAATAAAGCAGAAAAATGTAGATTTTTAGTTTACAAAGGCTTATATTATGTTTACATACACATTCAATTAGGTATTTTTATTTTACTAACTTAATCTTTCTGGGAATCTCTGCTTTTTTTTCCCATTTGTCAGTCAAAACAGAATATGGTTATCTTAATTATTTTCTCTAAATGTTTGTAAAAATAATTTAGGCTGTAGATCAAATAGAATTTTGCCACTACTAGGCATATCAAATAAAACATCTTGCCCGGCTGGTGTGGCTCAGTGGTTGAGCGTCGACCCATGCACCAAGAGGTCGCGGGTTCGATTCCCGGTCAGGACACATGCCCAGATTGTGGGCTAATCCCCAGTGGGGGGCATGCAGGAGGCGGCCAATCGATGTTCTCTCTCATTGATGTTTCTATCTCTCTCCCTCTCCCTTCTTCTCTCTCTAAAAAAGTCAATAAAGAAAAATTATTTAAAAACATCTCAAGAAAATCATTTTACAGGACATGGATATAATAACATTAAACAGATAAGGTGTATCATAAACTATATTGTGTTTTATTATATTAAGAAATTTATTTTAGCTCTGGCCAGTGTGGCTCAGTTAGTTAGGCATCAGTCCTGTGCACCAAAAGGTTGCTGGTTTGATTCCTGGTCTGGGTACATGCCCGGTTTCAGGCTTCATCCCCACTAGGGGGCATGCAGGAGGCAGCCAATTGATGCTGTGCTCTCACCAATATTTCTCTCTCTCTCTCTCTCTTCCTGTCACTATAAAAATCAGTAACAATAATTTTAAAAAAATTTTTTAAAAAGACGGACATTTCACCTTGGCCGGTTTGGCTCAGCGGTTAGAGCGTCGGCCTACGGTCCAGAAAGACCCGGTTCGGTTCTCGCTAAGGGCACGTACCTCGGTTGCAGTTTGTCCCCGGCCCTGGTTTGGTCATGCAGGTGGCTACCACTTGATGTGTCCCTTTCACATCGATGTTTCTCTCTCTCGCTCGCTCGCTCTCTTCCTCTCTCTCTCCCCCTCCCACTCTATTTGAACAAAAATGGAAAAAATGTCCTCGAGGATAAAAAATAAAAAAAAGATGGAAATTTCTACGTGAATTTTACATATCCTCTTGAGTCCTAAAAGGAGTTCAAGGTGTATACAGATATATTTTAATAAGCTCTATGTCTTTTATGAAATCTCCCTTTGATTCTTTTTTCCATGTTAAAGAAGAAGCTAAATTTATTTTAGTAACTCCATTCGTTGTGAATGAAAAAAAAAAAGTATACTGTGGTCTATAATAACTATTTCAGCAGATACAACTTGAAAAGCATCTTATTAAGACCATGTACATGCAGTTAATCACAGAAAGTCGTAGTCTTTTAAGTCACATAAATATCAATTATACTCTGGAAAAGCCAGAAAAAACTGCATAAACATTTTAAGCTCTTAGAAAGTTTTATTTAATTTCTCCATATATATAATTTCTTAAGGTACTGTTTATTTTATGAAGTTCCAATTGTTCCTAGAATTCTCTTTATAAAATTTTTGATAGGTGCAGTAAAAACAATTAATTTTTAATTACTTTCTAGTCACATTTAAAAACATTTTAGTTTAGACTAATAATAAAATTACTAGGCTTATGATTTGGTAAATCAACTAAAGAGTATGTTCTATAAAACACAGTATGAAATTACATTAATCATGTCTTTTTTTGGTTGTTGCTGCTATTGGAAAGTTTTTACTTGAGAGACATATATATGCTATCTTAAGGTACTTTTCATTGTTTCAAGTTCAAAGTCCTTCCCTGTTTTCTGTTTTCAATTTTAATCAAAATTGAATTCATTTGTGTTAATTAAAAATTTTTGTTCTATATACAGTAAAATACTTGAATTTAGACCATGAATTATGAATAAACATATTGTCAATAGATAAAAATTTTTTACGAGACATGTTCAATTAAACATACAGAGGAGTTCTAAGTAATTACCATGTGTTGAGAATACATTATGTTATAAGAACTATGTTTCTATATTCAATAAAAGTCTCAAAACAGAGACATACAGTTAATATCCTAATATGCTTAAATCACAGACATTAAAACTCAGCTGGGTTCAAATACCAGCTCTGTGATTCCAAAACCCATGCTATTTCTTCATATATCACCTTTCAAACAATTCTATAGGAACTAGAAATGCACTTTTTTTTTAACCAATAAGGTTTTACCTGAGTTCTACACATGGTCTCTCTGAAGACATCTTTCATTTCAAGAAAATCCATTTCTTTCCTGAAATCTTTGTTTTTTTCTTGATTACTGTGTTTAGTCCAAACTGAATTGGTTTGGGAATCTTCATCATTTTGAATTTCTTTCTGTATGTATATAAATATCGTTTAGGCAATAAATTAAGTATAATTTCAAAATAACTATACTTTTTATGGTATTTAACTTTATAATTGTAGAATACTTTGACAGCCAAACAGGTAGGTAAAATGCACTCTCCCAAATTAAAGATTATTAAACCCTAGTGAGTTCTTTCAGGGGAAAAAAATCATTACAACAAAGATTCTGAATAAAAGTGATTTCTGTTTATCTCAAGAAAAGCTAATGCCTTGTTGATCCAGTAACAGTCAATACTTTTTACAAATAATCATTAACAAAACTATTTTATTTAGTGTGTCCAAATCTAGATTTAAAAATTTCAGGTTATAGATTACTTCTTGCATTGTTTTTCAATTTACTGGTAAGACTTCTCATTTGCAAGTATATCACACATAGATAGGAAAAGCGCTGAAAACTGACTGACCTTACAACTCTGATTTTACCTGAATAGCTATAAATAATTAGTTTCACCTAAATCTATCTCAAACACTTATATTTCTCTTGCCAAGAAATCCAAACTGATTAATAAACTACCTATCACTGATTCAAAAAATACTTGCATATATATAATTCTAGAATTTAGTAGAATAAAGAGTTGGGAGTAAAGATGAGTTCAAGACAATTCCCAAAATGTATTTATGAAAGGGCATTCAGAGATTCACTACCTTTACACAGAGACTAGAAAATCACTGTCCTCCTTGGGACCAATTATGATATAAGCTGAAATGTGGTTAAGGCCCATGGTGTAATCTTTGGTTCCCTTTCACTTGTACAAAGCTTCCTATGTGGATAAGAGGCCCTTTAGCAAGATATAATCCTGCAAACAGAGAACAATCACTGAGAGTAGCTGAATACATTTCTTCAACTACTCAGAAAAGTGAAATTGAAATCTAAGAAAAACGAAGACATTGCTTGCTTCCTATTCCTAGCATCAAGAAAAGAATTACTCTGAATGTACAAATAACAATTTCTGTTGTGGACAACCTAAAGTGGAATCAAGTGAGTTTCTGGCTTTAAATTTCACATAGTTGACAACAGAAGAATAAATCTTCAGGCCCGTATCATCAAGAAATGTCTAAAATATAGGATAAATTAATCCTGTATGTTTTCCAGTTACACAGAATATATAAAAGAACATACCATTATCATTAGCAATTAGGCAAGAACATGTTTTCTAATATATTTACTTATGTATCCATTTCAGATGCCATATATTGACCTGTGAATTAGGATGTATACTGCAAGAATCCTAAATAAATAAATTAAAAGTCATAACTTGCATTGCATTGGGAAGGCTTTTAAAAATAATCTATTTTCTAAAGAGTTAAACAAATAATCAACATATTTTCTCCAAGCTACCAATACTCTCTCAAATTGGCTTACTCTTATAAAACACATAGGAATTATTTTATTTACCTATAAATATTCACTTCTTATTTCTTACTCTATACATATTTCTTTTGTTCCAACTATGTACTTTTAGTACACTGTCTAGGTGTTGGTCTCCTATATGATCCAAGAAAGAAGAGCCATGTCTAGTCTATTTTATAAGGCATGTTCAGAACAGATGACCAAAAGCCTCCTTATTCAGTAAATTATTGTTATCTATGAGTAGGGCAGCACAGTGTGGCAATGACTGTTGGCTTGGCTTCTGATTAGGATGTTTCACGTCTTGGGCTAGGTATAGGTATGCTCTGGTCTCCAGGTCTTATTCCTTGATTTGCAATGTCATTTGCTAAGTAACTTAAATGAATTCATGAGACTTGAATGTCAGAGAGGTCAAACAAAGAATAAGATTCTTTTGAGCACTATATATGGTCCTTAACTATTATTATTTCCTAATTCTTAAATAATATCTCATAATCCTATGATTAACTACTAGTTTATGATACTGTTTTTATAGCATTAAGTAATTTTAACTACCCAGAAAGAGACAAGGTGAATATCAAGGAAACCTAATAATTCCCCAAATGAAAGAAGAAAAAGGAGATTTGAGGAGAGAACCCCTAAAATTTATTGAGGGTTTGGCCTTAAATTTTTATTTGACACAGTTGTGGGATCCCATAACTGTGCAAATTATTTAATCTGCACCTCACTTCACCAACTGTAAAAGGGGACCATAAAACATCACACAAAAACATCAGGTTTAAAATATGATTAAGCATTAAAAATATTTAGCATTGTGATTACACAGTAATCACTCAACAATTAGCCCAGAGTAATAGTTGTAATATTCTCATAACAACCAAAGTACATACAAAGGAAGAAATTCAGTCACAGGATAACTTACTTCCCTATGGTCACGGAACTAGTAAATTATAAATATGGGCCCCAAGTTTGTTGATCTGGCTCAAAAAGCTTTTTTTTTCTGGTCATTCCTACTACTTTTCCATAAGACTTTTCTGTGGTTCATTATATTTCCTTTCTTAAGCGGATATTGCAAGTATTTTTTAGTTTTCCAAACTATGCTCTCTGTTTTGTGAAGCTTTCCTTGGGTGAAACAAATGAGACACATTTGTCATTTGCTCCACTGCATTCCTGTACCTTTCACACTATTTTTCCAATGCACAATATACACTGAACTATAATTAATAGTTTTTACCACTAAACAATAAGTGCCTTTAAGTCTGACCTGTGGTCTTATTTTTCCCTAGTACATAGCATACTGCCTGGTACAGCAAGTTTTCAGTACATATCTATAAACCTGAATGAAACAGATTCCTGATTCTGTTACTTATCAGCTTTCCAAAAAGTGTAAGTCGGTTAGACAAAAGTTTGTTTTAATAATTTCTTAATTGTTATTTTTAACGAAGTCATTTTAATGGCAATTCTTAGAGGACACTTGAGAAGCCATCTAATGAATGATGTAAATATGTTATGTGCCAAAGCTGCAGAAGAAAAGCATGACATCAAAATGACGTTAACTCTTTTATTCTTGGAAGTGAGCACAAAATGCCTTTCTTATTTGGACTGAATGGTTATGAACTCCCAGCTGTCTAAGCCAGAATTTATAAAACAATGTATTCTAAAAACAAAGATAAAGGAGAGATTATCTGCTATTTTTAGTTGATATACTATTGCTTCCCTTCAGTATGTCAGAAGATGAATCTGACTGTTTTGAGATTACTGCAAAGAAGATGTGGATAAAACACACTACATATTACACTTTAATTATTTCTTCCCATTGAAAAAGAAAATTCAGGTACTTTTACTAATCTATTTAGTTAAGAATTGTTTTAATTCTGTTGACAATTAATTCTACCTTTAAACTGTTCAGATAGTTAAATCAGGATGCTTTTGGCTGCAATAGAAAGTGAACTCAAACTACTTAAACATGGAAATGTACTACCTCACAGAATGGCAATGTGGTCTAATACTGTGGTTTCAGGGGCGGTTAATCCAGCAATTCAAGTATCTCAACAAGTATCCAGATTCTGTCTCTATACTTTTCTGTCCACAGAGTTGGTTTCATCCTAAGACTACTTCCCCTCATGGTCAAAGAATGGTTGTTAGTGGTAATTTAGGTTTCATTCTCCATCTTCACCTCTGGAAGGAGCCAGGCTACCAGTGACTCTGTTTTCAGAATGAAGAACAAACTTTCCAGAAATTCATATACCTGTATACCTCTTCTCATATCCCATGGATCAGAACTGGTTCTCATGCCCATTCCTAGCAATTTCACTTTGATGGGCTATAAGACTACCTGTAGTTCAAGCAGCTCCATCCTCTGAACTGAGGTCAAATTTCCAATCTACAATGCTGCTATTCAGTAAAGAAAGGTAATTATAGAATGATATATTTATTACACATACTCTTAGAAGACTCAAACAAAGGCTTTTCAAAATTTCTCTATTAAAGAAAGAAACATAAAATGAGAACTCATGTTCCAGGTTTCATGCAAGATGATTCAGATATAATTATGGAAAAGACAGGTATCATCCTTGATGACATGGTGCTTTTGGTTTAGATGGGGAAATAGGCATTGGCTAAGTAATCAGCCAATTAATCAATTATAATTAAAGCAAAATAATGCTATAAGAACACATTATAAGTGAATCTAACTTAACACGGTGATCAAGAGGCAACATTATCACTAGAACCTGAATGATGAGCACAGGAAATGAGAGTGATGGGGAGGATCTCGCCAATCAGGGAATATAGCTTTTGAGAAGACAGTGGCTTACACTATTAAGAAATTGGGAGAAGACAGTTTTGTTATAGTACAATAAACATAGAGAAGTGGAGTGGTATACTGTTGAAAATCTGTGTACACACTGTATTTATATTCACAAAACCATAAAACTATGCCCAAAATTGTATTAAATCTATAAATCAATATGCGGAGAAATGTCATTTTTACAATACCTCTTTTTTTTGGTTAATTCTCACACAAGGATATTTTTCCATTGATCTTTACAATAGAGTGGAAGGGAGGGAGGGAAAGAGAGAAAGAAACACTGATGTGAAAGAGACACATCATTTGGTTGCCTTCCACTGGGGCTGGGGATTGAACCTGCAACCGAGGTATGTGCTCTTGACTGGATATTGAACCCTTGATCCTTCGGTCTGACCCTCTAACGGCTGAGCCAAACTGGCCAGAGTTACAATACTCTTTTTTTTTTTTTTTGATCCTCACCGGAGGATATTTTTCCATTTTTTGTACAGATAGAGTGGGAGGGAGAGAGAGGAAGGGAGAGAGAGAGAAACATCAACGCGAAGGGACACATCGAGTGGCTGCCACCCGCACGACCAACCAGGGCCGGGGACAAACTGCAACCGAAGCACGTGCCCTTAGCGGGAACCGAACCCGGGTCTCTCCGGACCGCAGGCCGATGCTCTAACCGCTGAGCCAAACTGGCCAGGGCAGAGTTACAATACTTTTTTAAGTGAATATATCTTTCCATTTATTTAGGGATTCCTCAATGTCATTCAATATAGTTTAAAATTTTCTCCACAGGGCTTGCACACCTATGATTTTATTCCTAACTATTTTTTATTTGCTGGCATGTAGACATGCAATAGATTTCTATAAAATGATTTATACCTATAAAATACACTTAAAAAATGAATAAAAATAAAAGTTAGGAGTGACAGGAAGCTTATGGGAACTTGTAAGCCATGTTAGAGGTTTAGAACTTTATCCTAAGGCAATGAGAAGCCATTGGGGGGTTTAAAATAGGAGAGTGACGGGATCAGAATTGCTTTAGAAAGAACATTTTGGCTGTTCCTTCTGAATGAAGTAGCATGGACTAGAGAAAGAATAGGTAAGAATAATTAGGAAATTAGCAAGAGTATAAAGGTAGAGTAATAGGAAGACTAGGAGTCTATTCGAGGAGCACAGGGTAAAGAGGATAAACTAAATATCATGTTAGTATAAAAGGAGAAACACAATTTTATTGAAGAGGTATTTGAAATGAAATTAACCGGACTTGGTAACTAACAATTGGGGAATAAGGGAAAGGAAGATCCCCAGGTCTCTAACATAAATTATTAGAAAAAAGTTTATGCCATCTACATTGAGATCAGAAACACTGAAGAAGAGTCCATTTTCCCTGAAGGATCAAGTTCAGTTTTTAGACATACTGAAGTTTCTCCTCTATCTTGAATAACCCTTTTTCAAAATTCTTCTTTGCTTAATTCCAGAGGGTTTCTTCTAAGGTTGTTCCCATTCAAATTACTTAAGGAGTAGTTTGGAAAAGGGAAGTAGCATAGGATAGGAAAATATTTCTAAATCCTTAGAAGTGTCTCCATCTTTTAAAATGGTATAAAATAACTCCAAAATTCTCATATGATACTATAGTCCACTGCTATTTTATTTATACTTACATTATAATGCTCAAAATTATTTTGTAGTTAACATCACTAAGGCACTTGAAAACAAAAGCAGAAACTCAAAATAAGACTATTTTAAATTTAATAAGTAAGCTTCTTTCAGAACTAACAAACGTATTCTTGTTAAGAGCAATTGCCTTAAAATGTCATTTTAATTACTTTTAATCATTATATTTTCAAAATTCAGAACATAATTTTACTATATATCACTATATTATTATTTTATACAGTAAACATTCAAAAAATGTAAAATGTCTACTATTTATTTTACTTACCTCTAAAAGAAAATCCCCTAGATACTGAATTGGATAAAATGGAGCCTTAAAATTATCTTTTTCTTGTTCAGCCTTGATTCTCGCATTACTGGCAATCACATGAGTTATTCCACTTGGTGAACTTTTTGGTAAAATAACATTTGCTTTTCCAGCCTCCAAAACTCTAAGTAAAAATGTAAATAGTATAGAAAGTATTTTTTTTAAATAAGTATATTCAGACAAATAATCTAAATTATCTAAGAGTTAATATCCAAAATATATAAAGTTCTCATACAACTCAACAAAAGGAAGACAAAGAACCCAATTAAAAAATGGGCAGAGGACCTGAATAGACATTTCTACAAACAGGACATACAAATAAATGGTCAAGAGACATATAAATGAATGCTCAATGTTTCTAATCATCAGAGAGATGTAAATTAAAATGACTATGCAGTATCACCTCACACCTTCCAGAATGGCTGTCATCAACAAATCATCAAACAACAAGTGTTGGTGAGGGTGTGGAGAAAAGGGCACTCTAGTGCACTGCTGGTGGGAATGCAGATTGGTGCAGCCACTATGGAAAACAATATGTTGTTACCTCAAGAAATTAAAAATTGAATTGCCATTTGACCCAGTGATCCCACTTCTAGGAATATACCCTAAGAAGCCTGAAACACCAATCAGAAAGAATATATGTACCCCCATGTTCATAGCAGTACTATCTACAATAGCTAAGATCTGGAAACAGCCCAAGTGCCCATCAGTAGATGAGTGGATAAAAAAGCTGTGGTACATATACACAATGGAATACTATGCAGCTGTAAGAAAGATTTCTTATCCTTTGAGACAACATGGAGGGACCTGGAGAGTATTATGCTATGTGAAATAAGCCACTCAGAGAAAGACATGTATCACATGAGCTCACTTAGTGGAATACAATAAACAAAATAAGCTGACATACAAAATAGATCCAGAGATATGAAAATAGGGAAAAGACTGACAAATCTCAGAGGGATTGGGTGGTGGGGGGCAGGAAGAGAGAAACCAAAGAATTTATGTGCATATATGCATAACCAATGGACACAGACAACAGTGCTGTGAAGGTGGGGGTGGGGGTGGAGGGTCAACAGGAGAAAAAGGAGGAACATCTGTAATATTTTCAACAATAAAGGTTAAATAAATAAATAAATAAATAAATATCAAGAATATTAAATTCACTTCTTCGGGAAAAGTCACTTCAATAAGCCAAAGAAACAATGAAAGAAGTCTAAGGAAGTAGCTACCTCAGAAGGCAACATACCACCAAAGAAATCACTCTGAACCACAAAACATGGCACTAGTTGCCAACCTTCTTCTAATAACTAGCTTTTGAAAAAGTTGAATCCACATTAAGAAATACACTTTACATTTAGACTTAGAAGACACACACACACACACCCCAAAAGTTTCATAAAAGTTATGATTCTGCTTAAGGATTTAGAAAGCTGTAAGAGAACACTGCTACCACCTAACAGGAAAAAAAAAAAAAAGCCAAATAATCTACAAAAATCATAATTTTTCCTGAACCTGTCAGAAAACTGAGATAACAAGCCAACATAGAAACTGAATTTCCATAGAGTGATAAACCACTTTGTGAAGAGACTGAACACTCAAACTATTTCACTTTGCCAAGACTCAGGAGAGAAGTGGTTGTCATAAAAGCAGGTAAGAGTCAAGAATAATTTTAAAAATTTAAGCCCCAGTGAAGGTATCATGACAGTTTAGTGTAAATAGGAGTCCCTGACACAATGAAAGCCGGCTCTCACTTGCAACATCTTTGCCACAGACCTCCATTAAGTATTCATGAAAAAATATAGGAACAGGTAATAGAGGAAGCCCCCACTGGTAGCACAGATGGGCCAGCCAGGACTGACTGCCACCAAGCAACAGACATAAAACCAGATCCACTTCTCTGGATTCTTCTCTCATGTATGCAAATGCCTTAAGCCATTTGGGTAAGGTAAGCAAGTTTTCTACCTTCAAAACCCAGGAAAGGTGCACTGCTTGTGTTGGAAGAGTGAAAGTAAAACCCACTTGCCTCTGTGGAAGGATAGAAAAACCTGCTGCACAGCTCAAAAAATGATCCTGGAAGAGGGGCAGGAATGCCACTAGGGCTTAGGATCCTGTACCAATACAAATCAGAGATCTAATACTGGGTAGTGGATAAAAATTATTTCTGGCCCAAGACCCTACTCAAAGATAGCAGGCAAGAATATGGCTGCTTTGGGGGATTGAGACACAAACACTGAGAAAGTCCCAACCCCAGGGACCAAGAACACAAAGAATGCTTAAGAATGGAACTTATCCAGAGAAACTAAAAATATACCCACCCTTAACCCCACTGTAGAAATGAGTAACAAGCAAGGGATGAACACAGTATGAAGACAGAATCCTTTTATGAGTCCTTGTAAGAGTCCTTTTGGTAGTATAGGGACTACCAAGATGAGAGTAAAGCAAGAAAACTAATACAAAACCCTCTAGCACCCAAGGCCCGCCACTAAGCCTAAAGAAACTGTAGCACTCTGCTGGAGTAAATTAAAATGATATATTTAAAGTGACTATACCATTAACAAAACCTAAACCAAGCTCAACTGACAAGATTAACTCAACCACCCCCCTACTAACTGCCTTACAGAAGAGGTAGAATATGTTTTTGGATATAAATAGTATTTACTTCTATATATGATATCTATGCGTACAATAAAAAACAACAACGAGGCATATACAAAAAGGGGAAAAAAAAAAACAAATCAAGAGATAAAGGAATAAACAGCACAGAGAGATGATCCAGATGTTGAAATGTTCTGAAAGTGACTTTAAAGTAACTGTGACTGACATGTTAAAGGATATAGGAAAAAGGTGAACAATCTACATGAAGAGATGGAGAATTCAGAAGAGAATACAATAAAAATTGTAGAAGTAATAGACACTACTACATATCAAAGAAGAATTTCTTTGACAGGTTTATCAACAGACTGCACAAAACTGAGGAAGGAATCACTGAACTTGATGATAGGTCAATAGAAATTATACCACTGAAACACAACAGTAAAACAACAACAAAAAAAACAGAACAAAGCATGCAAAAACTGGAACAGAACCACATGGTCCAAAATATGGGAATAGCACTTCAGAAGGAAAAGAACACAACAGAATAAATATTTAAAAGAATATGGCCAAGAATTTTTCATAATTAATATAAGACAAAAAACCTGCACATGTTCAAAAAGCTCAGAGAACCCCAAGCAAATAACAATCCTCCCCTCCCCACACACACCTGGACACATAATCAAACCACTAATGAGCAAAGGTGACATTGCTTCATATATATATATAAACCTCACCCAAGAATACTTTTATCCATTTTTTATCTTCAGAAAGACTGGGGGGGAGGGGACGACATCGATGTGAGAGAGACACACTGATTGGTTGCCTCCTGCATGACCCCGACTAGGGCCAGGGATGAACCGCAACCAAGGTATGTGCCCTTGACCGTAATCGAACCCACAACTCTGTGGTCCGTGGGCTAACACTCTACTGCTGAGCCAAATTGGCCATATTGATTTTTAAATTTTAAATTCCAACCATTCATTACTAGCATATAAAAACACAATTTTTATATAGTGAGTTATCCTGCGATCTTTCTAAATTCATTAATTAATACAATAACTTTTTTCAGTAAATTATTTAGTATATGACCATGGCTTTTAGAATAAAAACAATTATTTATTTATTTATTTTCTTTCCAACTCTATGCTCGTATTTACTTTCTTTGTCCTATTGCACTGGCTAATACCTCTAGTAAAATACTGAATAGAAGTAGTTACAGTAAGTGTGCTTGTCTTGTTCCCAATTATGAGGAAAAATAATCTACGACATTAAGTTTACATTTTGTCATAGATATCATTTATCGGGTTGAGGTTACAAAATTCTTAACAAAATATTTGCAAATAGAATCAGCAATTATTAAAAACAAATAATATGCTACGATAAAGTAAAGTTTACCTCAGGAATACAAGTTTGGTTTAACATTTAAAAATTGACGGGACATGGACAACAGTGTGGGATGGTGGAGAGGAGGCGAGATGAAGGTGAAGGAGGGCATAGAGGGGATAAATGGTGATAGAAAAAATAAAATAAAACAAAATAAAAATTGACAGAATATTTTACCATATTAACAGAATAAAGGAGAAAGCCAGTTGTCTCATTAGATTCAGATAAAACTTTCAGAAAAAATCCACTTATAATAGCATCCCAAAACATTAGGTACCTAGTATTAAATTTAACAAAATATGTACAAAATTTATACAATGAAAATTATAAAACATTAATGACAGAAATTTAAAAATGATCAAAACTTTAAAAAAGATACTAAAAAAGACTTGGAGGGATACACAATTTGTTGATAGTACAACTCACTATTGTCAACATCTCAATTCTTCCCAATTTGACCTTAACTTCAGTACAATCCCAATCAAAATTATAGCTTGTGTTTTTGTAGAAATTGACAAACTGATTCTAAAATGTGTATGGAAATATAAAGGATCTACAATAACCAAAACAAATTTGAAAAGACAAAACTGGAGGATACATATAAACTACTTTCAAGACTCACTATAAAGCTACAGTAATTAAAACAGTGTGTTGTTGATATAGGTAGAGAAAGGTATTAATGGAGCAGAATAAGAAGTACAGAAATAGACCATACAAATATGGTTCACTGATTTTCGAAAATAGTGCCAAGGTAACTGCAGAGCAACTGGAACCCTCATACATTGCTAGTGGGTTTGCAATATGGTACAACTACTTTGGAAAATGGTTTGGTATTTTCATATGATGTTAAGAACACAATCGCCATTTGAGCCTGCAATTTCATTCCTAGATATTTATCCAAGAGAAATGAAAACGTGTCTATATGAAGACTTGTACTCAAATGTTCACAGCAACTTTATTCACATTAGAAAAGTCAAAAGACCCCACAAATATCCATTAGTAGTTAAATAAATTAACTGTGATATATCCATAGAGTAGAATACTACTCAGCAACAAGAAATTAACTGCTGATTCACACAAGGTGGATAAGTCTAAAAATCAAAGGAGTATAGACAATATGATACCATTTATATGAACCTTTTAAGAAAAATAACACATCGAATCAACAATGACAAAAGAAATCAGTGGCTGTCTGGTATTGGTGGGGCAGAATAAAATGTACAAGGAGAACATAACAAAACGTTTTAGGATAATGTAAATGTTACAGATCTTGATTGTAGTGGGGGTTAACATGGATGTATAAATTTGTCCAAGCTCATCAAAATGTACATTTGAGCCCTGGCCGGTTTGGCTCAGCGGTTGGAGCGTCGGCCTGTGGACCAGAGAGTCTTGGGTTTGGTTCCTGCTAGGGGCATGTGCCAAAAAAAAAAAAAAAAAAAAAAGTACACTTGAAATGTGTGGATGTTACTGTCTACAAATTATACTTCAATAAAGGTGACCCCAACCCCCAACCCCAAGTCATGAAACCATAGAATTAGTTTACCCAATGAGAAGACATTTTAGAAGATAAAAAAATAAAACTATGAAGAAAACAGTATGAACCATGAAGAGTGCACTATATAAACCCAGAAGAAAGCCTTTGTGATAAGGCAGTATTTCACTTGCAAAAATCTAAAAGTGATTTAAAACTAAAAAAAAATTAAAAAAAGCATTTTTGGCTTGACTTGGTCAAAAATAAAAACAACAAGGAAAGTAAAATAAAGACCACAAGAATAATTTAAAGCAATACTATAAAATACATTTTGTTCCATTAGATATATATACTTAAATGTGTAGAATGGTTTAATTAGGAAATCAAAGAGTAAACCACCATGGCTCACTTAAACTTAAACTAATAATTGCAAAGAAATACAGAAAGGTATTCAAGCAAATCAACACTATTTTCTCATTAATTGCTTTAGCTTTTATAAAGTCTTATCTTACCTTACAAGAGAATCACTTCTTTTATCAGCTCTAACAAGGAGGACAACTTTCCATCTGTGAAAGGCTCCTGGAGCACCAGTGCGTTTTAGTTCTTCACGCCATCTTTTAGGTGCAGATTGCATTTGAGGTGAATAATGGGAATCTTTTTCAATTTTATATCCCCATTCGTAAGTTCTTTCATCAAGCCATCTACCACTTTTGGCACTATGAATTATGTAGTCTTTAGTTAGTACCCACTTTCCTAAAAAGCAAATAAACTGTCAATTAGAATTTTGGTTCTGATAAGTGGTAAACAATAAAAAGCAAATCTCAAATAAAATGTAATCTTTCTAAAAACTAAAGATATAAATAAATGGAAGAATATATGTGCTCACTGATAGAAAGAATTAGCATTTTTTTTTTTTATCCTCACCGGAGGACATTTTTCCATTTTTTGTTCAGATAGAGTGGGAGAGGGAGAGAGAGAGAGAGAAACATCAATGTGAAAGGAACACATTGAGTGGTTGCCACCTGCACAACCCAACCAGGGCCGGGGACAAACTGCAACCGAGGTACGTGCCCTTAGCGGGAACCGAACCTGGGTCTCTCTGGACCGCAGGCCGACACTCTTACGGCTGAGCCAAACCAGCCGGGGCAAGAATTAGCATTGTTAAAATGGCCATACTACCCAAAGCCATCTACAGATTCAGTGCAATCCCTATCAAAATGCCGAAGTCATTTTTCACAGAACAAGAACAAATAATCCTAAAACTTATTATGAACCACAAAAGACCCTGACTAGCCAAAGGAATTTTGAATACGAAAAAGGAAGTTAGAGGTATCACACTACCTGATATCAAACTATACTACAAAGCTATAGCAATCAAAACAGCATGGCATTGGCATAAAACCACACAAACAGATCAATTGAAGAGAAAAGAAAGCCCAGAAAGATACCCATGCCTATAAGAGTCAATTAATCTAGAATAAAGAAGGTAAGAATATACACTGAAATAGAGAGTATCTTCAATAAATGATGTTGGGAAAACTGGACAGATACATAAAAAAAAATGAAATCAGGCCACTTTCTTATAACATATACAGAAATAAACTAAACATGTAATAAAGACTTAAATATAAGACCTGAAAACATAAAACTCCTAGAAGAAAACACAGGCAATAAACTCTCTGACACTGGTCTTAGAAATATTTTTTTGGATATGTCTTCTAGGGCAAAGACAACAAAAGAAAAAATAAACAAATGGGACTACAGCAAACTAAAAATATTTTGCACTGCAAAGAAAACCATCAACAAAATGAAAAGGCAACTTAGTAAATCGCAGAAGATATATTCAATAAGGGGTTAATATCCAAAATATATAAAGAATTCATTCAACTCAACATCAAAAAAATAACCCAAATAAAAAATGAGCATAGGATTTCAACAGACATTTCTCCAAAAAGGACATATAGATGGCCAACAGACACATAAAAAGATGGTAAAGGTCACTAATCATCAGAGAAATGCAAATCAAAACCACAATGAGATATCACCTCACATTCGTCAAAATGATTATTGTCAGTAAATCAATAAGTGTTGGCAAGGGTGTGGAGAAAAGGGAACCCTTGTGCATTGTTGGTGGAAATGTAAACTGAAGCAGCCACTCTGGAAAACACTATGGAGGTTCCTCCAAAAATTAAAATTGAACTACTATGTGAACCAGCAATTCTACTTCTGGGTATTTATATGAAGAAATCCAAAACATTAATTAGAAAAGACATATGCACCCCATGTTCATTGCAACATTATTTACAATAGCCAAGACATGGAAACAACTGAAGTATTCACTGACAGACAAATGGACAGAGAAGATGTTACACCACACACACACACGAATATTACTCAGCCATAAAAAAGAATAAATTTTGCCATTTCCAATAATATAGATGGAACTAGAGGGTATTATGCTAAGTGAAATAAGTCAGAAAAACACAAATAGCATATATTTTCACTTATAAGGAGAATAATATAAAAAAAAATAAAATCAACAAACAAAACAGAAACATACTCATTGACACAACAAATTGATGGTTGCCAATGGGAGGAGGATTGGAGGGATGGACGTAAAAGGTGAAAGGGACTGATATGTACAAATTGGTAGTTGTGAAAACAGTCACAGGAATGTAAAGTACAGCATAGGGAATACAGTCAATAATATTATAACAACTATGTATGGTGCCAGATGGATAGTAGATTTGATGGGGTGATCAATTCAACAGGTATATAAATGTCTAATCACTGTGTTATACACCTGAAAATAAGATAATGTAGTATATCAACTATAAATGAAAAAAATTAACCTTACTCAATATGAGACTCTTGAACTACTTACCAACATTATCTCTGAACTATATTGTGTTTTCCTAAATTTCTTGATAGTGAGAAGCCTGCAACATCACTAAATATTGTATGTAATCTTTCCCATGATAATTCTAATTCTAATTGTTAGTACATAAAATATAGATATAGGCTTAATAAAATAAAATGTGGTATTACTTAAAATATAATTACTATTATTAATCCCTATTTTAGGATAGATTTATATTCTTCCTTGTATGCTAAAAACTTCTCCAATAATGTTTACAGCATTGCTATGCTTTGTAAAACAAATTTGAGTTAGAAAATTTTTCAGGGTATTTACAAACATTCTATAGTTTCTTTATCTGGGCATCAGTGATATTTTTAAATAGTGTATGTTTTCATTTGTGGAATTAATAATGAATCCAAGTGTTTCTCTGGTAAGTCACTCTAAAAAATGGTAAATTCACCTGAGTTAAATTCATGTTTTTTGCAACTGGTAGACTACTGAGATGCCAGATCAGTAATACAAAAGAAAACTATAAAAGGAACATTAATGGTGACAAAGAGAGTAGATTTAAAAATCTTAAAAAAATAAAATAGCATGATCATTGCTTCATAACATGGATGAGAGGGGAGGCAAAAGAACAAAAACATTAACTAATTCCAATGATAGATCAAAAAAAAGATACTTGACTGGCAACAGCTGAGACTTCAATAGTCCTTTTTTTTTTTGCATTTTGTGGCAAATTTTCCATTAAATGTTTTTTCTTACATAAAGCACTTTGGTGAAGGAAATATTTCTGCCTATTTAATACATTTCTCATATACTACAAAGTTTTACTCAGAAAAATAAAGCAAAAAGTATATGAAATATAAGTATTTTCAGAAAAATGTCATAATATAAACATATTATCTTTCTAGGGACTAAGGTACTTTATCTTTAACATGAAGATTTTTTTTTTCCCAAAGATGTAGGGAAGGCAGTTAACTTACCTGCTGCACAAGCTGCTAAAAATTTTTCACTCTTACATAGGCGTTCAGCTATAAGATGTGTACAATTTTTGTATTTCTGGAAGAAAAATTCGACGTGAAAAATGTTACTAAGGTAAGATTTGCTTTATAACACATTCTTTTTACTTTTATAATATTAAAGGAGCATTTTACTATTTTTAGGCCAGCATTTTATTTCTAGTTATTTTTCTATGTCTTCAGCATTTGGTAAGTAAAGTTTCTGTACTCACCTCACTCTTAATAAAAGTGCAATCGAGTTTTAAAAGCAATTTGCCTAGAGCTTCCTTTTCTTCCATTTTAAATCCTGTCATCTGAATGATATGCTTTGGGGCACCATCTTCCATCTAATATATATACACATAAAGAAGATAACATGTTAGAGATACTATTCACTGGGTTAACATTATTATTTTTCCTTATTTATGAGTGCTATAAATAAAACCTAAAAGCATTAGGTCAAACATAAAATAAATTAAACACATAAGGCTTAATTATAAATACCAATATTAAAATTGCTTTTGTAAATAGAAATTAGTTTTAAAAGTTATCTTCTCAAAATGTGACCTTAAAGTGATTTTTTTTCTGGTTTGAACATTTAAATTTTGCATTACTACATTACTTTCATTCACACTGATGAATGAATATAATTCTTCAGAAATATATAATTATATAAATATTAGCACAATATTAGCTTAATTTTAAAAGTGCTGTTTTTGCTAAAAGCTTGTGAAATAAGTACACTCATTGACAATATAATCAGATTTTATACTGATTTTTAAAGTTTGTGGACAGTTACTCAAGAATTTATGTAAGTTACTGGGGAAATTGATAAAATTCATGTTCCCACAGCCTTTACACCAAATAATTAAGTAGAGTAGATACAGATAAGGAATCTGGATACCATTCCTAATCTACATTTAACTCTGCTATATAACTGATATATATGTTAATTTCATCACCTACAAAGGAGACCTAAAATGACACATACATGGTTTCCCAATTTGTTTTGATAGGGACCTTAATCCATGTTTAAATATAGTTCACAAAGCAGCTGTATGTGAGGTGGCACATTCATTAAGCAAGAAAGGCACTTCTAATTAGAATACAATTTTTTATTTGTTTACATGAGGTCAGAAATTAAGAAGTAGAGAGCATCTTAGAGAAAATGTAGTTTCTCATTATTGATGAGAAAAGCAGAGACCAGCAGTGGTTCTCAACCTGTAGGTCGCGACCCCTTTGGGGTCAAAGGACCCTTTCACAGGGGTCGCCTAAGACCATTGGAAAACACTTATTTCCAATGGCGATTCATAACCATAGCAAAATTAGTTATGAAGTAGCAACAAAAATAATTTTATGGTTGGGGGTCACCACAACATGGGAACTGTATTAAAGGGTTGCAGCATTAGGAAGATTGAGAACCACTGGACTAGAGCAATCACGGTAACTTCCCATTTCTCTAACAATTTTGCCACCATACCTCTGCATTAAATTAATGTCACTGGCAATTAAAAATTATAAGTTTACATTAAAAATAAATAAACCTTAAATATTAGCATTGTTTGAACCCAAGATTAGTAAAAGACAAATGGCAAAGTAAAAATGTTCTTTATAGAAATTCTATTTTCAAAGACTAAATATGTGTGTGTGTTTACATATACATATATGTTTATTTTAAATATATATGAACCACATACTGTAAAATTTGAAAGAAAGTCTAGCTATAAATAAAGTAAGCATTACTCAGGGTTAAAAGTGACCCTTCATTTCCCTTACTTAAAGTTTCTAAGAGGAAAATAAGAAAGGTAAGGGTAATTCAGTAAGAGTAATAATACTTCTGGCTTTTCTCTACTCTTCATCACGCCCTGGCTTAGGGAAGAGAAACTACTTGAGAGAACTCACTGGTTATCCTTTGCTCAGCATATCTGCATATTTGCAATGACATTCATATTCATGCTTTCTGACATGTCTTAAGAAACTTCCAGTAGTAACCTGCACTGACTGCCTGGGTGGGTAAACCAATTCAGAGGCTATACACTAAGAAGCACACCACTGTTGCACATCAAGGTCACCTCCTCCAAAATAATATTTGTTCAATAAAAAAGCTGAAACTTTGACCTCAATATATCTGACTTTCATATTTCTTTATTGGTTCCAAAAGAGAAAAAGGGATGTACTATATTAATCCTTTAATAACCTATCATTCAAGATACAGAATATAAAGTATCTTTAAGGATAAGGCTCTTCAATGAAATAAAATTTTTAAAAAGTTACAAGGGTCTGGTCAGTACAGAATTTTAAAGTGTACTTATAGGGTTTGGTGTCTTATGAAATAATCATATAAGCAAAATACTATCATTAGTAAATAAATATAAATAGCTTCTTGCACAATCATCCAATTATATTAATCATCCACTTTTTCAAACCATTTTCATGGGTTAAATAACATAACTCTTGAGTGATAATACCCAATACAGACTGGTAATACACATAAACTTTACAAAGAATAGGCTCTGTTTTAGAAATAATGATTTAATCTAATGCAGAACACACACAATAAAACACATATACAATAAAGCCAAATGTGGATTATAAGGCATATAATCATAACTAAGAAGAAATGCTTTCATAAATTCTAGGGAATTATTTAAATAAATCATTTAAGCAAATTTGCTTTAGAAAATAATAGGTCCTTTCAGAAATACTAGACAAATGAAATCAACATATCTATGAATATCATCTTGGAAGTCAAGGGAAAAGGCAGATCTAAGTATTTTTCAAGTTCTTGAAAGTCATTTTATCAGAGGAATACAAGTGTTTTAACCATACATATTTTATCTACTATATGTATTTTATTTATGTACTCAAGAGTTTCTAAAGCTATTTAGAAAGCTATTTCATGAAATGTTGTCAAAAAAGAAAAGTTTGGGTAGGTTTAAAAATCTAAAATCTTGCCTATCTGGCTACTCTAAAATCCAGTATAGTAAAACCGGTAAAAATCACTGTAAGGCAAAAGTTTTATTTAAAGATTGTCCTTTAGCCCTAGTTGGTTTGGCTCAGCAGTTAGAGCATTGGCCTGCGGTCCAGAGACTCAGGTTCGCTCCTGCTAAGGGCATGTGCAGTTTGTCCCCGGCCCTGGTTGGGTCCCGTGGGTGGCAGCCACTCGATGTGTCCCTTTCATGTTGACATTTCTCTCTCTCTCTCTCTCTCTCTCTCCCTCCCACTCTATCTGAACAAAAAATGAAAAATGTCCTTGGATGAGGATTAAAAAAAAAAAAAAGGTTGTCCTTTAAATTTTATCCTTCTGGGGGGGCGGGGATAAACCACAGAACTTATATGCATGTATGCATGAACAATGGACATGGACCACAAAGCTGGGACAGGGCCGGGAGGGAGGGGGAGGGTGAGGGTGAATCAGTGGGGGAAAAAGGAGAAACATCTGTAACAAAAATAAATGAATTAATTTTTAAAAATTTCATCCTGCTTCTTAATAATTAAATATATGTTCTATAGAAATGTAAGAAAAACAATTCATCCCATGTTCCTCTTCTACATCAAATTATTAGCTATTTTGTAACTTGAATGTTTATCTTAACAAGGTGACATTTTAACATTTTGGTTTGAAACAAAAATGATTAAGTCATTTAGACTTACTAGAGTCAGTGTACAAACAAAGTTTCATCTTAAATTATATTGTCTTTAGAATAAATATATCCACATTGTATATTTAACTAAATTTTCTGTCAGAGTCCACAGTAAAATAAGAACAGGACCACCTATGCTTAATAGTGAAAATCAGCAAAAGCCCTGTAAAGCAATTTCTTTCCTTTGAAAAACAAACATGAAACTGAAATTAAATGAGCAAAGAGGAAAGGGAAGAAATACAGGGGAAAAATAGGATGTCCTGATTCAAAGATCATGAAAATATTAATACTAAAAAAAAATAATAATCAGAATGCACATTTACTCACAAATTTATCAGAAAAACTGGGCTACTTGCTAAACTTTCACAAAATTTTGAATCCTAGTGATTGCATGCAGTAAGTAGCACAGATTTAAGAACAAATTCCATTAACCTAATCTAATAGCTTCCTATAATAAAATGATCTACTTGAAGCATCAGCATTTACAATGCATTTAGCAATTCCTCTTAATATCATATTATATGACAAACTATTAACCTAGATCACAGATCTAATTCATACAGTTCCACTGGAAAATTGATATCTATTTATTAGACGTAGGCATATATAAATATATGGATAGATATATTTATATTTATAAAATAAGTGATTTAGTGGTTCTTGCTATGACCCTGAAGGATAAAGAAAACAAAAAACAATAGCCTAATATAATAAACCCAAAGAGAGAACTATACAAATCTGGTGTAATACCTATCAATGACTCAGACAATTCAAAGTCTTTAAAAGTAGGGTCAAGTTTTGTGTAGGTGATATGTTCTGCGGTATGGAGGATCAAGAGCTAACTTCTAGAAGTCTTCCAACCCAAGAAAGAATGTAAATATACTACAATGTAATTGTACCAGTAGTATTTCTAGGGAAATTATCTATTTTTCTAGAACTTACAGGAAGTGGTCCTTCAAGCATTCACACAGAAGACACTACACCCTAACACAACAAAAGGGGAAAAAAACCAAAAAGAGCATTTACTTAACAGTTAAATGTTATCTTTACTGTCAGAAATTTTAAATTATATAGTAGATTCTTAGTTATAAGAACAAGCTTTTGTAGTAATTTTTTAAAATATTGTAGCAATTTAAAAAAATCTAGTCACTTACCTTGAACCATATAATACACACAACTAAGGAGATAATGATTGTGAACAGAGCTGGCATTTATGCAGAGCAAGCAACTGTCTCTGTGGTATGGACTTTCCCAAAATATCTCCCACATGGGCCTAGCCCTGATGCCTGAAATTCCTTTGCAGTTGGTGCCAGTTAGACATGCAAATAAACCTATAGCACTCATCATAATTAAGAACATTATGCACTAGCTTTTTAGGTCCTATGAATTCTTTATGACACATAGCTAGAACACACTTAAAATATATGACAGCCATAATATGTTGAAAAGAGAACTCAGAAAAAAGTAGAGTAGGAATACAGATATAAATACAAAGGTATGGTCCAGGGGGGAGGATGAAAGTACAGAATGTAACAGTTGGGTTAAGAGGAAAATGCTGCAAAAAAACCCAACAAAAAAAACAGGGTCTAAAGGATGCTTTAAAGAGGTCTGTGGTAGAAAAAATAGAAGAAACTTTTTCTACTCTGAATTAGAATTTATTTCATGACCAACCATAGGGTATTATACAACTTTAAGAATATAATGCATCTTATAAGTTTTATGCTATTAACTCAGATAACTATGGGATTTATTAAAAAGTTGAATTTATATAGTTGCATTTTAAGAACTAAAATTTTTTCCTCAAAATACGTATCACAAAAATTAAATATTATATATTTCTGTATCGTAATTTTTATGTAAAATTATATTGTGATTGTTTTTCCATGCCACTGAATATTCTTCATGGTTTTATGGCTCTAAGGTTTTAGGGAAAACCAGTGATTTCTTCATGTTTGTTATTCAAGTGAACTATTTTAATTTTAAACCTACTTTTTAAAAAATTTAAACCTAAGGAAAATAACCTTTATACTCCTCCCTTCTGGAAGGAATACACCAAGCCTTGAATACAACCAATAAGGTTACTTAGAACTGAAGTTTGAAAGATTTTCATGATTCATGTTACCCAAGGAATTTAATAGGGAAAGTAAAACAGTGTTAAAATTAAATAGGGTCAGTTAAAATGTTGGATGTCTGTTTTAACCAATATTGCATAAAGTAGACATAAATCCCAGTACTTATGCTGTATGAGTAAAATACTATTTGGCTCTCAATGCTATAACATCAAGTGGAGTTTAGGAATTTTGTGCCTTCTTGGCCTAGGAGTCAAATTAGGCCTTTGGAAATTTTTTTTTTAAAGATGTAGAGTCTGTTTTCTGCCCCATCCTTCAAAGGTATGGGATGTGTGTGTGTGTGTGTGTGTAGATCTATACAAATATAAATTAATTATTTTACTAAAGTCTCCAGTGGCAAGACTTGAGGAATGTTCTTACTTCAATGACTTTATCTGGGAAAGAAGCAGTCAAGACCAGTCTCTTAGATGGTAAATTTGGCAGGAAGTAGAGAAGCAGCAGCAAAGTGACTATAGTGAGAAAGAAATTATAAGTTATGAAGATTTATGGAGATATATAATATATCCAGTACTTTACAAGGAGCAGGCTGGACTGGAGATGCTAGCTCAGGCATAATGGGGTCCTTAGGGAAAACAAGAGTTATGACGTTCAGTGAAAAAAGAATGGACAGCAGGTATTGGTTAGCCATGGGGGATAAAAGTCACACACGCTTCATCAGTATCCTAAGAACTTTGTATTACTACTTTGTAGGAGCATAAGGTCCAAGGTTGAAAAAGATAGATTTCAATTGAGGATTTACTGTGGTCTATACACTGCATATATTTTAATTCATTTCTTTCTCAACAATGTAAGAGCTGTTTACCCTTCATATACAAATTAAGGATACTGCAGAAACTAGCTCAAGGCTACAGAGCTAGTAAATGGTGAAAAAAAAAATTTAAAACCTCAAATCTGGAGTGGATAAAAAAAAGCTGTGGTACATATACACCATGGAATACTATGCAGCTATAAGAAAGAAAGCTCTCTTATCCTTTGAGATGACATGAAGGGAACTGGAGAGTATTATGCTAAGTGAAATAAGCCAGGCAGAGAAAGACAAGTATCACATGATCTCACTTATTTGTGGAATATAATGAACAAAATAAGCTGATGAACAAAACAGACCCAGAGACATAGAAGTAGGGTTCAGACTGACAAACCTCAGAGGAGGGGGGCAGGGCATAGGAAAGAGAAAAACCAAAGAACTTATGCATATAAACATAACCAATGGACACAGACAACAATGCTGGGTGGGGGGGAGGGGTCAAAATTGGGAGGAGGGTGTCAATGGGGGAAAAAGGAGAAACATCTGTAACAAAAATAAATTAATTAAAAAATAACATACAAAAAAAACCCCCAATTCAAATCTATTTCTGAAAAAACTACATGCCTTTTCTGCAATATCACTCTATCAGAATTCTGTCTACTACTTTTAACCACAATATAATTTTACAAGCAATCTATTCTCAGTTAGTGCAAGAGAAAAATACACTGCACAAAATGGAATCTACTATGAGTGTGGGATACATTAAGATAATCAATATCACTGAAAATACTTAAACAGTCATAAATTAATTTCAGAAAAATAACAGTAATGTGTAAAATTTCGAACATTTCTTCAAAAGAGTGCCATGTTTTTTTCCTATAAAAAAAGAAAGTTTTCATTATTTTCCTCTCAAAATGGATTTGGTATTAATCACTAGGCAAATTCATATGGGCTTTCCTTCTTCATTAAAAAATATATTTTAAAAAAACTATTATTCAATAACAACTGCTAACATTAAAAAACACTGTATTATTATTTTATACCAAATAATTTTGATATAAAGTAAAAACTATGAGAACCTAAAAGTTTTAGGAATATTTTACTTTTAAGCAGTAAGATGTAAGAAACAGTACAGTGCATTTTATAGCATATATTTTGCATTAGCATATTCAAGGAGAGTCAATCATAAGAGTAACAGGTCATATTCCATTTTAGTTATATTTTTGAGAACAGAGGTTCTTCACCATCTTTAGCTTTTATTATTCGGAACCAATATGGAATATGGAATTGTTGATTTTTTTTTTTAATTTTTTTCTGTAAATAGGGCAAAGACTACCTTACAATCATCAAGAAAATACTGTTTAATTAATAAAGCCATCCTACTGGGTTTCTAAAAACCAATGTTTTTAGACATTAGTGAAAATTGTGTATAACTATTATGAAATGTTCAGAGGTCTGAATTTTGTTATGAAAAGTATCCACATTTGAACGCCTTTCAAAGACCTCACATGATTTATGCTTTTTGCTTTATGAAGCAGGAAAATATTCAATCATATAACTGAACTCAGGTAGACAAAGCAAAAGAAAATGTGGATTTAGAAAACAGATTTCATAGGGGCTTATATGCACTATTGAAGACTGTCTTTACAATAAAAACTATACATTCAAGTATTAGAACATCCTAATTTATTAAATTTACTCTTTGGCTTAACTTAGAAGACATGATCAAATTAATGCCCTCATAAAAATCCATCCCAAACTATCAACTTATGTACTGAATACCTGCAACACAGGTTAAACTTTCCTAAAATGGGAACATCTTGAATATCAAAAGCTACTTTTAGGAACTGAGGCATAACGTAATAACAAACAAAAAAGTTCACACGGTGCAGTGTGTCGCATGTATACTGTACATATCGTTGTTTAAATTTTCATTTCTAAAGACCCAATGGTAAAAATTTTTTTCTTTTTTTTTTTTTGCTTTTGTTGGTATATGATAGTTATTTGTTTAAAAAAGAGAGAGAGAGAGAGAGAGAGAGAGAGAGAGAGAGAGCGAGAGAGCTTGGAGCTTCCAAAATCAAGCTCCATCTAATTTCTGGGTCAAATTCTGATACGGAGTACCTAAGGCAGGTCACTTTTTTGTCAACATTTAATCAGAGGCTTTGGGAGTGGGGGAAAAATATCTCAAAATTACCACTCTTATTCCCAGTCTTCAAGCAGCTAAAATATAATCATCCCCAGGAACACAGACCCTCCCCCTCTTTAGGGAAGCGTGTGTACAGAGAGTGTATGTGTGTGATATTTAAAGGCCTACAGTAGTAGCTACAGAGATATGATCACTACAATTTGAGGACTTTTAAAAACTCTACTAGGAAGAAAAGAATGACACCATTTTCCTAGTCACACGGAGGTGGGCCTGGGAGATGCCAGCCACCTGCTGTGACGCGGAATTACGGAAAGCAGCCAAGAATCTGGGGCTCAGGGAGCCGCGTCCCAGTGGGTCCTATGGAAACGAGAGACGCAGGTGGCCTAGCGCCTGGCTGGCAGGGGACCGAGCTTCAGGCTAACAAGGAGGCGGGAACGGAGGAGCCGTGCACTGCAGCGAGGGGCAGCGCGGGCGGAGGCTGCCACTACAGCGCCCGGACACGGGAGCCTCGTCCTCGGGCCAAGGGGAAGTACAGGGGAAGTACAGCGGCTGCAGGAAGCGCAAGAGGCAGGCGCCCCTGCCGCTCACCCCAGCCCCTTCCCAGCCTCACAACTGGGAGCAGCAGAAACTTCGGGGGCACAGAGGAAACATGCCCACAGAGTCGGGATACACTGTGTCTTCCGAGTTGAGGCCCTTTACCTTCCAGGCCGGAGTGTCTTGCTTCCTTCGGCGGGTAGCGGTGGTGACAGGGAAGATGACTGCCGCTGCAGCTCGGGCTGCTTCCCTAATCCGGGCTCTGGGAAATAATTTCCCGCCGCGCGCTCCGTGGTCCCGGAAGTTATTGTATCACTTCCGGGTGGTTGTCACTGACGCTCTCCAGCCGTTGTCAGGTGGACTGGCTGGACTCCTGCTAGAGCAGCAGCGCAGGAGGTGGGACACTGGTAAGTGATTTTTATGTGTTGCCTTCTGGGCCTGGTGTTTGCGGTCAGGGCATTGTACAGCATCTTGGCTGGACCAAGAGGAGAGCGGGAGAGCGTGGAACCGGAGCCCCCATCCATCCCTGTGGTGCTTAACCCTCCGTGTATGCTGCTAGAGAAGGCCTTGGGATCCCGGCTTACCACCTTCTTTACTCGCGGTGTCTCTCTCCAAGTTGGAACTTGTCCCCCGTCCCTAAGTGTCCCTGGGCAAAGCTGAAAACACCGTGTACCGCAACTCGGTTTAGTACCGAGCCTCTCTACCAATAAGCAAAGAGTGCTCTTCCTCTCCCGTTGGCAGGGTTTGGTCTCCTGCATTTTCGAGAGCCGCTTTACCATCCTTTTCCTGAACACTGTTTCCAGCACCCTAGGTTGCAGTGCCTGAGAAGCAGGCAGTCGTGGACACCTTTTACAAACATTTTGGGAGTGGGTGAGGGGGTCGTGCCTGATCTAGAATTAATTCAACGTTCCCGCTGCAGTTTTGAGTTGAGTGAGAATGGTCTTTATTTTCTTGGCTGCTATGAGCTCATGATATAGAGAACACGCTTACAATTTCAAGGGCGGTGCTTTAAATACGCTTTACCTTTTGGAAACACCAGTGTTCAGGAAATAGGTACGATTTCTTGGAAAGTGTGCTGGCTCCCTGCTCCAGGCTTCCTCGGTACTGAAGGATTCGGGAGAATTTTGGATGGAGGTCTGAAGTAGCCAGAATAATTGTAAGGGATAATATGAGGCAAGGTGCTCCTTCAGCCGTTTATTAAAAAACAAACAAACGTGATGTAGTAAACCTTGGCAACTCTTTCCTGAGTAATGCAGTTTCTTGGGGTAAGTAGTTTTTACTCACCACTTGATATTTAAGTAATCACGTTTTTCCTCCAGAAAAGCCAGCTAATTTTTCCCCTAAAACAGCTAATTGTAAAACAAGTGCTAAGGATAACTCTGCCTTCAATTCAAGGCCTCTGATGCATCAGCAATTGCCTTGTTACTTTTTAAAAGTAATGCACCATTTTTAAAACAGCGCATTGATTTTGTTTAATGTCAGTTTTGCCATTTTTATTGAATCTTTTTTTTCTCCAGTTGAAAGGATTTAAGGGAGGCTACATGTTTCTATATAGCAATTAGTTTTTAGACAGGTAGTGTTTTTGTTTTTTTTTTTAAATCATTGTTCTTGGTTTCTGGTATCTCCTGTCAAATTAATATAGCCAATCACTAATACTAACCACACACAGTTATTGTCTGCCAGGCGTTTTGCATTTATTATTTTATTTAAACTTACATTTCTACAAGAAAAATCATATTATCCCTATTTTGCAAACATTTTATATTGAGACTCAAAGATATGTGACAGACTAAAAGGTGTTCCCACAAATTATACAATTAAATGGCGATTGAGTTTGAACCTAGTCCACTGACTCCAAGCTTTGGGTTTTTTAATTCTTTATATTAATGTGTTAAATATTAAGGAATGTGTTAAGGATTTTATGGATTACCATAAAGTAATGACATAAATAATCCAATTTATTTTCTGTGTTGATCCTTGGCCAGTTTTATTATCCTAACTCAAATACGAGCTATCTAGAGACCCTCAGTATATTAATGACTCTAATTCCTGAGTATCAGCTTTCTCTTTAGTCAGCTTTTCACACACATTTATATATATGTAAATATATATATTTATGCATGTGTGTGTATGGAGAAAGAGGAAGCGAATGAATGAACACAAATTCACGAAACTGAACTTTTTAATGCCCTTTAAGAATTGTTATTTGCTCATTATTAGCAAAACTGTTCTCTCCTACTCATATAACAGCCAGATAGTGATTATCACACATTAAGGGAATATGCTTCATCATATCTACCAATTTCAATATTCTATTTAATGTAGAGAAATAGGAATAGCCCAATTGAAAGACTTCACTAAAATATAGTTGAAATGACCAATACTGGAAATAACAGAATTCTAAAGAATATTTTGTTATACTGAAAGACACAAGTATATATAACTACTCTCAAAATTCTAGTGTGTATTTTATTATATTTTGTATCAACCTAACTATATGAAAGATATATGCTTTACATGTCCCATAGGTAGAGCTCAGTGAATTTTTTTTATTTCTTTTTATTTATTGATTTTAGAGAGAGATGAGGGAGAGAGAGGGACAGAGAGACATCAATTATTGTTCCATTTATTTATGCATTCATTGGTTGCTTCTTTTATGTGCCCTGACCTGGGATCAAAGCCACAACCTTGGTGTATGGGGACCACTTTCTAACCAATTGAGCTACCTGACCAGGACAGTGATATTATTTGTAATCACATTTCAGTGTTTATGAGTGTTGAGAGTATATCACTTTTTTCATTATCTCATACCCAGCATCTAGCACTGTACCTGACATGTAGTAAGTAGGGGCTCAATAAACACTTACTGAATGAAAAATCCGTCTTAATTTTTTTTTTAATCTACAGAGAAGTACTTGTTTTTTTAAAAGGGACTTATCACATAAATAAATGTACACTTATTATTACTCACTTTAACCTCAAAATATTATTTAGAAAATGCAGTGGTGGTATTTAGTCATTTAGAAAAGGCAATGGTGGTATCCTATAATGAAGGCTGAACAGTGAGACAGGCTATAAAAGAATACCTAATATTTATTGTTGTTTACTTTCTGCTATGCAGTGTTATATTTAATCCTCACAGCACTACAGGGTTTTATTATCCTCTTTTTACAGATGAAAAAAACTAAAGCAAAGATAAGATTTGTAAATCATCATAGGTTACACACAATTATGAAATATCAGAGCTGTGATTGGAACCAATGCTGACTTCAAAGGCCATATAATCTTAACCACTTTGCTATACTGCCTCCAACTGGATTTTAATCCTGGCTCATCCACTAAGTAGATGTATGTATACACAGGAAATTTTATTTCTCTGAAGATCATATTTCTCATCTATAATATACAGGGGTTGGATTAGATGATCTATAAGGCCCCTTCTAGCTCTAAAATCCTCTGACTTTAGTTCACTCAAATATTAACTGATTACAGCAGTTCTAGTGTGCTAGAAAACCATGAGTGGAATTTTACATGTATATATTGGTGTCTTCAACATAGGTAGATGTACAATTGTTTTTGTAATGGAAAAAGACCAAAATTTAAAAACAAAACAAAAACTCAGGCATGCTTTTTGCTAGCTTATGCCCCCTGTAAGGCAATAATCCTTGTGAGCTTGTTTTCATATGTAAAAAGCAACTACCATAAGGGTTAAGTGAAATGATATGTATAAAGCCTCAAACACACTGTTTGAATACATAGTTGCCATTAATTAAATATTGTTTCTCTTTCTCCCTAATCTTGTGGGAAAGGATTGGTGGATGTAAAAATCCATCATCAATGAGCCAAAAGTGACAAATCTTTTCACTTAGTCTACTGGGAAAGAAAGTCATATACACAAATAGTTATTATGAGGAACAATTTACATATAATCATTGGACACAGACAAATTTTCCTTTCAGGAGGACAGATGAGGAAAGACATCATAAAGAAGGTAATGCAGAGTTTGGGCTTTAAAGGAAGGTGAGGATTTTGGTACGGGGACAAAATGGAAGGGTGTTCCATTGGAGGATGAAAATGTGTCAGAAAAGAACAAGTAGTGACTACTTCACTTCAGATATGTAGAATGGGTACAGGCTAATAGTAAAGGTAAAAAAGCTGAGTTCAGGGCAAGCTCTGGATAGCAGTGTGGTCATGTTAAAGACATTAGGCTTTTCTCAATAAGCAATGATTTGTATGTATAACCAGGAGAGTGTGGAGGGTGGGGTTGGCACTTGATTTCTTTCTTGTGGAAAGAATACCCATTTGTTATAGGAATATAAGAATATACAAACATACCAAAATGAAAAAGAAAAATGAAAACTTGCCCACAGGTCTACTCCAGTCCCAGTTCTTCACCTGCCCACTTACCCCACTCAGGTCTCCTGGCTGGGGAGCACCCTTCTCTTTCCAGTAAGCTCTGGCCCAGAGGTGGGAGGGGACTCTGAGAGGCCATTTATCCCCGTTTCTGGGCCCCCAGCCTGAGGTAACAGGGAATTCACACTGGGAATGGTCCACAAGAACATTGGGGTGGAGGCTGGGCGCTGGGACCCAGCTGTGACGGCAGCAGGAGTCTGAGTTTCTCTCAGGCTCTGAGGTTTCACGTCTTCTTGTTATCTCCTACTTACTCCTGCCCCTTCCCCATGTCTGTGACTCTAAGCAACCAGCTGCTCCTCTCTGGCCTCAGTTTTCTCATCTGCAGTCACAGGGTGAACTAGGTAGGACCCTGGAGCTCTTCTTTCCCAGGAGTAATTCCAGGACCCCCATGGTGGGGTCAGACTTGGATCTGCCTCCCCTTGCTATGCCCTAGTCCTCTGTGACTACCCCTTTCTGCTTCATGACCTTCTGCAGTGCCTTCTCTACACAAAACAACACAAAAATCCCATGCCCTTTCTAGACTTCAAATACTACTGAGTTACTTCCAGGCTGCTCAGCATCCATCTCTGCCAGAAATAATGCAGACTACTGCTAGGCAGTGTCCTTTTATAGTCTCATAAACAGGGTCTGGTCATTAGGAGTAATGATTCTGCAGTCAGGTGACTCTGATTAAGGGAAGTTTGTGAGTGGTGAACTCAAAGACTATAGTTGAGTCAAGAGGCAAAGGCAAAAATCAGCATAATTATATTAAAAAGTCCTGGAAGTGGGAAAAGAACACTGCCTCCCAGCCTTAATTGTTATTATTGGAGACAGGTTTTCGAAACAATGCTCCTGCTATTTCTTCTTAAACTTTGGTTAAATGGCAAATAAACAAGGAGGGAGGCAGCTGAGGAAATATTCTAAGTGGCTAGAATAGTGTACATAATATTTATGTTTACACACACCCCACACAGAAATTGAGAGCAAACACATATAGCTGTTTAAATCCTTTGCGGATTTTTGCTGAGTAAATTTCTCATGAAAATTATCTAAAACTAAAAAGAAAAAGACAATTGTCATTTTGATTAATTAGGCAAAGGAGTATAATGTAAAACAGCTGAATTTAGAGACCACATGAGCATGAGCTCAAACTCATGAACTTAAAAAATAAGATCTTGAAGAAGTTATTTAAATTCTTTGAGCCACAATTTGTTCATTTGTAAAATGGTAAAATCAACTTTATGGACTTATTAGTATTAAATATGATGTGTGAAAGCACACAGGCATCAGAAAAATTGGAGTTTGGTCTCGTATTTTTTGTTGTTGTTTAATAAAGTCTAATTGCTTTAAAATAAGGTCTGCGGCTCCAACTGTGATGTCAAACAGACTTGAGTTCAAATCTCAGCTCTGTCACTAGTTGTGTTACATTGGGAAAGTTATTTTCCTACTCTTTATTTGTAAAAATGGGACTTTTCTGGAGATTGAAAAAAATAATGATGCATAAAGTTGAATATGGTGGCTGTACTTGTAAGCACTTTATTGGCTCAAATTCCCAAACAAGCAGATGCCAACAGGGGGTTAGCTATGTAAGAGGTGTTTTGGGGAAAGTGCCTATGACAAATAAAGGAGAAGGGAACAAGAGTGGGAAGAAAGTGCCTTCAGGCCTCAATGCAGGTCTGACAATCTGACGGAGAGGAGAGGAGGAAGGAAGGCAGGAGAGGAGGGTAAGTAGAATCTCAAACTGCTTCTTCAACCAGTCCCATGGGGAATCCTTGAGCCAAAGTCATCTGTTAGAGAGGAAGGCCATGTCACCCCAGTACTCCATATAATGCTAGCTATTAGTGAAAATAATGAACAGCTGTCACAAGCTATAATCCACAAGTGTTTTAAAATTTTAACTCTTGAATTTTATTGCCTGTCCTGACCTTCCCTAAGAAAAGTACAGTCCCTGCTGCCATACATAGACCTTATCATTTTAGGCACATGTTCTCAGGCTAACAACTTTTTATATTTTATAATACAGTTTTGTTAGCCAGAGAACTGTTAAAAGGAATCAAAGGATGTCTTCCAAGTAACAGCTGAAAATGTAAACACTAGCTAAGCAACTGAGTTTTTGATATTACATAATTAAGTACAAACTGCTATCTAAATGTCTCCATTCAGGTAGCCAATAAACACAACAATCTTAAACAGCTGAGAAATGTTAATATCTATAGCCTAAACTTGAATTTTATTATCTTTCTTAACAAAGATACCTCTGTGGTTAAAAAGAGCAAGATACTATAGTTTTGTATGTCAGGGTCCCCTCCCCTTTTATTGTTTTTAATAAGTAATTGTAGAGATTAATCAATTCAATGCTTTTCAAATGGCAGGTCATGACCCATCATTTGTTTCATTTTTGTTTCAGATATGTGTGGCTTCAGGTTTTGGTTATAAATTGTGTTTGTTATTGTGGATCACAGTTGAGTTTTAAAGCAAAAGATTTAAACTAACTTCCTTTATCTTACATTAGGAAGTGAGGAGTAAAGAGGTGATATAACTTGTCTGAATAACTCAGGAAACATGTGACTTGAACCGGAAGCTAGGTTTTAAGAATCTAAATTTAGAGCTCTTTATTTTCTTTTCTTTTTTCTTTCTTTTTTTTTTTTTTTTGGTACATACCCCCAGCGGGAACTGAACCTGGGACTCTATGGTCCACAGGCCGATGCTCCAATCCCTGAGCCAAACAGCCTGGGCTAGAGCTCTTTCTTTTCTATCTTGCTTCCAGGAAGAGCCTTCTTATTTCCAAGAAGAGGTTTCTTGTTTGTTCTTTTACAGCATATAATTACTGTTTTCCAGTTGGCTAATATGATAGGGTTTTTTTTTTCTGTCACTTTTGTTAATTTTTTGCTAAGATTTACTGAAAGGAACTCTTCCCTGATTCTGGCCATAAAGTGTCAGGGAGGTTGTTTCTAACATTCAGCAGCCATGCTGAATTTACTGTCCATTTTCCCTCTGGGGAACACAGCTAATGCAACAGTTTAGGTCTGGAGTTTACCTGATTTAAGTGTGTGTGTTTTTAATCCTCACTTGAGGATATGTTTTTATTTATTTTAGAGAGAGGAAAGGAAGTGTTGTGGCGTGAGAGAACTGAGAGACCATCAGAGCCAAATTAAAGCAAAATAGAGAGCAAAGCCGGCCAGCGACTGATCTGAGTTCTCGGAGACCAGCCCTAGGGCCTCCAAATGTTGTGGAGCGACAGAGTCAAAGAAAGGCCACTAGAGAATTGAAGTCCAAATAAGAGCCGTTTATTAGCCAGGCGGTGTCTGATTCCGACCACCCCTGTGACAGAGTCTGCAGAATCAGCCCCGATATGCTTTATTACATGCCTTTTATACCTCACAGAAAATTGGATCTTCTTGATATAATGCCCAGGGCCACAGCAATGCTGTATAGAATAAGTTTGCCTTACGGATAACAGGAACGCCCAAGTATTTCAGTTATTTCAAGGTACGTTGGGTCACACTTAGCCCCGACCTGCACAAACACAATGCAAGCCTGATTCCTTGAGATGGTGGGGAAAGTCGAAAATCTCTGACTCAAGACCTTCAGGCTCTGTGGACTCTGTCAGACACATAGTTGGCTCCCAACAATTTCTTGGTTCAGGGAGTGTTCCAATTTACTGAGGTTATTTTGACTAAACGGGTTCAGCTAGAGGGCATACAGTGACTTTCCCAATCATCAATTATGGAGCAGCACAATAATTTACCAATCATCAATTATGGGGTTATAAACCTACCAGCACAGAGGGAGGGATGGGGGAGAGGGAGAAGGAGAGGGAGAGAAACATAAACATAGATCAGTTACCTCCCATATACATTTCTGACCCTACTGGGATTGAGTTGCAACCGAGGTATGTGCCCTGACCAGGAATATGAACCCGCAATCTTTTGGTGTATAGGACGATGCTCTAACCAAGTGAGACACCAGGCCAGGGCTGGAGTTTACCTAATTTAAACTGAGGACTGATGAAAACTCTTTTTGAGGCACATTGTACTAAGACACATGAGGTCTTAATTTTTACTAATTCCAGTGAATATTATTTTGTGTTTCATTGTCGTGACATTCTTGACCCATTTTCTTTGCATTTTTAGACTTCAGTTCACCAAATATTTTTGAATTTTAAGATGCAAGTTTTGTGTATAATCACATAATTTATTTCTTTATAATGAAAAAAATATATCATTCTTTCATTTTGTGGCAAATATTCATACTTGCCCTTAAAAATGCCTATTGACAATTTGGCAGTGGTGAATTCTGTCCTCTACTAGTCAGAGATTTGACTGGGGAAGAGTTTAGAGGAGGGCTGTTTGTAAAAAGAGCCCTCTTTTTAGGCTTTGTTTTTGTGTTGCCTCTCTACCCTGGTATCATTGAGGCAGCCTGTGCTCATTGCTTTGATTACGTTTACCTGGTAACTTAATCTCTTTCTGGGGCTTTCTCGTTTATCTAACTCAGCAGTTCTCAAACATTTGGTTTCAGAAGTCTTTTACACTTAAAAATTACTGATGACCTCACGGAGTTTTTAATGTATATAATTATATCTACTTATAATTATTATATTATAAAGTAAAACTATTTCAAAATTTTTATCAATAATAAAGCCATTACATGGTAACATAAGTAGCATTTTTTTCAAAACTGTATTTTTTTCCAAAACAAAAATTGTAATGGAGAGTGGCATTTTATATTTTTACAGTCTCTTTAATGTCTGGCTTAATAGAAGAGAGCTGAATTCACAGATCTGATTCTGCATTCAATCTGTTGTGGTATGTTGTTTTTGTTGTAGTGAACAAATTCCAACCTCATACAGACATGTAGTTGGAAAAGAAAGTAGTATTTTAATGTCCTTTTCACCAGAACCTTAACAAGTGATAGTTTCTTAAAGTTTATTTACAATGTGGACTCTGAAATCATATCAGTTAACTTTTTGTGCTTTGTTATTTTAAAATGCATTGGTCTATCTTGAACTTTGAATGAATTTTTGTAAACACCTGATTTTGTTACATAATGCATTGGGTATAAGTAAAATATTGATTCATTGAGATATGCTGATCTTTCATATCTTAATTCACTTCATTATACAATATCCAAAAATTACATAGTTAATATCACCAGCATTCATCTTAAAATACTAGGAAACTGTCCTTATGACAATATATGAATTTTCCAAAATTTTTATTTTTGCTTTGAAAGCTCTAATTTTATCATTGGCAACACTGTCTAATATTCTTCTTGTAATGAGAGTCCAATTTGGTAAATTTTGAGAAAATCTGTGGTGTACTCAAAGGTTGAGTTAATAGAATTACTCATTTTTACTGCCTCATGAAAGACATTATTAAATGAACCTGTTATTTTTATTCCAACTGTGTGGTGGTGAAAAATATAACAACTGTGGTAGGCAGGATAATGACGCACCCTCCAGACAAAGATGCCTACGTTCAAATCTCTGGAACCTGTGAATGTTATGTTATATGGCAAAAGGAAATTAAAGTTGTTAATCAGTTTACCTTGAAACAGTGAGCTTTTCCTGGATTTATCCAAATGGGTTCAGTGTAATCACAGTGGTTCTCAAAATCGGCAGGAGGAGGCAGAAGAGGAATTCAGAGTGATTCCATGTGAAAAGGACTCAAGCCATATAGCTCTCTAGAAAACGAGGGAAGTAGGCCAGCAGCCAAGGAATTAGAGCAACCTCTAAAAGATGGAAAATGCAAGGAAACTGGATTTTCCTTAGAGCCTCCAGAAAGGAATAAAGCCCTGCCAATCATTGCATTAAGCCTAGTGAGACCCAATTCAGATTTATGACCTAGAGAACTATAAGATGATAAATTTGTGTGATTTTATGACAATAAATTTGTGGCAACTTATAGCAGCAATAGGAAACTCATAAAACTTAATAGAGTTTGGGAACTGCACTTTGTCCTAGGATATCATTGCTTTTGCACTATTAGTACAAATGTCAACCCAGTGAAATGGTATATAGTATCTTTTTATGAAAATAATTTTGATCTGCCCTGGCCTGTTTGGCTCAGTGGTTAGAGCGTTGGCCCGTGGACCAGAGAGTCCTGGGTTCGGTTTCCGCTAAGGGCACGTACCTCGGTTGCAGTTTGTCCCCAGCCCTGGCTGGGTCGTGCGTGTGGCAGCCACTCGATGTGTCCCTTTCACATTGATGTTTCTCTCTCTCTCCCTCTCTCTTCCTCCCACTCTATCTGAACAAAAAATGGAAAAAATGTCCTCGGGTGAGGATAAAAAAAGAAAATAATTTTGACCTTGAGAACTTCCTGAAAGAATATTGAGGGTCCACTAGGAATCTGTGTATCACCACACTTTGAGATCTAACTTTTTCTTTGTAGATTAGGTTCTGGGATGCAAACATAAAGAAGGCACAGTCCCTGTTTTAAAAAGATTATAATCTAGTGGTTGAGAGAGGTAAGCAAATCAGTGATTGCAGATAGCATAGAATGACAAGTGCCCTAACTGATATATACTTAAGGGAAGGAAAGAGACCTAATAACTGTCTTATGTGCTTGCAGTTTAGTGGGAAAGAGCACAAAACTAACGATAATATGCAAAGTGCTATTAAGGAAATATCTCCACTGATAGAGCAGGGGAGAGACCTTTACATTTACATTTAGCAGTGAATAGGGTTTTATTATCTCCAGATCCTCTCCAACACTTGTTATTGTTTATTTTTTGTTTATAGCCATTCTGATGAGCTGGGAAGTTGTGTCTCATGTGGTCTCAATTTGCATTGTCTAAGGTCAAGAAGATTGACACCTATTCTTATTTCTTCTAAGAATTTTGTATATGTTAGCATTTATATTTAGGTCTTTGATCAATTCTGAGTTGATTTTTGAATTAATTCTTTTGCATGTTGCTCACCATTTGTCTCAGCAACATTTCTTGAAAAGGCTAATCTTTCCCTATTGAATTTTCTTGAAACCCTCAACAGAAATCAATTGGATATTGTATGGGTTTATTTCTAGACTCTTAGTTCTATAGCATTGATTACATGTCTATCCTTATGCCCATCCTGTCACATAGTCTTGATTAGTATAGCTTTGTAGTAAGTTTTGAAAATTGGAAATGTGAGTTCTCTAATTTTGTTCTTTTTCAAGATGATATGGTTATTCTGGGTTCCTTATACTTCTATATGGATTTTAAGGTAAGTTTTAATTACTGCAAAATAGGCAGCTGGGATTTAATAGGGATTGCATTCAATCTGTAGATTAATTTGGGAAGTATTGCCACTTTAACAATATTAAATCTTTCAACCTATAAACATGGACTTTTCATTTATTTAGGTCTAATTCGGTTCCTTTCAATGATGTTTTGTAGTTTTCAGTGAATAGGTCTTGCACTTATTTTGTTAAATTATTCCTAAATATTTTATTCTATTTGATATTATTGTAAATGAAATTGTTTTTCTAATTTTATTTTCAAATTGTTAATTGCTGGTGTATAGAAATACAATTGATTTTTGTTTATTAATCCTATATCTTTGTGATTTGGCAAACTTTGTTGAATATATTAGGTCCAATAGTTTGGGGTTTTTGTTTGTTTTAGAATCCTTAGAATTTTCTACATACATCTATAAGAAGATAGTTTTACTTCTCCCTTTCCAATCTGGATGCCTTTTATTTACTCTTCTTGTCTAATTGTCTTGGCTAGAATTTCCATTACAACGTTGAATAGAAATATTAAACATGGACATTCTTGTCTTGTTCCTGATCTAAAGGCAAAAGCTTTCAGTCAACTGTGAGTTTTTTATAGATATCTTTTATCAGGTTGATGAAATTCTCTTTTATTTCTAGTTTGTTGGGTGTTTTTATCATGAATGGTATTGGATTTAAACACATTTTTTCTATGTATATACTTAGATTATCATTTAGTTTTGTCCTTTATTCTACTAATAAGGTGTATTACATTGATTCATTTTTCTGTGTTGATTTAGCCTTACATTCGTGGGATAAATTCCACTTAGTCATGGTGTATATTTTCTAATATTTGTGGAGTATTTTTGCCTCTATATTTCTAAGGGATATTGGTCAATAGTTTTTGTTTTGTGTCATGTTTTTATCTTGTTTTGGTATCAGGGTAATACTGGCCTCAGAGAATGAGTTGGGAAGTGTTCCTTCCTTGTCTGTGTTTTGGAACAATCTGTGAAGGATTGGTATTAATTCTTTAAATTTTTGGTAGAATTCACCAACCAATGATGATGCCATCTGGCCTTGGGCTTCTCTTTCTGGGAAAGTTTCCAATGATTAATTCAATCTGCTTACTTGTTATAGGTCTACTCATATTTTTTTTAATCTTCCTCACCCATGTCATTAGTACTTTGTGTCTTTCTAGGAATGTATCTGTTCATCTAGGTTATATAATTTGATGATATACAATTGTTTTTATTTTTTAGTATCTCTTTATAATCTATTTCTGTAAGGTCAGTAATAATGTCCCCTCCTTCATTCCTAAATTTTTTAATTTGAGCTAAAAGTTTGTCATTTGAACATGTTTTTTAAAAATCAAGCTTAGTTTCTTTGATTTTTTTTTCTATTATTTTTATTTATTCCCAATCAAGTTTTTATTATTTCCTTCCTTCTACTTGCTTTAGGTTTTGCTTGCTCTTCTTTTTCTAGTTCCTTAAGGGTGAAGGTTAGAGTATAGATTTTAGATCTTTCTTTTTAAATATAGGCAGTTAGCCTGCAGTTTTATGTTCTTGTGATGTTTGTGGCTTTGTTATCAGGGTAATAACTCTCCTAGAATGAATTAGGATGGTTCCTTTTCTTTGTTTTTAGAGTCTGAAATGTTAGTATGACTTCACAGAATTAACCAATGAAGCTCTTGCAACTTTTTCTTGTGGGAAGATTTTTGAATTAGTAATTCAATTATTTTCCTTGTTTTAAGGTCTGTTCCATTTTCACATTTCTTCTGAAGTCAGTTTTAGTTATTTATATCTTTCTAACACATATATCCATTTCTAAAGTGTAGACACTAGAAATGTTTCTACTTTGCTGACATAAAGTTGTTCATTATGTTGTCTTATAATCCCTTGATTTCTGTATAGTCAGTAGTGATATCTCTTTATTATTTTGGTAATTTGTATCTTTTTTTCTTGATCAGCCTAGCTAAAGTTTTGTAATTTTGTTGATGTTTTCAAAGGACCAACTTTTGATTTTCTTTTTTCTTTTATTTTTTTCTGCTGTGATCTTTTGTGTTGCCCCTCTTTTTGCTTTGGGTGTGGTTTGCTCTTCTTTTTATAGTGATCGGATCTTACGTTATCTATCTGTGATCTTCTTTTCTGATATAGGTGGAATTATAGATTTCCTTCTTAACATTGCTTTTATGTATCCCATAAAATATGATATATTGTGTTTCCACTATCTTTCAGTAAAAGAACATATTCTAATATCCCTTGTGATTTATTATTTAAAAAATTTTTTTTTTCTTTATTGATTTTAGAGGGAGAGGAAAGGAGAGGGAGAGAGAGATAGAAACATCGATTGGCCGCCTTCTGCATGCCCCCCACTGGGGATTAGGCCCACAACCTCCGCATGTGCCCTGACCAGGAATCGAACCAGCGACCTCTTGGTGCATGGGTCGATGCTCAACCACTGAGCCACACCAGCCGGACTGTTATTTATTTTTTGACATTGACATTTAGAAGTGTGCTTTTTAACTTCCAAATACTAGGGGCTTTTCAGTATTTATTTTTGCTATTCATTTCTAATTTATTTCTGTTGTTCTCTGAGAACATTTTATAATCTCATTA